GACTTTCGAGTACTTAATTTTGCCGAAAAATATATAAGGACTTTCATGACTTTTGACGACCTGTACGAACCCATGCAAACTGGCGTTTGGCTAAACAAATTAATGGGCGACTGTCATATTGAACACTGTTATAAAGGTTACTGTTCTCTTAAATTACCTGCTCAATAAGCTCACCACATGAAACAGCAATCAAATCTTTAGCTACTGTCACATCAATTTTCCACGTACAAACTTCGGAAAATGAGTCAACACATGGGAACCATAGCCTTTATATAATAAAACATATCAAAATTTTCATAGAAATAAAAAATATATCAAAATTTTCATCAAAATGATAAATGCATGGGGATTCCTAAGACCAATTTTTCCCCTGCAAGATCATTCTCATACAAGGCCAAGTTGGTAACTATACTTAATTCGCGCATTAATAGACGCTCCACTACCAACAGGCTACAGTACCAGACTATAGAGGGTTTGCCGTCAGAAAATTTCAATTTTCAAAGCAATAGTTATTGCATGAATCCTGATTAGCCTTTCCGAATTATGGTGGTTTGTTAGGGTCGGTGAGTATAAAATGGAGGCAAATCACAGATATTTCTTTATTTATTTATTTATTTAAAAGAACAAAGAACATGCTAGGCATAACCAAAGCCTATCGAAGGGAAGATGGCGGTGAATCTCATTAGAATAACAATATAACTCATTATCTATATTAATCAACGTTTATTCATAAATATGGTCCTTCAACGTCACGTGCAAATCCACGAATAGCAATCTAATAAGGCAGTATTTATTGTAGTCGTGTTATCATTAGTATTCTTTATATAAAGAATACTAATAAGGCAGTATATATATTGAATTTCTCGCATAAACTCGCAGGTCGTGTTTTATTAGGTCTAAAGCCACTCGCGGTGCGCGCTCGTGACTTTAAACCTAATAAAACACTCCTTCTCGTTTATTAAACGGTACTTTAAGGAAGAAGGAGCTTTATAAACAAAGCTGCGTCTACGAAATTGTCTTCTATACGACTAAACGCCACTTCGACATTGAAAAAGCCTGGTTACTAGAAGCATAGTTCGGTAGTTCGGCAGCTTTATGAAAAATTTGCAGATCATTCATCATACAGGGATACAATTGTTTCTGTCACGCCAGCTAAATCTCCATAATCCAGAAGAAGCAAAATACAGCTGTTAACAACCTTTAAAAGCCTTGCATGGAATGGCAGTAGATGTTTGATGCATATTGCCACGTTGGCTCTGACGCAGTCGATATGGTCAGCCCAAGAAAGCGCTTCATTGATAATAACTCCAATATATTTATAGCTACAGATTCTCTTCCCAAAATATGATCATCGATAGTCAGTTCGAGCATAGTTAATACATATGACATGGTTTGGAAACCCTTTGTTTTATGTGATTGTGTACCTGGTGCAGGGTAACGGTTGAAAAATCCTTTGTCTTTCTATTGTTTGACAATAGTCAGTTCAGAAAGCTTGGCGAAGGGAATGGGTACCAAGTGTTTGTTTTGCCTACCAGGGCTATATCTTACGGCATATTTTGCAAATAATGAAGTATTACCACCATTTTTCGATGGAGAATGTTTGTGTTACATCGTTTGGTCAGTTCTCATTGATTAAAACCAATATGTGCAGGGTCAAACTGACTCTTCAACCTCCATGTTTATTTATACAGTAATTTCTTTGAAGTTTGCCGGGTTTCCTAACCAGGTCTTACAACAACCATGGTTCGAGGGAAACAAAACGTTTCAGTCGTTGCCCACCATCTATCAGCATAAATTTAATTTTTGGTAAATTTAAGGATAATGTAATATCATCTAGCCAAGATATTAGATGGAGCAGGTCTTCATTCAATTTGGTCTGAATCTCATTAGGACAAGAGGCTGCACAGTAGATCGCCGTGTCATCCGCAAATAGAGGTGCTTGTTGTAAACATAACGAGAGATCGTTGATATAAACCAAAAATACTTGCACATTCACTCGTTCGTACTTTACTCAAATCGTTCGTATTTTAATACTACAATTCAAATTTGAACAGTAAGACATTACCTTCCCCCACCGGCGGCCGCCATTACGTCGTCGTTAAAAAGCCATGGTTGACAAACTTAACTTACGCGTGCAGATACAAAAAGAAAATATGTTTGATTGTTTAGCGATTTATGCTTACGTTTATGCCTGCGCTGTAGTGAAAACTAGGCCTTGAATATAATTCTGATATCAAAACCATATAATTATGTTATATAATAATATAGAATAATATACCTGGATGTATTTCCGTGGTTGTATGTGAACATGTGAGCGGATTTCTATAAAAAAAGATGGTACACAGTCATTGCCGGGAATTTGGGACAAGATGGGGATGCGAGTGCGCATAACTCATAATAGTAATTATAAACAATATACAGAATATTAAAACATCAAAATTTTAGCCAGTTATCGCTTATTTTTCTCCTGATCGCAGCTCGATATGTGCGTCGCATTAGCTAAGCCACATGCGCTAATCTCCTAGCTCGACATGGTACCCATGCAAGATTGATTTATTTTCTTGTGTAGATTTCCCAGTCTCAAACATAATCTACGCTAATCAACTTGTGCCGGAAATTGGTACAACAGGCCAGCTTTCAAAAGGACTAAGGATAGTTCTGAGAAGTGAGAAAAATTCAGTCCAAGATTGTCTTTGAGCAAAAATGTGAGAGAAAAACACTTTTTCCATGAGAAGAGTACAATGATTGGGATTCAAACCTGGTTTTCCGATTAATTCCGTCTTACAATTTACATCTTTCTGCAGCAAAAAGTGAGGAATTTTACTTGTGTATTTTGTGTGCCGAAAGAAACTTCACTCTTCCACTCCAAAAAAATACAGCTAATTTAATTGAGGTTGTCCTCTCAAAACCCTCGAACGCTTAGCGCGAAAAGCACGATGGATTTGCGTACAATATGTATTAATTCATACTTCCGTCACTCCTCACGGTTGCTACACAAACTGTTGTGTTTTTGCGTAAAAAAGAGATTTATAATTTACGAATTCCCATGATTTTCACCTATTTTACCCAATTCAGTAGCAAACCCGGCAAAATGCATGGGATTTTATTATACACAAGTATCGAGTTTGGAATCATATATGAGTAAAGTGCTCAATACCGTAGTAGAGCTAATAATATTAGAAGACAAACTTGAGTTACTTCATATGAACATTATTTCACTACAAATTTGTTTCGTATGACAAGACGAGGCTTACCACAGTCATCAGGTGAATTTAATTTAAAGACCACGTAAAGTCCGTAATGTAAACAAACGCTTTGTTTACATTTTGAACTCAGTGCTACAGTTGTAAAATATGATTAGATATATATTATACTGAATTTTAACACTCTTTTGGTTCGCTATGCTTGAAAATGAATACAGACTAGAGATTCAATTCAGAAAGTTCAAAAGATACGAAATATTAATAACATTTCAACGGTCGGGTCCCGACCATTGGAATGTAAGCCTGCGCAGAACGTATGCGCTGAACGGACTTTACATGGTCTTTAAGAAAATTCAAGAAAATTCAAACTCAAGTTTGTCTTTTAGATAAGGATGAAAATCATGTCATATTCTACAAACTATAGAGCGATAATAGTGCACCTCGTCAACGCTTCCATTTCCAGTAGGTAGAACAAATTGAATTCCTCCTTTTGGATGTTCCAATGAGAACTCGATACTTAAGCGAAATTTTTTCTTTTCTGAAACAAACTTCTGCGATTCCTTTGGCAATTTAATGGTTAATTCACCTCCACCATTTTCAGGTTCCACTGATGAAACCGCATTCTGAAGTGAAGTAGCAAAATGTTCCAAACTTCTCCTGTGTCGAATAGAATAAACATGCATATACAAATTAAGAAGATTATTTTAATGAAGAAGATTATTTTAATGAAGATAATTAAATTCGAGCGAAATGATGGGGAAAAACCCGAAAAATCGAAAAACTTGCAAAACAGGCACAAATTAAAGATTTGACTGTTCGGTCATTAAAAACATGTTTCTCATAGATGTAACTCGAAAGGACAATTTAAACAAAATCTCAAAAACACTAGTATAAAAATATAACAAATATTTACGATACAGTAGAGATAACGAATTTAAAGTTTGGATTCCAACTTCCAAGTAGTTTCTGAAAGGTTCACCTTTCATATTTTAACTTTAATACATTTAAACTAAAAATACATTAATTTATTTCTTATTTTTATTTCTCAAGGATATATTTAAATTTGCAACGTTTTGGACATTTTAAGTGTCCGTCTTCAGGCGACAACTGTTGTTAACGTTACATTAATGCGAACATCGCGAGATAATAACCAACTTATTATAGCAAGTTAAAGCACACGTATACATGCAGGAAATTGAACTTTTCAAAAGCACGATCTTTTATAGAGCTGACTATCTATAGTCTAGGTGTAGGATATCCCTCCCACTATCCCTCCCTCCCCCACCTTAAGCAATGTTGGGTCGCTGGCAAGGAACATTTTGCGCAGGTATTTCCACACACAACATTGAACAGGGGGGTGCGGGGGGGGGGTCGATTATGTCGTAAACGTACGCTCTTTTGGTATTTTGTCCAAAGTGTTTTGTCGCTGATTGTTGTTTTGCATTTTTCGCAACAGTTCCTGGTTAGGTCAATAAAAGGGGATATACTTGCTCAATTGACCACTTGCGTAATAGCGATATGCCCGCTAAGCATGACGGTAGGAGGCTGTAGGTTGCTTTCGAACGAAATGGCTGTCGCATGAGCGAGGGATTTCGTTCGGGAGGAAACAACGACGGATTTTTTACTCTATTCGGCTTCGATCAATAGCAATTTTGTGTGGAAAATAACGAGGGTGTTTGGCAGTGCTCATGTAGAAAATTTAGAGAAATTCGGCTCATTAGTGGCGAAGAAAATTTGTTGTGAAGACGACCAGTTGTACACACGCCTCCCCTAAATTCGCTCGCGAAAACTTGACCACATCAACCAAAACAGGTGAGTTAGCTTTTCTACTGGCGATCGGCTAAATTTTTTTTGAAAAATAAGCCCAATCGATAGTTAATCTCATTAGATTTCAAGGTTATTTTAATCCTATAGCTTCAAAAATGCCATTTTTAGCTTCATGAAAATGCGAAAATATCTGAATTTAAATGAGTTGTTTCTAGCTGTAACAAGAAAATATAAAGTTGAAAGTGTTTTTCATCGTTTTCTGCTGTTGTTTTGTCCTCGAGCTGAAGTTTGCTTTGGTTCTTATCCTTCATTCTAGTTCGATAAAATACCCGTGAGTTAAAACATAATATTTACATATAAATTATTAATTTAAATTAGCAAAGTCTTGTATTAATAAATTTTTAGCTAGCATATAAACATTAGATAGGATTATTTTAATTAAATTAATAGGAAGTCAATTTAAAATTAGGTAGATAATAACTATAGGATTAAACAACTCACATAGGGCTAAGCAAATAAAATATTTTAAATAATATAATGGAGGGTGAAACAAGCACTTCACATGAGGCAAACAATGCTGCTACAGAATTGAAAAGGTGGACAAGGGACTTACATGGCCTCCCATCATTTACGTATGAGTTACTAACTAAGCATTTTGGAACTGAACATGCTGGTGCTGGTGCTCAAAAACACAAGAAACTAGGTTATCAATTGTTTAAAGATAAATATGTTGGGCAAGTTGAGGTTAAAAAAAATGTCACGAAAGGCAACATGACGTGTTTCCTAGTTAAAGGCTGTGTAAATGCTGCTATGAAAAACAATGTGTACACTGTATATGTTCATCTAAATGAAGCTAATGGGGAGGTTGTGCACAGCAACTGTACATGTACAGCAGGGAAAGGTGGGCAGTGCAAACATGTTGTTGCTCCGCTATTTCAAGTAATTGAATATAAACAATTAGACATGACAGAAATCCCTGATAAGCCCACTTGTACACAATTACTACAGCAATGGCATGTACCAAGGAAAGATGAATCTGACAAGCCTGGTCTTTACGAGAACATGGCATTTAAAAAGGCCACATACGAAAAAGATGTTGTGGGTAAAAAGAGAAAAAACGAGCAAGAAGCCCCAAATATACATGACCCCATTCCACATTTTGCACAGAATATTACAAAACCTGAAGTTCAAAAGTTGGCTAATGCTTTGATAGATATTGATGAACAAAGCTATTTGGGGAATTTGTTAATATCAAATGACTGTGAGCCATACCCTTTCAAAAGCATGCATCTAGATATACCATCTAAAAAGAGATACACTGATTCAATGCAACTTAACATTAATGACCCTAGTGTTCGTGATAAAATTTTAAAAAACCTACAACCTACAACAGCCGAGGAAACTGTTACACAATGTCAATGTGAAACCATTAAAAATTTACAATCATCTGTCAAAACCTCATATGAAGAAATAGTTGAAATTGAACGAAACACTAGGGAACAATCATCTGAAGACCGGTGGTTTGAGGAACGCGGAAAAGACTCACCTCTTCAAATTTTGGTCCAATAGTTAAGCGAAGGCGGCAAAGGTACCCAAAAACATTAATGTCAAACATTAAGTCTAGTCGGTCTAAGTGCCCAAAACCGTGCCAGTGGGGAAAAGACAAGGAGTGTGAGGCTATCATGGAATATAAGAAAACGAAAAAACAACAAGGAAACATTGATGTGTGCGCACATTGTGGTTTTGTAGTAAATTCAAGGTTTCCATGGTTGGGTGCCAGTCCTGATTTTTTAGTGTTCGATGGTGCAGAAGCCAACTCATTTGGTATTGGGGAGGTGAAATGCCCATTCTCAAAAAAAGACATGACTGTTGATAAGGCATGCAAAGACAAAAACTTTTGTTTACAAAAACTTAATGGGAAGATACAGTTAAAAAAATCACACAATTATTTTTACCAAATTCAAGGGTGCATGGCCACACTGAATGTTAGTTGGTGTGATTTTGTTGTTTTTACAAATGTTGACCTACACATTGAGAGGATCTATTTTGACATTGACTTTTGGCATAAAATTGTCCCAGAGCTAAGCAGTTTCTATACTGAATATATGTTACCAGAATTGTAATAAATAGTATGATATAATTTGTGCATTGATATATAAATGCTACATAATTCAAGGCTCACAATAGAACCAACAGTTTAAGATTGTTTATCCTTAATTATTGGCGGTAAAAACAATGTTAAGTAGGAGCAAACACTCCAAATTTGTTCTAAGTTTTCAGCCAATGTCAATGGAATAACTTGGCGCAAGATTCTGTAATTTTTTATCCTGGCTATTGCACGCTCAACATGAACCCTGACTGATGCGATTTTGCATGTTTTAGCTTCATCTTCTGCCGATAATTGAGGCTGTCTGTTTAGAAATGGTGGAATGTTTAACAATACTCCGCTTGGAATATCAGCCTCGATATCAAATCCCCTATCTGCCATTATTTCATCTCCAGGCTCCACCAGATTTAGAATGCCACAGTCGTTGGTAATTGTCGCTTGTGCACCCCGCATATAAACATGAAACAAAACTTGGGTATCCACTGGGTGAAATACCAATCAGGCCCTTTGCAGTGTTGTGGTGCTTGTAACTAGAAAATGTGATTGACTGACTCCTGCATGATGAGGGCATTTCAATAAAGATTTCAGTGCAATCAATAATCACTCTGGTTTTTGGATAGGCTTGCTGAAAGCAGGGGGGCATGTTTTCGTCAATAAATATGCGACTGGGCCAAATTGGTAGGGAACGAAGGCGGTGATGTAAATAAATAATCCAGGTTTTAAAAATTCGAGACACATGACTTGCTGAAATGTTAAATCGATGTGCAATATCTTGGAGAAGTAACCCCAAACGTAACCTTACCAGAACAAGAAATAATTCTTGTTCTGGTGACAGGGATCTTGGCTTGCCACATTTGTTTTGAGATTCCGAAGTTACAGGGGTGGTGTGTGTGCCAAAGTACATAAGATGTTCACAAGCTGGTGAAAGGTAATCGTAAAACGCTTTAAAACATGAATAATTGGGAAAGCCAGTGTAGAATCTAAAGTCACTGTCACTGCTTATAAATTTTTCAATACGAAATAAACCACATTTTACATTTTCAACATCTTTGTCAAATTTTGCTTGCATAGCTGTTTTCTGAGTCTCAAGTAGAGTTATTTTGTCCTTCAGTTGATTGATAGTATCTTCAGTGTTACTTCAGTTGATTGATACTATATTGATAGTATCTTCAGTGTTATTATCTTCAGTATTATTATCTTCAGTGTTATTATCTTCAGTGTTATTATCTTCAAGTGTTATTATCTTCAGTGTTATTATCATTCTCGGGTATTTCCACAATGGATGGTGTTTCAAGATCCGGGTATTTCCACAATGGATGGTGTTTCAAGATCAGGCGGAACAACTGTTATTCTTACAGCTGGGGTCTTTCTTGGTTTACTGGTTGTGCATGTGGTGAAGACTGTTGGAATAGTGTTGTCGTAGGATTTTTTGCCATCCACAAAATGCTTTGAACATACTCTGTGACTAGGACCAGGGTCCCTTACGCCTTTCCTTTTCAACAAAAACCCATTTTTTCTTTAATATTTCAGGATTTTTTGGTATTTTATGAAATGATAACTCTGGATTTTTTCTGGTATTACTCTGACATTGTGGTATACAACAATATCTTTTCCATATTCTAGTGACCTCAGTACTTTCAGCATTGTTTGCCTCATGTGAAGTGCTTGTTTCACCCTCCATTATATTATTTAAAATATTTTATTTGCTTAGCCTTAGCCCTATGTGAATTGTTTAATCCTATAGTTATTATCTACCTAATTTTAAATTGACTTCCTATTAATTTAATTAAAATAATCCTATCTAATGTTTATATGCTAGCTAAAAATTTATTAATACAAGACTTTGCTAATTTAAATTAATAATTTATATGTAAATATTATGTTTTAACTCACGAGTATTTTATCGAACTAGAATGAAGGATAAGAACCAAAGCAAACTTCAGCTCGAGGACAAAACAACAGCAGAAAACGATGAAAAACACTTTCAACTTTATATTTTCTTGTTACAGCTAGAAACAACTCATTTAAATTCAGATATTTTCGCGCCAAAACATCTTCAAAACATTTTGTCAGGCTATGGCTGGCAATGGCAAATTCGAACAAAATTTTGGCTAACATTTGTCATTTTCATGAAGCTAAAAATGGCATTTTTGAAGCTATAGGATTAAAATAACCTTGAAATCTAATGAGATTAACTATCGATTGGGCTTATTTTTCAAAAAAATTTAGCCGATCGCCAGTAGAAAAGCTAACTCACCTGTTTTGGTTGATGTGGTCAAGTTTTCGCGAGCGAATTTAGGGGAGGCGTGTGTACAACTGGTCGTCTTCACAACAAATTTTCTTCGCCACTAATGAGCCGAATTTCTTTAAATTTTCTACATGAGCACTGCCAAACACCCTCGTTATTTTCCACACAAAATTGCTATTGATCGAAGCCGAATAGAGTAAAAAATCCGTCGTTGTTTCCTCCCGAACGAAATCGCTCACTCATGCGACAGCCATTTCGTTCGAAAGCAAGCTACAGCCTCCTACCGTCATGCTTAGCGGGCATATCGCTATTACGCAAGTGGTCAATTAAATTCCTGAAAAGCTCCAGTGTGGAAAAGTAGATTTGAGATCAGTTGTGTTAGTTTATGCCCGAGCCAACGGGGCGGAGCCATAGAAATAATAGACATAGAATGCGTGCTCCTATATTTTCTCAGTAAAAAATTTTGCCTCCACAAAATAGCGGATTTATAAGGCATTTTGGCTAGTCCCAGACTCCTGCGGCAAGGAATTTTGTGCGGTTGCAGGGAGTGCGCGATTGTTTTTGTTTTTTTTCAACAAAGTTTGAAAAAACAATTATATCGATACTTGAAGTGGAAAAAAAAAATTTTTGAAAAGAAAAAGTGTCTAAAAACCCATTCCAGTGGTTTTTATACGAAAATAAATAGTTCTGAACAGAATATATACAGAAATTGTCGTTTGAAAATACATTTTCAACGTTGTTGTGGAAGCCAAAACAAAAAAAAACACGAAAGGTCAAGACAACCTCAAACTCAATACCATTAAGGTATGTTCTAAAAATATTTCAGCTTTTTTATAATATAAATGGAGTTTAGTAATCTTTTTAAACTTACACACTACTTTTTTATGAAGAAAAACGAAAGCCGATGAGGAATGAACTATCATTTCGTAATTTAATAAAATATTAGCAAAGCAGTCACGTTCAGAGCAGGCAAAAATGTTTTGTGAGTAAATTATATTTTAATACGCGAAACTACTTTGTTTTTACAAGGCTGCACGTCGATCGATTTTCACCGTTTTTGTCAGTAACTGCACAGTCATTTGCTTCGAGCCTTTAAAGAACTTAATATTTCAAAATATCTCCCCAAACTACAAATTAGACAGCAAGACAAAACCTTTTGACGATGAAAACTTAGCCCAGCTTTGTTTACATCTGTTTATACTTTGTAGTTTGCACTCCTATGCTCAAATTCAACATGGCGGATTTATAAGGGCATTTTTGTTTTCAATTTGGAAGCCGGTCACGTGACCAAGCACGCGTTCTAGGTCTAATATTTCTATGGACGGAGTGCCGTCCGGGCGTAAGCCCGAGGCGAGGGTACTAATTCCGGTCGGCTATTTATACCTGGGGAAAGGAAAGCATTAGCGAAGTCTAAAGTTCATCAACAATCGCGGGCGCATGGTGTATGTGTGATCATCTCACTGATCCCAAAATATGGGTGTTTGCCATGAGTGAAGAAGGCAAAAATATAAAAAATACATGTAAGAAAGCTCGGGATATCGTTTCACATAACAAATTGTAAACAGTTTTCATTTTTTAAACGTAAACATTTATAAGAATTGATTTGAGAAATCCTGACGTGTAGGGCGTATAAACTTTGTTTCAATTCACAATTGTTTATGCATGTATGATTTTGTATTATTAATATAAACTTTGTTCTTGTTGTTCAAATCTTTCCAATGCATTGACATTGTATGCGAATGTTTCCTAGTTAAATTAACTTTTGAATAGAAGTTTATGATAAAAAGGAAAGCAAATTATTTTCATTAGCGTCCTGTGCGAATTAAATTTTTGTGATTGCAAAGTGCCATTAATAAGTTTAAGATTGAGTTGAAGAGTTTAATATCGGCAAAAAGCAGTTATTATAATTTCAATTCGCATTTAAAAATTTTACGTGGAGTTTCATTTTGAATATTACATTAAAATAAAGCCCATAGAAAATAAAACTAATAATATACCTACTTTATATATTTTTAGAAATTGATAGTTCTGCCTTTAAAAGTGTTCAAGTTTCATTTATTTTTCGCAGGTTTGTTCAAAAAATTAAGAAAACAATTATCGTGTTGCCATAACTAACACGACGTGAGCAACGCGAGCCTGCGTTCAGTGTTGGCGTAATTACGAATACTTCATATTGAAACAATGTTGGGAAAATATAGGCGAGGGGTTGTTGCATACATGTATTTCTATAGTTTTAAAATACTTTAGTCCAAACATGGCGGACATATTGCTAAAACGACACGATAAAAAATCTATATTTTGTATATCTACGTCAATGAAATACTTATTTCCCAATTTTACTATCGATAGGGTATGGCGTTCTGGTCTACCCTCGGTACGAAGTTGCGGGATCTGTTGTTTGTGATTTCGTATAAAAGATTTATTGATTTATTAAAGGAGACAGGTTCAAATATTTTAAAGGAAAAAGGCAAAAAAACTCAGGTATAAATAAGAAATTAAACATTGCATTCGCGTCTACTTATTCAGCAAGTTTATTCTCGATTTAGCGTTCTATAACTTTCGTTATAATATGTCATTTATAGAATTCGCAGGGAATTGAGCAAAATGTTACCCTCAATGATGATGTACATATATCTCGGGAAAATATCACCACTTCGTGTAATGTTTTGCCGAATCTCCATCGCTACGCTTCTATAAATCATAAATATGCATTGCACCGGAAAATTATTGACCAAAAGAATTCTTACCTTCTAGCTTTTCTTCACCTTGTTTTCTTCCTTCGCCCCCTGTTTAACATATTAAATGTTAATAAGTATATATAGTTGATATGAAGGAAAGGAAATTAATTTGTATGTTAACACAATATATGGTGTCAATCTATTTCCAAAAGACAAAAGCACCTTTAAATGCCAAAAAACAATTTATTTGGCAATCTAAAACGGGAAATTAACACAATCGAGCGACACCGTTCCGACAGCCGGATTCGTTAGACTCAAAAGCGAAAGAGTGAAGTAAATTATATTTACAATGTTTGTATATATTATGATGTTTCAAATAAAGAATTTATACTAAAACAATTAGTCACCTCAGGCTCGGTGATCGCAAGAGTATATTCACTTTACAAGCTGCTTTGCAGCTCAGTGAACATAGGCTTGTAATCACCTCGCATTCAGTGACTATAGTTATTAAATAGTATGGTGACTCGTGCAATTTGAAAAGAAAGCGTACACTCGTGAGTTTTTCAAATACTTCATATTGCACGAGTCCGAATTGCAATTTTGGTATTTTTTTTGAAAATCTCACTCGCGACTGCTTATATATATTTCTCAAATTCATTAATACTTCATGAGTAGTTAAACCAATAGCATGTAAGCATTCCGTCACAAATGAGAAGCCATATAAACAACTCGAGCTCGTGTCTCACCGGGATATCCAAACACTCGTTTTCTCGTGTTCGGATATCCCGGTGAAACACTCGCTCTCGTTGTTCATATATTACATCATGAATTGTAAAATAACTGGATAGGAAACTCTGTGACGTTATTGACTCAACCTTGTTGAAAAACGTGACGTCACGCGTATTGCCAAAGTTCTCAGCATTTTTGTTGTTTTGCTATATTTTCTGCTTTAAAAGAGTAATATTGAAGCATAAACTGGTCTAATTGTTTTAAAAACATGCCTATAAGCCACAACAAAGTATTCAAGGTAAATGTTTTTCGTCTTTGTTTTTTATTTTTTTACATTTGTAGCTACGAAATTGGCACCGCCAATTTTAAGAAATTTCACTGTTACGTGCTTGAAATATGTGCTAAAATTGATTGGGAATACTTAGAGATTTCATCATAGAATGGCGTAGTTATATTTATTTGCTGTTTGACTAAAATGTTTAGCTGTGTTATTGCTAAACATGACGTTATTGAGAATTTGGTTTGCAACTAGGTTTGAACATCCAACCACGCCATCAGCCCATGTATTGACAACAATAGGTCACGTCAGCTATTCGTCAGCTCTATAGTTTCCTATCCATTTATTTTATTATCCATGTATATATATATATATATATATATATATATATATATATATATATATATATATATATATATATATATATATATATATATATATATATACATATATATATATATATATATATATATATATATATACATATATATATACATATATACATATATACATATATACATATATATAGCCTCATTGTACACCTTTCCCTAACATTTTCGTGTCCGCGATTTTTGCCTTGCGGATCACGAATTTCGCACCCTCATTGTACACCTTTCCCTAACATTTTCGTGTCCGCGATTTTTGCCTTGCGGATCACGAATTTCGCACGCAAGATGACGTGTGTAACACTTGCTGAGAACATCACGTCATCGTTCGTCAGCGTCAATTCCTCAAATCAACGGTTTTTCTTGAAATTCGAAAAAGATGCTCAAAATGTACACTGCATATTCTGCAATTATTGTGCAAATATTTTACGCTTTTGTTTTTTTTTACGTTGTGTCTTCCTGTTGCGATGACCCATTAGACAGATTTAGATCGAGGACGCGGACGTCAAAGACGATGTGAAAATGACGTCAAAATGGCGTGGCATATCCATACATGGGCACAACACGCCATTCTCACGTCGTCTTTGACGTCCGCGTCCTCGATCTAAATCTGTCTATTATTTGAACCTGTGTCATTTAAGAACGGTTGAAACAGCAATCTTTATTACCTAGTGATGGCGTCGTGATTACACTTGCTGGCTCGCGCTTGCGCATAAAAAATCTCAGACATAATTTTGGCTAAGTGAGACTTCTGGTCTATTTTCTATTCTGTGGTAGTATCACAGATGAGGTAAATACAGATATGAATCTCCCGTCAAACTGCTGATTGTTTTGTATCACACGGAATTCGCACTTCCGGCGAGCGCTGGCAAGTGTCGTTCTGAAATTTAATAAGGAAGTAATAGGGAAACGCCTTTTGAAAGACGAAAAATTGTTTTTTTAAAAAATCTGCGCTATCGACGGCTATTTTTGAATGAATTCTTCAAGAGTGACGGCAAGCGAGCACTTTTATTGATTTCCTTTCATTAAAAGTGTTAACATAACATTCTATTTAGCAAAAGTTTGTTTTTCCCTATCTTCTCCTTATTAAAATCGTGAAATACACTTGCTGGGAATTTCAGATGCAAATATAATTACAAAGCAGCGAATGATATAAATTCCTCAGAATGTAACTCTCGCAAAAAAGACATGAATACTTCTACAATATGTATAGTTTTATTCCTCTGCATTATCAAAATTTTTAATAAAATAGTGAATTAATATAATTTTAAAGTTTATTTGATCAGCGTGACATAATTTGCCGCGAGATTCGTCTCTGTATATCTCTCCTCTGCGGCAGTATCGCCTGAAGATCGCTTTGAAAGCGTGAAACACTGCGTAGCGGTTAATAAAATTTTAAGATTAAAATAATAATATATTTTGCTCTATCAATTAAATTTGTTATTGAGCACTCTTTTTGTACTACGGACAACGATTAATTATGGTATATACTTATATACATATATATATTATACCTCAAATTCAAATAGTTCAATCAAAAAACAACCACGTGATATACCACGTGATAGTATGATTTTTTACGGTATTTTACCCAAATTCATGATTTCGCAATGCAGCGTGAGATACTATAATATCCGAAGGTAGATTCTATAACAAACGTACTTGCAGGGAGGTGAGTCCGGGATTGGACGCACCGAGGGTGGCTGGAAGATTCCTGAACCACCTCGCTTCGCTCGGAGAGTTCGGGAAACTTCCAGCCACCCGAGGTGCGTCCAATCACGGACTCACCGAACCTGCAAGTATGTTTGGTATTTATCACATGCCATTTCGGTAAAATACTAAAAACGAACATTTTAGGCGCCAACATACTCCGCAAACAAACAAACTTAGGCTTAAATTGAAGCCAAAAAATTCTCTACAATATTCCATTATTCTTGAAAAGAGAAAATGCACACATTCTGCGAAAACATTGCCAAGATTTATATAAACCTGCCCGTGCCGAACAAATTTCGGAGGAAATTTTTTTCTCTTCCACTTTGAATACAGAATATTCCATTTTTATCAAACAAAATAAAAAAAACCAGTTATTTTATTTTTTTTTAAATCTTCGTCTGAAAATTGCTTCGCAATGGCCGCCGCCGAAACATCGATCTCGAACCCACCTCCTAAACATACGTCAGCAGGTGGGTTCGAGAGTGAACGCACCTCCTCGTAGCCAATAAGAAAGCCGCTAATACGCTAGGTATGAGATAAACCGTGGGATATTATAGTATCTCACGCTCACGCGTGACGCGTGGACACCCCGCTCTGAAACAATATAGCGTTCGCGACCTGTTGTTTGTAATTTCGTACAGAAGATTTATTGATTTAAGTTAACCAAAGATTTTCAAGACGTATGTTACCTTCAATGATCCAAAGGATACATGCTCAAATATTTTAAGACAAAACGTCAAAAACTCAGGTATGCGTAAGAAATTAAAAATTGTATTCGTTTCAAGTTTTAAAGTTTATTCTGAACTTGGTGGGTTCTTTAACTTTCGGTATAATATATCATTTATAGACCCTTTCGGTATATTATACCATTTAATACCCTCAGTGATGATATCTTTCCCTCGGGGCAAAGCAACCTCGTTCCCAGGGTCTCTCCGTCTGTCATCTGGGAGAGACCCTGGCTGCGGCTGGTCACGTGCCTCCCAGATTCTGGGAGGTAAATTTAATTGTAACTGTGAGAGGGGTGGGAAAGGAGCGTGTTTGTAGCGTTTTAAAATTGCAACTTTGGGTGATGAAATTTACTGTAAATTTGCAACAAGAAATCGTAATTATAAAGAGAACTCTTGAATTAATATTTATATCGTGACGTTCTACTCTATAATCTGGTGTCGAGTTACAATTCAAGCAAGTTGGATCAGATTTCATTATAGACTTGCCAAAGAAAGCACGCTTGCCGCTTGTGCAGCGTGGCAATATTAAACTGCGATTAAACCTACAAGAAAATATATATCTCTAGACCGAGCAGTGTGGTTGTTATTTATTTAGTATTAAAGTTTATCCTGATACTCGGACCAACAGAATTTATTTATTGATGAGATGTGGAATTGCAACGAAATAGCGAGATCTTTTGATTTCCGAAATATCGCCAACTGTATCCAGATTGTTGATCTATATAAAGGCCTTATCAAAAAACTTAAAGCCCGTCAAAAGACTATAAAATTGGCCGTTGGCATTGCTGAATCCAACGATCATGGTATATGTCAAAGTATAGCTGTCTGTTGAAAATCTACGGTATTAAAATCATACACCAAAGATAAGTCAAACGGCAAATTATATGTCACTATATTATACGACATTTTCAATGAGCACTGTTTAGTAGTGTTCACCACCTTTATAAATTTTGTAAACAGCTTTCGTTTTGACATGAATATTTTGCTTTATATATAATTATACATATATAATTTGCTTTATATGCATTCTTAATATATACAAGTGAGATTTAAATTTTTGCTTTGTGAAATAGAATACCGTTATTTTTTAATGGACAGCTTGCATCGTCTATATCATATCCAGGATTGCTTGTGTGTAAACGCATTATTCACTATATGACATTGACACTATCAAATAAATATAAGTAGCAAATGATTAATGAATTAGAGATAAACAGGTGATTCACAATGAAAACTTTAAAAATGTTAGTAGAAGTAGAAAACTCGAAAATTTATGTCTATTCGTATGACGCCAAATGACGGTCTGTGCGCATCTGACACTGTAAATTTGTGATATAGATTATAGTATATTAGCACAATATAATGATTAATAGAGACCAAGAAAAAGGCTTAAGTCTTACTATAATTACCGAATACGAATTTATTTAGTAAATCCAGATAAATCAATGACTGAAATTTCCTCTATGCTTATGGACATTTCTCTGTTCGGCTATTATCAAATGTTTACATTTGCTAATATTTAGGCCAGTCCTAGACAATACTGTTTCTTTTAAAAATCTTATAAACAAGACGCGTAGTAACAAGTGAATCGGTGCAAAGCGTATCAACGTTTACAAGAAAGGACAAATGTAATGGCCTATTTTAAAAACATTACAACAAACGTTTGTTATAACCGCGCTCGAGTGTGAAGAGAGCATGCATTGAATAACAACACGAGAGAGCACTGCGAGTAACGATTTGCTTGGTTTCTTGACTTGACTGTAAGTAAGAATGTAACAATGTTCTTGTAAATTCAAAGCAAAGAAAATAAACAAAAATTAGCAAGTATTTTGAACGTAATAATTCGCAAAATCTATGTTTTTAACGAATATCCCACTGGAAGCATGTTGATGTAATTTGATACTTTCCCCACACCCCCTCAGGCGCTAAATTTTTGATGAAGCACGTGACCAGCCGCAGCCAGGGTCTTTCCCAAAGAAAGATCCTGGGTACGAGGTTGGGGGCAAAGCCCCTAGGGAAATATTATCACTTCGGGTAATATTCCGCCGAACCTCCCTCGCTCCGGGTCTATAAATGATAAATAGCCTCCATGTGTAATAACATTGAAAAAATGAATTACCTGTGTCTCTTGGTGCTGATGTTGATTCTGACTTAACCGTTGTCGTTGGTGACGATGCTACAGAAGTTACACCTAAACAAAGTTAAACTGATATTAAATATATTTTTACCAAATAAAGAGGGATTCTGCAATTAAAAATACCATTATTGTACCCTTAACTTATATTAGGAACAATTATGAGGCCGATGCTTTCGGTAGTTGAAGGATTGCCCGATTTTTCTACGAAGGATTGTAATGAATTAACGTGAATTTAGCATATTTTCTGATAAAAATGCCCGAATTTTGGTGATTTGTCCGGGCATTTAATTTGGCCGAATTTCCATGATTTTCTAAAACCTTCCCCCACCCTCGCCCCGCTTTCTTATACGCCTGTTAGGAACCCATATAGTTGTGTGAAAAATGGAAATTGGACCAACACAGCTTGTCAAAAGCCAATTCGCAGCCAACAAGAACATTTAATTCCCGGCCTTAACTTGTATGGTATCTATCTGGAAGTAATTACGTTATCGAACCGAAAATTATATAGTATACCGTCCAGAGATTAACCGTCGAGCTTTCAGAAAAAACTCAGGAAGTATAGATGAACAATATTAGGACAGACAAAAACTACATGTCCAGGAATCATAAATATACTGATGTTGCAATATACTTACGCAAATGCAATGTCAAATTCGTTTCCCCAGCGGACGACGAGGATATCATTTCGACTGATGACGAGTGTGGCGGTATTTTTGCTAATGTGGCTGTGGAAAAGAAAGAATGTGTGGTATGTTTAGTAATTGTTTATGTCGTATGTTCACCTTTCTTGCAAGACGGGTGTGGGACCTTGTGGTATTCAGAAAACAGACGAGAAATTTTCTCTTGGTGATATGCAAATTTATGTAATTACAAGGACATTCTTTGGTGTAAGTCTTGCGTTCCGCGTTCCGCGAAGAACCCGTGTCATCAGCAGTGCAAAAACCATGATATAATTATGCAGTTATCAACTGTGCATATTAATAAATTATTATCCATAAGGTTCCATCATATATAATTCTTTTCATAATGTTAGTTTATAGTTTCGTTGTCAGTGGCGTAGCCAAGCTACTGATTTTGAGGGGAGGTGCATAACAACATTAATTCGGTATATTAGAGAGGTGGAGGCTGGGTTAATACACGCCAGAAAGTGATCGAATTATTTGGGTATCAAGAACAAATGCTGCGACGAGTATCAAGAACGAATGCTGAGACGAGTTCTGAAGAAAAAGTCGTAGCCACAAAAGACCATTTTATGGTTATTCCAGATATTCCCCTCTCCCACCTCACGTTCACTTTCCTGTCCAGATTTCAACTTTTGACATAAGCAGTTCGGTGATCATAGGGTGGATGGATTGATAGATGGGTAATTGGAGGTGTAGAGCAAGATGAGTCTCGCCTTCGGCGTACGGTGTTGACGCTTTCGGCAGTTGTGGATGATTGTCATGAATTTGCCATATTTTCTGATAAATCTGTCCGAATTTTCTTGATTTTTCCTACGATTTGACAGAATTTACATGATTTTCTAAATTCTCTTCCCTCCCCCGCCGCGCTGTCTCGTACGCCTGTGTTATCAATCCATGCAGGAAATTAGACCAAACAACTTGCCAACAGCCAATTCGCAACCAAGAACATTTTATTTTAATTTCTTCCTGAACGTATAATGTATCTGGAAGGGATTACGTTATCGAACCCAAATTAAGCTATCCCAGAAATTAAACGTCCAGCTTGCAGAAAGGTATGAACACAATTAGGGAAGACAAAACCCATATGTCTAGGAATTATGAATATTACAGATGCTGCAATATACTTACGCATTGTAAAATTCCTCTCCACAACGGAAGATAAAGATATCATTTCGACTGGTGACGAGAACATTTTTGAGTGTGGCGTTATTGCTAATGTGGCTGTAAAAGAGAAAGTGTGTCGTTATTGTTTATGTCGTATGTTCACCTAATGCAAGACGGGCCAGAGACCAGTGCACGTGGAGTACGTGGTATTTACAAAACGGATTGGAAATTTTCTCTTAATAATATGCAAACTTATATGGTTACAAGGACGCTCTTTGATACACGCATCTTGTGTTCTGCGTCCGTTCAACACAATGATATATTCAGTTATCGACAGTGGATAACACTGCATTACTGTCCATAAGATTCCATCATAACTCTTTTCTACATTTATACGACAATATATGGTTCGTACAACGTTTTAATTGTTGAAACATGATTATCATAATGTTAATCCCCGAGCCGACGGCGCGAAGCGCCGTGCGAGGGTACTAATTCCCCCCCCCCCCGGCTATTTACACCCGGGGAAGGGAAGCATTAGCGAAGTCTAAAGTTCATCAAATATCGCGGGCGTGGGTCACTGTGCGTGTTTCGGTGGGTGGTCATCCTCACCTCACTGATCTCATAATATAGCGGACTGTAATGAATAGCCAACACTGATTGGTCCAATTTAAAATTGGCATTATAACGGCTGCATGACGTTTGACGACAGCGAAATTGATTTGATGATTTCTTGCAAATATATTTTATTTTTGCAAGATTTTGTAAATTGCAAAGGATTTTTGATGAAATAAAGGCAAGAGGATTGCTAAAAGAAGGAAGTAAAGGTGCCGGCGTTAACGAAGGTAAGTTTGTTTTAAATATTGATGCATTGTTTGCTTTTAATATACTGTAATCTCGATCGGCTGTAATTACTTTAAAAGCCGATCGTTGCGTATATAAAATATGAAACAAGACAGCGTATTATTTCAGTGTTTCTTTATTGATTACACTTTTTATTATACTAAGCAAAGTTATTTACATGGGAGAATTTGGAATCATTTTATTTCGAACTCAAAGTTTATCGATAAAGGCAGTTTAGTTCTATATTAAAAGAACACTTTCAAACGTTTTGCGAAGCGTTTGTGGTTGAATTTTACCTTAAATTCAAGCTTATATTACGTATAATAACATACCTACTGTAATTACTTTAAAAGCCGATCGTTGTGTATAAATATGAAACAAGACAGCGTATTATTTCAGTGTTTCTTTATTGATTACACTTTTTATTATACTAAGCAAAGTTATTTGCATGGGAGAATTTGGAATCATTTTATTTCGAACTCAAAGTTTATCGATAAAGGCAGTTTAGTTCTATAGTAAAAGAACATTTTAAAACGTTTTGCGAAGCGTTTGTGGTTGAATTTTACCTTAAATTCAAGCTTATATTACGTATTATAACATACCTAACTGAACATATATATGTTTAGCAAATTGATAATTTTGTAATTAAAAGTGATATTTATAGGGGATTTTTCATTTGTAAAAACATTCTTAAAAAATTATCGTGTTACCATGACAACAACAAGGGGGAATATCGTTCTCGACCAATCAGCGCTTTTGTTTACATTTTTGCCCTAAGCCAATCAGAATGCGTAAAACGCTTCATCACATGAAATTTGTAAACAAACATATGGGGTTACTTCAGAGCTTTTCTGCAAGCGGTTTTTTGCCATGAAATTCATATATGTTGTTCTTAAAAGAATTTTCCTCAACTTACTCGTGGCGATTTTTGATCAATTGCGTGATTGCGAAGATATGGGTCTTCAAACTTTGCCTTGCGCAAGCTAGCTTAAATACCACCCCTCGAATCTGTAGGTTCCGAACGGATTAGCGTTTTTAACAGCCTTTCAAATCGAGGTTTGAGAGGTTTTATTTTTTAAAAGATACTTTTATCTTCATATTTTGACATTAACTTATTAATATCCTGTGTAACAAGTAAACAGGACACTTCAGGGCCGGGACAAGTTGACATGTCGATTTCTTGCTAAACAGCGTGGCGATCAATATGGCGAATATCTAAATACAGGGAATTTTTAAAATTTGTTGGTATAAATGGGCTAAAGAAACTCATCAAATATTTGGACTATGGACCTTCAAACTTGTGCCAAGTATTTATTTGATTGATTAGCTCAATAACTGTTTTTTGGCTCGTTTTTCGTCGATTTCGACATTTAGTCGAGCTTTAGTCGACTTCAGAATAAGGCCACATAAAAAAAAATACTTGGTTAGCGTGACCGCCCGCCTCTCGATTTCTGCCGCCTCTGAATTTTTTTTTATTTTTTTTTATGTAAATCTCTTCGTTTTACAGCTTAAAACAGATTAATATTTGAAATTTTTCTCATGCTCAGACCTTCGCGCTATATACTGATCGATAGGAGCGCGTGGGATTGGGTATACAAGGTTCTTATAGCAAAATGGCGGCCTTCGCAACATCAGTACAAAAAATTTCACCGACATGGTGGAAAAACCGCCCCCATCCCCCCAAAAAATACTATTAAAAAATTAAAAAACGAGTAAAAATTAAAAAAAAAGCGCCCGCCCGCCTCTGAAAATTTGTGAGAGTGTGACGCTAACCAAGTATTTTTTTTTATTTGGCCTAATGTGTCAACATTGCGTGTTGCAGCCTGTGAACATGAATATAATTTTCGTTTGTTTGACCATAACACTTGTCTTTATTGTTTTTAATCCTTGAATGACAACATATTCATTGGTCTCAGAGTCCTAAACTTAAGGAAGATGGATGACATTGGGACAGATATCAAAATTTTGTTCAGATATCAAAATTTATGGACATATATAGTCACAGTGACTAAGTCACTCATAGCGCCCTCATTGTTTCTTCCTTAATCTGGCCCACTAGTCACAAATGGGGCCTGTTCTTATGACCTGGCTAGGCAGGAGACAACATTTGCCAGTATTGCTGATATACTATCCTGCTACTATTATAGCTAAGCACAAGGTATCTGTTGCCAGAATCCCAACTATGCAAGCCAAGAAATTCACCATTTACAGTAAACATTCTATCCCACAACCAGGTAACATAAACTTGCCTTTAGGGTCCCATGCTGCCTAGCCCAGATCATATCAACAGACCCTTAGCAGATCCTGAAACTACAATCGGAACATTTTAGGCCATAATCTTGTAGAATCAACCAGGTATTGTCAGTAGTATAATATCACACTGGGCAAGCTGGTCTTGCCCATTTATATGGGCTAAATATACACCTGCCCATGGTAAGATACTGCCTCGTATATTAATTTTATATATGTTTGAGATTGCATTCACATGAAACAGCCTGGTTGAATTTATAGGCCCAGCATCTGCTTGAGCAAGTTGATATCCTGCATTGGGAGTCCTGGGAGTTGATATCCTGCACTAATAAAGGTCATAAGCTGGCCAACCAGCTCACTCGGCTAAAAATCATGTTATAACAGGGTGTTAGCTAGGATTTCATAAGTGGCCGTCCAAAATAATTTTGTGTGCGTGGCCACACATTTTTTGTGGGCGTGGTCACATGGTTTTGGCCGTGGCCGCAATTTTGAGTTGTTGTGGAATTGTGGTGTTCTATTCGTTGAACCTTTTTACTTTTCGATCCACACGCGTCTGTCGATACTTCCACTCAGCCATATTCAACGTGTTTTCGACGGGAAAAAGTATGAAAACATATACCATAAGTAAACAGCAGATGACAACAATTCGAAGTATTCAAGAAATATTACAAAGCCTGTAAATTGCTATTTAAAGAAAATATTCCCTTTGGCCGTCCATGGCCGCCCATTAAAATTTAGCCGTCCGAATTCAGAAGTGGCCGTCTGTAGGACGGTCGGACGGCCGCCTGGCTAACACCCTGTGTTATAATACACAATTTGGCCCAAGTAAGTAAGAAATTGATTAATATAAGCCTTCTGAAGCTGTTGTCATTAACAAATTAACCAGCATTTCACACAAATTTCTTGACAACAGTTGCCAGGTTAGCCTGGCTCCTGTGAGGCAAATGACAGGTTAGCCTGGCTCCTGTGAGGCAAATAACAAACGCTTTAACTAGCCCTGAAAAGAAAAATCCAGCCATGTTTGCTGGGCTAGCATGGCCCATTTTGACAGCCCTTAACAGGGAGAGCTTATTTTTGGAAGGGAGATCTGATTTTTGGAAGGGAGGCCTATTTGTGAGGTTACTGGGGGCTTAATATTGGATTGCATTATTATATAATATGTGTAAAATATTCATTTGTGCACAGGTATTCTGGTAATGCACAAATTTATGGACTAAAATGTTTCAATTATAGTCTCGGGATCTATTGGGGACCTGTTTATATGATCTAGGCTATCCAGAACACATGCTTGAAGCCTATCATGTTGCCTGTTTGGGATACAGTGCTTATTGTATATGGTGAATTTCTTGGCTTACATATATAGCCAGGATTCTGGCAATGGAAACCTCACGCTTAGCCAGGCCGATAGTAGCAGGATAGGATAGGACATACTGGCCAATGTCGTCTCCCACCTTAGGCCACCTAGCCAGGTAATATGAACAGGGCCCAATTGTGACTAGTGAGACAGATGAAGTAAAAACAATGAAGTTCATATATGTCCATAAATTTTGATACCTGAACAGCAACATTGAACAAAATCATTCTGTCCCAATGTCATCCATCTTCCTTAAGTTTAGGACTCTGAGACCAATGAATATATTGTCAATCAAGGATTAAAACCAATGAAGACAAGTGTTATTGTCAAACAAACGAAAATATTCATGTCCACAGGCTGCAACACGCAATGTTGACACATTATCCTGAAGTCAACAAAATGTGGAAATCGACGAAAAACGAGCCAAGAAACAGTTATTGAGCTAATCAATCAAATAAATACTTGGCATAAGTTTGAAGGTCCATAGTCCAAATATTTGATGAGTTTCTTTAGCCCATTTATACCAACAAATTTTAAAAATTCCCTGTATTTAGATATTCGCCATATTGATCGCCACGCTGTTTAGCAAGAAATCGACATGTCAACTTGTCCCGGCCCGGAAGTGTCCTGTTTACTTGGTACACAGGATATTAATAAGTTAATGTGAAAATATGAAGATAAAAGTATCTTTTAAAAAATAAAACCTCTCAAACCTCGATTTGAAAGGCTTTTAAAAACGCTAATCCGTTCGGAACCTACAAATTCGAGGGGTGGTATTTAAGCTTGCGCAAGGCAAAGTTTGAAGACCCATATCTTCGCAATCACGCAATTAATCAAAAATCGCCACGAGGAAGTTGAGGAGAATTCTTTTAAGAACAACATATATGAATTTCATGGCAAAAAAACAACAACATATAAGAATTTCATGGCAGAAAACCGAAAAACCGCTTGCAGAAAAGCTCTGAAGTAACCCCATATTTTTGTTTACAAATTTCATGTGATGAAGCGTTTTACGCATTCTGATTGGCTTAGGGCAAAAATGTAAACAAAAGCGCTGATTGGTCGAGAACGAAATTCCCCCTTGTTAACCAAATGCTATAACCATGTCAACCAAATATTTGAGACTTGCGACACAGATATATTCTACCTATTGGCAATTAGCAAGATATTTCTCTATTAATAAGCACATTAATTATAAAGTCTTGAGAAACTATAAAAATCAGTTTTCCTGTAGAGAAAGAAACTATAAAAATCAGTTTTCCTGTAGAGAATGTTCGCTTACGACCGCGTTTTTCTTATCCATCACTGTTTGAATGTATTGCAAACCCTTTATGTCTTAATCTGTCACATGCTGGACAGAGATAATTCAAAATTTGCGTTGTTGCTTTTAAATCGTTCAACTGTAAATAGGCTTGAGTATACGTGCAAGAAACAATAAAACTATACCAAATCAAAAACCCATTCAGGAACATTTGTTCTATTAATTTTTAGACATTGACGAATGTTCTCTATCTGTGGACAATTGTCATTCCAACGCATATTGCACAAACACTGATGGATCGTTCCTGTGTACTTGTAATAATGGATATTTTGGAAGTGGAACTGTTTGTCAAGGTAAATTTTTATCTTATATTTGTCATTGCAATCAAAAAGTGAAACTCTCGACCAAAAAGATCGCACAAATAAGTAGCTAGAATTTCGTTTTGAAAAAAATAATTGCAATTCTGAAAACGTTCATGGTTATAATTTGTTACGTGTTAGAAAACCAGTATAAAGTACTGCATGGCATTCGAGAGAACAATTTCCCGATAAATATTTATTATTCTTACCTTTAAAGTTCATATTCCTACTTTAAAAATTCCGAAGAAACCTGTCGAGGGGGGGGGGGCAGAGAGAGTATCAGTGTTGCCTAAATTACTTTGAATTTGTACTCGAGTAAAAGTAAAAGTAATTAACAATAAAACGACTTGAGTAAGGGTAAAAAGTAGTGGAGGCAAAACGTACTTAAGTAAAAAGTACAAAGTGTCCTTGAAGAAAAAAAAACCAAAAAAACTTGAAGTACAAAGTAAAAGTAAAAGTACTACTGTCTATAGCGTTTAGGGGGGGGGGGCTTCTCCAATGGATTGGCATACAAAAGACACAAGACAGCACACGTATTATATGCGTGCACCATAATAATTATAGAATATTTCACGAAATGGTCTACTTTCCAGACACCGTTGAAGATATAAGAAATCCATTAAATATTAAATAATGCTTATATGTAGGCATCAACTATTTCGCTAACCTCAGAATGACATTTCGTCAAACCTTTTTTCATTAGGATTGGTTTAGAAACAAATTTGGAGTAATAGGGTTAGGTTAGGGTTAGGGTTGTGGTCAGGATTAGGGTTACAGTTGGTGTTTGGAATAGGAATAGTGTTAGTAAAACCGTTGCTTTGTTACGTTTTGTCACTCCGAGGCCAGCGAAATAATCTCTTCCTTATATGTAGAGGTCCTATTACCTATCCCAAAATTAAAATAAATCCGGAATAAATCACGTAAAATTAAACAAATGTAAGAAAGTAACGAAATACTTCGCCACACACAAAGTGAAAATAACGAAGTAAAACGTTACTTCTTAAAACAACTTCGTTCCAAGTAAAAGCAGGGGCGCTGGAGCCACGGGGGCAACTGCCCCCGTTGCCCAAACATTGCGGGGGCAGCACGGGGGCAACAGGTTGCCCTTTTTGCCAGAACTGCACTTCAAAGTTTGTGCATTATTCACAGAAATTGGAATTTAGAACTTAATGTGAGTTTAAGTACTGTTTAACAAACGAGCAGGAGTGTTTTATTAGGTTTAAAGACACGACCGCGCAGCGCGAGTGGCTTTAGACCTAATAAAATACGACCTGCGAGTTTATTAAACGGCTTCAAACACGACTACAAATTCAATAGATATACCGCCTTAATAGTATTCTTCATCCCTTACGAAAATTTCCTATAGGAATTCCTATAGGAAAAATTCCTATAAGAATTTGGAACAAAATTCCTATAGGAATTTTTCCTATAGGAATTTTGTCCTAATCCCCTATAGGAATTTTTGGTATTCCTGCAGAAATTGTAGAATCTATAGATGAATTGTAAAGACATACATATTGGTCATCACTCTTAATTTAATGCAAAAATATACATATTATTACATACAAATACACAAATTATTAAATATTAATACTATTACTGCAAGAAAAAATTACAAATCAATTATGGTTTTCACCTATGGTATAATAACAAGTCAAAACAAAACATAACCTAACAAAAATCATGGCAATGGTTTATTTATAACACGTGTCAAATCAATCGTTCCATACATTGCCATATTTATTTACCTGTTCGTTATTAAACCATAGGTGTATATAACAACTATAATTGACATATAAAGTTTTTTACTATTAGAATGTATCTCAAAACCTACTGTCCTAAATAAATTATTGTTCCTGTTTGCTCTTTTGTACTTTGCAACACTTCACCACATTGTTCATTTTCGTCCTCATATGCTGACGGACCTCAGAGCTCTTGCAACCATATTTTGCCGATACATAAGCTGTAAAAGACAAAATTAATAAATTTATTTAAAGTATACCATGCATACCCTGTAGCTGCTGAACAGAAAACAAGAGAAACATTTCCCCGAACACAGCAAGTACACTTCACAAATCACAAGTTCACATGGATAAATCTCCTAGAGACCTGCCTGGTAAAAATGGTTTAGAAATGTAATACATAAAATCTTTTAATAAAGTCCTGTTTACACGAGCAAATTATATTTGACAAATTTCATATGTCAAGGATATTTTGCTCGTCTAGATGATAAATTTGTGACAAATTATTGTGACAAACGAATGTGAACAAAAGCTTGCATGCTAGCTTTTGATCAAATGAAATTTGTCAAATAAAATTTGCTCGTGTAAACAGGGCTTTAAATTTAAATACCAGTATTAACTTACCACAAATACTATCTACTTTTGAAGCATCCAGTTGTGGTTTAATGTCAACATCTTTGTGCGCATTTGACTTTCTACCAGTCACTGAGTGCGTTGACAGGACTTCTCTAGACCACAACATGTGCATTATTGTGTACACGAAGTCTTTTGCACTTGCTTTTTTTATCAATACACCTTTCTGCCATTTTGACACTTGGACATTTGAGCAAATTGTCACTTAAAAAGAATATTATGATACTATTTAATACATTTTGAACAATGCCAATTAGCTAGAGACACTGGCAGCAGTTTTGTTAACATGTGACACACAACAATCTAACAAAGGCAACCCTACACTATCATGCAAACATTTTTTTTCAAAAGATGGTTGTCAAATTACATTTTATTACATATCTTGACATCATCACTAATATGTATCTAACGTTTTGGGAGTACATGAAATTCCTGTAAGTTAGGGGTGCATCGGAACCAAATTTTAAATTTCCGACAGGAACCGATTTATTCAGCCATATAATAGTCATATGTTACTTCGCTTGCAGCCCGACAAGCAGACACTTCAAGTCATCAAGGAGAGACCTCGCAAATGTTAGAATAAAAAGATTGACAAACGTTCAACATCATAATTAAGTCTTAATAGACAGTGTACTTTTCCTTAAGTAGTCCAAATTTCTTCTGTGAACTTTTGTTAGACACGAAAATATTTGATACCGTATTCTATCTCTCTAACTGTATTCTATCCCTCTACTTGTAAAATTTGAAGACACATATAAGTGTTGTGGACTAGAAGTCAAAGCTTCTGATGATGGTGTTGCCAAAGGCATTGGCGCAGCTGTATACAAGGAAAAGATCCTGGAGAAATCCTAGTATTGGAACCTGTTGACACAACTGAGGTATTAGACTACCTTGATGTGATCACAAAACCAATGGACTTTACATGTGGCGATGAGGGAAAAAATCGAAGGAAACATTTATAAAACTTTTGAGGAGTTTGATAAGGATTATATATCTGAAAAATCAGGGTTCCTGAGGGAACTAACTGGCCAGAACCGAGTTCCGGTGCACCCCTACTGTTATATTTGGCTTAACTAATGATGTTGGATATAAGTTGAAATATTACTTACACTATCCGCTTCACTTTCTGAAACTCCAAAGCATGACGATGTTGTCCGGCTGGAGCAGCTAGATGCTGGTGAAGAGGGTGGGTCTACAGGGAACATAGTCTCTTGTTTTTTACCAATTGGCAACTCATGATCCACCATTTTGCTTGCCAACTGCAGTCTCTTAGAGCTGACCAAAGAAGGACCATCGCTTTCTTGTTGGCTTTTGACAGCGTACCGAAGATATTTAGCTGACTCCTTCAATTCCTGTACAAGATCGCCAAAGCTGTGCATTTCTGTGATTAATTAAAAGGAGAAAAGCAATGTTTAAAAAAAAAACTAACAAACTTGGACACAACATGTCCAATATTTCAATTTATTTTTGACTGTTTCGCTTTTGCCAAAAAACCCAACAGAATTGGGAATATGGAAAGTTATTCTAACCTTGTGTGTCTTTCAATCTGGTTTTCAGATCTTTAATCTCTTTCTCTTTCTCGGCCAGAAGGTTTTTCAATCTTTGGATTTCGTTGGCCTGATCTCCATTTTCTTCCTCGTCTTCACTTTCAGAAATATCAGGTGAAATGTGCTAGGCAAGAAATTGAAGTGCTTGTTAATTCAGATGCCTCCACTTGATAGTATTTGCTATCAAGGCTTGGTTACACAAAGCCATGCAGGTAGTTCAAAGCTATTTACGAAGTGACGTCTAATGTCTATAGCATATACATGTGCCCATTACCTTGTTGAGCACCTTACTTTAGTAATTCAATGCCTAACTCATCCATGTATGGCACTGCCTGTTCATGGTTTAACAGAGATAGAGAAAAATTACAGCAGCTGGTTAAATCTCACTCTTGGTCTACTTGCCATGCATTAATGACATACACAGTTGCACCAATCGTAATAATCGAAGCGAAACTGTTGGTCTCATTTCAGACGTAACATCATCCATGTTGTACCGTGAATTACTTGAAAATCACAACTTTTCGAACAATGATTTGTCCTTGACATGGAATACTGATGGGATTCCAGTTTTTGAATCGTCATCATACTCCATTTGGCCAATTCAAAGCTCCATAAATGAATTACCTCCACATTTGCGAGGAAAGCACATTTTATTGAATGGCCTTTGGTTTGGTAATAAAAAGCCTGCTATGAACACATTTCTAAAGCTATTTATTGATGAGTGCAAACATCTTGAAGACCATGGATTTACCATTCAGCATGACCTCCAACCCAAGAAAGTTTTTGCAATGGTTCTATCTGCTAATTCACCAGCAAGAGCCATTGTAAGGAACTGTAAACAGTTCAATGGTCAGCACGGTTGTGATTGGTGTGAGTTCGCGGGTGAAACAATGAACAATCATGGTGGTCCTCCAACACGGTATTACCCATATAGAGGCCCCCCTACGTTGCGAACTGCTACAAAACAAGTGAAGTATGCAATCGAATCGATCGACAAGAATGAAGTAATTAAAGGGGTTAAAGGCCCTTCAGTAATTAGTATCCTTCCCGCCTTTGATCCAGTGAGGGGAATTGCTGTCGACTTCATGCACTGCGTATGCCTTGGTGTCCTGCGACAATTTGTTCATCTATGGATGGACACTAAACAACACGAGAAGCCGTATTACATTGGCAGAAGGGAGTCAGAAATTGATGAAAGATTGAAAGCTATCAACATCCCTAGCGAAATTAGTCGTGCACCTCGGTCTTTCTCTGAAAGGAGTTACTGGAAGGCATCTGAGTGGAGGGCTTTCATATTGTACTGCCTGGTTGTTTTACATGGTATCCTACCACCAGTATACCTTAAACATTTCTTCCTGTTTGTTTTTGGTGTTTACAGCCTGCTTGGTGATTCAATTGATGAGTGCACCATAAGTTCTGCTGATGCTTGTTTGACAAAATTTGTCATTCAAGTGGAGGAATTATATGGCTTGCAATGTTGTTCATTCAATGTGCATCAGCTGGTCCATCTAGCACAGTCTGTGAGAAATTGTGGTCCTCTTTGGTCCAATTCAGCCTTCATTTTCGAATCCAACAACCATGTTTTGCATAAAATGTTTCATGGAACACAGTATGTCCCAAAGCAAATAGTGGAATCATTTGTTCGGAAACGGAAGATCGCTTTATTGGCTAAGAAGTGCATCAACGATGAAACATGTCCCTTGGTTACAAATTTGTTTCGAAAGCTAACTGAAAGTAATGTTCCTCGAAGTTGTGAAATAACACTATCTGACGGTGTTCGTGGAATTGGCCAAGCAACCCCTGTGCAACTTACTGCCTCTCAGGTACTAGCTGTTCAGCAGTTATTGGGACTAACATTAAAGAAACAGTCTGGATTTATCTATTTGAGATTTGTAGCAAATCACCAGTTGTATACAGGTAAAGGTTATGTTAGGTCCAAAAAGCATGTCAACTACAATGTATCTTTTGAGCATTACCGATTTATGTATGGTGTAGTTATTGGACTTTTGTCCATTAAGCCAGAGTGTTTGTGCAATGTAGTAGAGTTACAGTATTGTAATTGTAGGTTGTACAATGTTGTTTTAATTCAGCCCATGGTTGTGTGTGAAAGGCCATTATTGAGAGATGCTGATTTCAACGCAAAGAGCTATTTCTTGGCAGAGGTAGATGAGGCTGGATTGCAAATTGCAATTCACCCCGAAGAGATAAGAAGAAAGTGCATTTCTTTGACACTTGAAAATAAGAAGTACTTTTGCCCGCTTCCTTACCGTATCAATGACAACTAGGGAGATAAAGAATGAGTAGAACTGTACAAACGAGTGTATATATATTAATATTAAATGTAAATTTACAATGATAGTACGGTATGTTGTAATTTAACATACAATGAAGAGGCAATTGAAATAGCCAATACAGCAATTTTTTCAGTGAATAACAGCTATGTAACAAGTTCTGATTTGTTTTGATGTGATGTTATAAACTTTAAACTGCATGAGACCAGTCATTAATAATGGGAGGGGGGCCTGTGGGTGAGAAAAGGGGGGTGCCTTCAACCATTTTTGTCTGAATTGGGGGCGGCCTCAAACTGAAAAATATGTGACAACTGGCGGCCCCAAATTTTTAATACTTTCTTACTCATTTTCAAAATATTTAAACTTTCTTTAGTTCCCATGATCATAGTTTCCATAGTTTATTATAACATTTTGAGAAAATGTAGTCTTACTGTACACAACAACGACACAGAAATAAACTACATTGAAAAATATGGATAAACCGGTATTTCTGAGAAAACAACTGAATGCATGCATGTGTCTTAAATGTCTTTACTAATATTAAGTTGTTTGTGTATAATCCATTTTAAATTAATTATGCCTGTCAACATTCATGGGAAAAGAGATTTTTGCTTCTGGAAACATTAATTAGGATGTTGATATAAATATATTGCTATAGGAACTGACTCACTTTTTATCATTTTATTTTTCATGGCTTTCCAATCTTATAGTCCCTATAGGGAATCCTATCTTATTGGAATTGTTTAACCATTTTCAAACCCTATGCCTATGGAAATTCCAGTAGGAATTTTATTAAATTTTTTGAGATTTATACTACTATTTTCAAATCCTATAGGAATTCTTAATTTCCTATAGGAATTTTAATTTCTTGTAAGAATTTTCCCACCATTTTCCAATCCTATAGGAATTCCTATAGGAATTTTTTTTCCTATAGGGAGGAATTTTCCCACCATTTTCCAATCCTATAGGAATTCCTATAGGAATTATAGGAATTCCTTTAGGAATAGGAATTCGTATAGGAATTCCTATAGGAATTTTCAGTTCCTTAGGAATTCCTATAGGAATTTTCAATTCCTATAGGAATTCCTGTAGGAATATTTTCAATTCCTATAGGAATTCCTATAGGAATTTTTCGGATAGGGATATAAAAAATACTAATGAGGGCACGACTAGAATAGATACTGCCTTATTAATATTCTTTATATAAAGAATACTAATTACCTGTAGGAGTGTTTTATCAGGTTTAAAGCCACTGCACGTGACATATTATGGTTGACATGATTTGCCAATAAGCTTATGAATTATTAATGAGTGTTTGAAGCAATGTTTAACGATGTGGTACAATCCGTATGGAAACAAAGGCATTGTTTACATTTCGGTATCCAAAATATAAAATTTTATTCGAAAACTATTTACATTTTTATGGCTCTAGAGTGTGATAAATTGTAAAGACACAACAGTCAAGCTTTGCAAGAACATAAAATGATATGATAAAATGAACATGAAACATGTAAATAAACTGTTTGTATAGTAAAAAGAGTGCCCGATCCTTTGTGCACATACGCAGATCGGACTTTAAAGCATCTCAGTAAGCAATCTTTAATTTTTAATCAGTTGTAGTAAAATTGATGCTAAATCAAGCAATATACGTTCGTTCACTGGTTTTATTTTGCATCTTTAGCACGGTGCAACGAATAAAATTTTTCAAATTAATGTCGAAGTTTGCCGACCCATAATAGCCACAAGTAATCGAGTAACCATACAGTAAAGTTTTAGCGAATATTGCTGCCCAGAAAAATGAAGTGCCCTTTTGAAATGGCTGCCCCCGCCGCTTCACATTGCTTCCGGCGCCCCTGAGTAAAAGTGCTCCATTTGTTGATCTGATGTGATGTCTTGATAATAGTACGTATACTCACGTCTATTTATACTGGCCGCAGCCAGTGTCATGGAATGCCCTTGCTCAGAGGAGGAATGAGGGTCTTCCCAAAATGCAACGCGTAAATCAGTGCTGCTCATTATTATTCAAGATATTTATTCTCAACGCGCCGTTCTATTAAAAACTGTTGAAATATATTGCGATTTTTGCTGTGAAGATCTCGTTTTCTTAAAGCTATGTTTTGATAACTTTTTTGTTTAGTAATTTAATAAAAGAAGTTTTGAATAATTTTGTATATATATCGCAAATTCCCATTGTATTTATGCATATGTTGGGTCGATGAACATGACCTTCAAAGTGGCATTGAAATATTCACGAGTAAATTGTACTTTTTTACAAGGAAACTAAAACAAAATCACATGAGTGAATTCAGGAATGTTTACTCTTTATAATGATACTTTAAAACATGAATTTACTCCATAAAACCGCAAACAGTTATCGCGGTTTGAAAATGAGCTATTTTTGCTATATTCTATAAGCAAAAAATTCAAAAAATATCTCATTTTCAAACCGCGATAACTCTTCGGCTTTATGGAGTAAATTAATGTTTTAAAGTATCATTATAAAGATTAAACATTCCTGAATTCACTCATGTGATTTTATTTTAGTTTCCTTGTAAACAATTACAATTTACTCGTGAATATTTCAGTGCCACTTTGAGGGTCATGTTCATTAATTGACTCAAACATGCATAAATACAATGGGAATTTAACATAAGTAAAACGCGATATATATACAAAATTATTCAAAACTTCTTTTACTAAATTACAGAACAAAAAAGTTATCAAAACATACCTTTGAGAAAACGAGATCTTCACAGCAAAAATCACAATATGTTTCAACATAAAGTTTGTTCGTTCACTGCAACCAGGTATATCAATCATGTTTCGCTCGCTACTCTGGTTTAAATAAATGATTACAAAGCCCAGTCGAATTGTAATCAAGACCCAACGTTTCGACACACCAGTCTAGTGTCTTCATCAGGGGTGATCTAAAACTGCGATCGTGGCTTCTTAAATACCCAAGGGATGACGTCACCTGCCAAGAAGATGCATATATTCCTCTGGCAAATAGGCACCGTCATCCCTATTCAAAGCATGATGACTCATATTTATATGCCACGCTTCTAGGCAAAGTCTTTGACCATAGCGATTGTTTGTGGTAATTACTTTAGAGTTTTCCCACGCAATCTCGTGTTTGGTGTAACATACATGTTCGGCTAAAGCTGATTTTCCCTTGTCTAAAGTTGAAACAGCCTTTTGATGTTCTTTTAGCCGTGTACCAAACTGGCGTTTAGACTGACCCAAATACTCTTTGTCGCAGTGACCGCATGGTATAGAATATATAGCATGAGTCTTCTGATTTTTTTCAACAGGATCTTTTGGCTTTGCGAAAATATGGCCTAAAGTCAAATAGGGTTTTAAGGCAACCTTAATATTACAATTACTTAAGATTCTCTTGATTGGTTCTGTGACACCTTGAATGTATGGAACTATTGCAAAACCCTAGTTTTAGATGCAACCTTAATATTACAATTACTTAAGATTCTCTTGATTGGTTCTGTGACACCTTGAATGTATGGAACTATTGCAAAACCCAAGTTTTAGATCAAGGCAACCTTAATATTAAGGCAACCTTAATATTACAATTACTTAAGATTCTCTTGATTGGTTCTGTGACACCTTGAACGTATGGAACTATTGCAAAACCCCAGTTTTAGATCACCCCTGATGAAGACACTAGACTGGAGTGTCGAAACGTTGGGTCTTGATTACAATTCGACTGGGCTTTGTGATCATTTATTTAAACCAGAGTAGCGAGCGAAACATGATTGATATACCTGGTTGCAGTGAACGAACAAACTTTATATCTATACGAGAAAAATATGGTCAAAATGTTGTTTCGAGGCTTCGAAAGCTCGTCAACATGAAGATTCGTATTGCCAAATATCGTAGTCATTTGTATTTCAATCATCGGTGCAAGAAAAACAAAGTTTTACCGTTCAGCTTGCGATTCAAACCTCCAATGCGGAGTAAAAAGGGATACAAGGTAATGGAAAATACTGGTTTTTCTTTCCTGAGGTTTCGTTTAAACGATTGTCATCATTCTATACAGCGTCTGCGCTCTGATTGTCAACGTTTACTCTGCGAGCTTTCTGATTTGATCGACTGCTCTGAAGTCCTATGGATCGAAGAGTTTTGTCGGTCGCAATTTCGCAAAGAGTCGATCAAACAGAGAGAGAAGCATGACAAAAAATTGCTGCGTCTGATTGGAACGAAACCATCTGATAAATCAGGTTTGAATCATAAGAAGAGATGGGTTAAAAACCTCTCATCTGAAGAGCTAAGTGAGTTGGAAAGGAAGGGTCTTGAACACGGCCTAAAATTTGCGGTTGTACCTAACAGAATTCCAACAGCCGAAATCATTGCTTCAGTGGAGGAAGGAATTTTTGCGCTAGACGATGATGCTAAGCGATTGGTAAGAGCTCAGGTCAGTAGCATTCTTAGACGTGCCAAAATACCTCCAAAAAAGATTGATTCGAATGTTTTTAAAGCTTTACTTGCTCTTAACAAAAGATCCGGACAGGGTTATTCTTTCAGCGGACAAAGGCAATTGCGTTGTTGTTATGGACAAACATGATTATCGCGAGAAGGCTCTTTCACTATTGAACAACAGAAATACGTAATGTATTCTATTCTATTCTATTCTCAAGTCTGATCCTACTGGAAAGACTCAAAGAGGTTTAAACGCCAAGTTACTTCTTTTGAAGAAATCCAATATTATCAGCAAGACTACATATGAAAAGTTATACAGCAGGGATGGACTATCTCCGCGTTTCTATGGCTGACCGAAAATCCATAAACCGGAAATTCCATTGAGACCTATTGTGTCCTTTGTGAATTCTCCTACATATGGAGTTTCAAGTTTTTTGGCGAACATTTTGTCCCCTGTGGTGGGAAATACCGAAAACACTGTCAAAAATTCCTGTCATTTTGCAGAATTTGTAAGAGGTAAAACTCTTAAAGCAGATCAAGTGTTGGTATCATTTGATGTCGTTTCCTTGTTTACAAATATCCCAGTTGATCTTGCCATCAAGGTTGCGACAAAAAGACTAAGACAGGATGCCACTTTGTTACAAAGAACATCCTCGCCTGTAGAAGATATTATTGATCTTCTGTCTTTTTGTCTCAACGCCACATACTTTGTGTTTGAGGGCTGTTATTATCAACAGGTTTTTGGAACAGCGATGGGGTCACCAGTTTCGGCAGTAATTGCTAATTTAGTAATGGAAGATGTCGAACAAAGAGCTTTAGCCTCTGTTCCAGTGTCCCTATCGTTTTGGAATCGTTTCGTCGATGATGTCATCTCTGCGGTTTCTACAAATGAGGTCGATATTCTGCTGCAACATTTAAATTCTATTGAGCCGTCCATCCAATTCACGGTAGAACGTGAAATAAATGGACATTTAGCTTTTTTAGATTTGAATGTACACAGAACTGTAGAAGGGAAGTTAGAGACTGATGTTTATCGCAAACCCACACACACAGACAAATACTTGTCATACGACTCTCATCACCCAGTAAGCCATAAAAGATCCGTAGCAAAAACGTTGCTTCAAAGAGCTGAATCGTTGCCGTCAAACAGTGATTCTCAAGCTAATGAACGTGAATATGTCCTAAATGTTTTAGGGGAAAACAATTACCCAAAGCGTTTTCTTAATGATTGCCTGAGGCCACCTGTTTGTAGGAACCAAACTAACTCCGAGGGTGATACCTCTGTTAAGGGTTTTGCATTTGCAATAGTTCCATACATTCAAGGTGTCACAGAACCAATCAAGAGAATCTTAAGTAATTGTAATATTAAGGTTGCCTTAAAACCCTATTTGACTTTAGGCCATATTTTCGCAAAGCCAAAAGATCCTGTTGAAAAAAATCAGAAGACTCATGCTATATATTCTAAACCATGCGGTCACTGCGACAAAGAGTATTTGGGTCAGTCTAAACGCCAGTTTGATACACGGCTAAAAGAACATCAAAAGGCTGTTTCAACTTTAGACAAGGGAAAATCAGGTTTAGCCGAACATGTATGTTACACCAAACACGAGATTGCGTGGAAAAACTCTAAAGTAATTACCACAAACAATCGCTATGGTCAAAGACTTTGCCTAGAAGCGTGGCATATAAATATGAGTCATCATGCTTTGAATAGGGATGACGGCGCCTATTTGCCAGAGGAATATATGCATCTTCTTGGCAGGTGACGTCATCCCTTGGGTATTTAAGAAGCCACGATCACAGTTTTAGATCACCCCTGATGAAGACACTAGACTGGAGTGTCGAAACGTTGGGTCTTGATTACAATTCGACTGGGCTTTGTAATCATTTATTTAAACCAGAGTAGCGAGCGAAACATGATAAATACAATTTGTAACGCATGCTTTTATTTGCTTATATATAAATTATTATTGAATGATAAATGCTGCTTTCAAAGAGTCAGTGGAAGAGAGCAATGTTGAAGCCCGATTGAACTTCCTCCTGAACACATTAGGGCATCTTTTCCAATCACTTTATATCTGCTAATTGCTTTGACAGCAACCTGCACCCACAGTTCCTTACCACAACCGCGATATGAGAACTATCGACGAGTTCTCCCTCATGTGCACCGTGCACAAAACTGCATAAACGTGAACAAAAAGATAGAACAAAGACTTTAGCGGAGTTTCCAAAAGACTATGTTTTGAAGCTCTCGACTTTAGAATTTTCAGAACTCGTTTCTTCACTATTTACTGGTACATGGTTGGGAATGTTAGTCTCTTGTAACGGAGATTCATCATGCGTTCCTTGACTAGATTCTACATTACCGCCTGCGGCTTCGACTTGGCTAATATTACCAGCGCTGGCTATTTCTATAATCTGTTCGTTAGGTTTAGACGTTGCGTTAGCGTGCTCCGACACGGAAAGAGCCTGCAGGAAGGCCTCAACTTTCTCTTCAATGTCGTATACATCGTTTGTCAATACATCTTCCCAATCGTCCATAGTTGACGTTTGGCTTTCGTCCGCATATTCATACATCTCAGCGCGACACTCACGCACTAACTCAAAGTCCTTGTGTATTTGACCTATCTCCTTTTCTACTCTCTTGCGCATCTCCGCGCTTGCTGAATGAACTTCCTAACTCTGTTTATATATCGAGTAATCTTACCCCTCAACTTTAGATTACTCATCGTCTGTGCGTCTGACACACCATGGGTTCCTGACATTCCCGAGTCCTTTTCTAAACTTGGTTGATTTGAACCGCTTTGGCTCGGGCTGCTACTCTCGTCGTCGCTCATTATTCCACCCAAATAACCTTGACTCACTTGCCTGCTAACTCGGCACTGACTTCGAATTCACACATTCATACTTCGATCTTCAGAACATGTTTCCGTTTCGGCAAAACCACACACAATCCAGTAGAGATTTTTCAGAATCCTATTAAAATAATATATTACGAAAAATCTCCACTGGATTGTGAGTAGTTTTGCCCAAACGGAAACATATTTAATGGCTAAAGATATGTGACACTAACAGAACACCAAAACGCAATCAACAGACACGACCGTAGTTCACCTCCAGCTAAACACACAGACTACAACGGACATAAATTCGACTGGTCTCAAACGAGATACCTAGGACAAGTAATGACTAAACATGTCCATGAGTTTAAAGAAGCGTTGCTTGGTTTAGACAAATAAACATTTAACCGTCACATTGAAATCTTTACAATTTACTTACAACTAATTAAAACGCTCGCACAAATCTCTTAATTGATCTTTATTAACCTTTAAATTAATTCTTGAGTATATACTTCTTTATTAAACTTTAATAATTCATGAGGAAAAGACAAAGGAAATCACTGCCGTGTCGGTGGTTCTATATATATGTGATAAAAAATCATGTTCATTTACATAAACTTTAGGTTTTATTTTTATGTACTATTTAAAAAACGAGCAGGAGTGTTTTATTTGGTTTAAAGCCACGAGCGCGCAGCGCGAGTGGCTTTAGACCTAATAAAACACGACCCGCGAGTTTTTTTAAATGACTTCAAAAACGTATGCATAATAAGTCAAATCTTTATATAAAAATCTTTATATAAAAATCTTTATATAAAAATCTTTATATAAAAATCTTTATATAAAAATCTTTATATAAAAATCTTTATATAGTTTGCATAACAATGGTCTTTTGTTAAAGTGTTCTTTAGCTGGTATAAAGACGTATGCACGTGACTAATTTCTTACTCAAGATTGGATAATTGCTTAATGAATTATTGAGTTTTTGAACATTATTTCACCAATGGACTCTTTAGATGGGTCGTTTTTTAAACCATTTAAATCACTCGCAGTGCACGCTTTATCGGATATAAAACGCTCTAGCTGCGCTCTCGTGTTTTATATCTGATAAAGCACTCCTGCTCGTGTTTTAAACAGTACTTGACACACCGCATCGATCAATTGCCTTCCCTATACACCGTCTCACGATAACAATATAATCAACCGCGTTCCATAACAACCAATGGCAACCAACATACTGAAATAAATCAACCCACAGACTTCAACAGTGTCAACAACAGCGTGAAAATTTAAATTATCTTTCATTCTGATTTTTCTGTCAGCGTCGTTTACTATATATGTATTGTATACGCTGAATATGCCTCAGGCAACAAGCGAATTTCAAAGCGCGTTATGTCTTGAATATATAATTTGGCGCGAAGGTTCCTTATTTTTCAGAGCTATATGAGCTGCTAACGTTCGAGAATGTAATGTTGTGTAAAAATAAGCAGCGGCTCGTTCAGAGGAGCGACAAAAAGAAGGAAGACAATTCTCACAAAAGGTAAATTTAATTTTCTGATATTATGGGACATATTTTTTCTGTCTTCAATCGATTTCGAAGGAAGAGGGTTGTGTTTTTTATACAAAAGGATGGTTTAAAAAAGAATCCAACTTTAGTAGTTATGTTATCGTTGGATTATCATATTTAATATATTTCGTGCATTCAAAAAAGATAATTATTCTTTATAAACAAATTTAAAAAACTGATTAAATCAGTAAGAATTAACACAGTGTATTTACTGTAACGTTACCTGGTACATCTCCCTTATCTCCCAATCTGATCTTTTTCATCATTGTATGGATTTCATCTATTCGTTCGTCAATAGAGGGCAATTTCTGATCCATATTGCCATGAAACACACTGTTGTCTTCTAACTCCTTCAAACGACATTCATGTATTTTGGGAAAGTCATCTTCATTCATTTGATTAATAGTATCAACAAATGCATTATCAACTTTAACTGCTGTCAAAGCGTCGCTTACTAGCTGTACATAATTATCAAAATCAGTTTTATCTATTTCTGGTTTTGGCAAATAGCAAAGTCTGTTTCTCAATAACCGAAACTGGTCAATTGCAAAAGCGTACGTCTCAACTTGATTTCCTGTTGAACTTTGAACTGATGAATGAAAAGAATCAGAAGGTAGTTTAACTTTCTTCAAAAATAAATCATTTAAAGTTGATCCCTTGCTGCCTGGAGCACCAAATGTTTTGGCATAGATTGTTGCTTTTAACAAAGCTGTACAGTCCCACTCTTCAATTGATTTCGTAGTTGGTATATCTGTTTTACCGCCTTCAGATTTAAGAAGCATGTTCCGTACCGTGGTACTGTCATCCCATGGAATGAATCCTGGTCTTACAGCAACCTTGCTGTCCCACATGGTGATGAAAATTTGACGCAACACCTTGGGAAACTCATCAAGAACAAGTGTAGAAAACTTAAAGAAATTCAATTGCTCCTTCGAAAACGGTTTCACTGCCATCGTGGTGCAAAATCTAGGTCATTTAATTTCTTTCTGTACCAACTATCTACAAAAGTGATAAAAATACAAAAAAAAAATTGATTAGAGTGATGTTACCCATAAATATGATACAATTTTACGCTCATTTTGCACTGAAATATAATCGTTGTCGATTTTCATGAAAGCTATATTCTTACATGAGGTATATATCTAGGGTTTTAGCTATGATTTTAGATTTTGGGAGTCTTCTAAATTTCGTGCTTGTGTGCTTGCCAATTACCCAAAATAACAAAATGCATTGAACAAGTTATGCTCGCTACCAATATATAGACTATATGCCAGTGGATGTTCTATGCTTTACAACCAAATACTAGGCGCTAGCATACGCTAATGTTACGCACTTTCATTACAGTAAGTATAATGTGGCATTGAAAGCCATTATAACACTATATTGTTCCCAATCCATATATTTTACCTATATAACTAGATTTTACGTACTGTTTAATAAACGAGCAGGAGTGTTTTATTAGGTTTGAAGCACGAGCGCGCAGCGCGAGTGGCTTTAGACCTAATAAAACACGACCTGCGAGTTTATTAAACGGCTTCAAACACGACTACAAATTCAATAGATATACTGCTTTATTACCGCATAGTATTCTTTATATAAAGGACAGGATCGCGACTACAATAGATACTGCCTTATTAGTATTCTTCATATAAAGAATACTAATTAGGAGTGTTTTATCAGGTTTAAAGTATGGTTGACATGATTTGCCAATAAGCTTATGAATTATTAATGAGTGTTTGAAAAACTTTTTAGCACGTCAATAGGAGGCAATTCTATGTTTTGAAAATAGCAACACTCTATTAATTTATGAACCTACACGGCTTTACATATGTTATTATGAGCATGACAAAATTACTGGATCCTGATTGGTTGAGAGGAGTTCAATTATTTTATTAATTATTTATCTTCTGTAGTCAGTGGCAAATACTGCAATTTCATTGGTTTACAGGAGTGCGACTTGAGCTTTAATCGCACCCTTGTCTATAGCCAATGAAAATCAGTCTAGTATTTACAACTAGCCAATCGGCATTCAGGATACAAACTTTGAATTTTATTTTCTTTATTGCTGCAAAAAAAATTCAAAATGGAGGAATTCACAAATTTTGACAAATTTCTTTCTTTGTCGAAAATGACCTACCTGTTCTTCCAGCAGAAGACACCAAACCAGACACAACCAGCGGTTATATTTGACTCAGATTCAGATTAAACTGAACTAAAGAACTTCACTATTTTGAACACCGTATAAACTTGCAAACATGGCTTCCCAATTGTGTGTTGAATAATTAAATTCAAAACAATGTTGTCATGTGATTATACCGGAAATAATACCCGGAAGTTAATTACGACTGCAATGTGATTATGATAAATTTAATTCATAATTGTACTATTTCACTAAGAATTGTCGTGACAAAAATTTAATAATTATATTGAATTTCAACAAATTGTATTTTTGTGCTTTTCCCCCTAAAACAGTTTGATTACAGAAGATAAATAATTAACAAGTAATAGAACGAGTTATAATTAAGTCGTGCTATTAATGCCATAATCATACTCGTGATTGACAAATCAACCTCCCGCTACGCGGTCGGTTGATTTTGTCATCACTCGTATGATTAGTATAGGTAATAGCACGGTTTCGAGTGCAATTTGGATATAACATGCACGAGTGAGTTTTTCAAAGACCTCAAAGAGTCCGAAGGACGAGTGCTATTTGAGGTTTTTGAAAAACTCACGAGTGCATGTTTATCCAAATTTCACGAGAAACCATGCTATTACTTATTAATAATTTACATAAAAATGTTCGAGACAATTGTAGTTTTAACTTACGCGTTTATAGCGAACATTCCACTGGCAAACTTTTCCTGGGTTTGTTATAACACATTATACAACGCTAACAGCTTGAAAATTCCACTCAACTATGTATTTTTTCTTAGTCTTGTTTTAGGTAAATGCTTTTCCATTTGAAAATAAAGATAAAAGCCATATTTTCCACGCGAAGGCAACTTTTACTTTACTGTAGCGCGGCGCCATGTTTGTTTTGTTTTGAAGCAATCTGTGATCGTTACTTCTTTAAACTAAATTGCTTTAAACTGATTGGTTGATTTAATCATCACAATGTTTTTCCACCAATCAGATCAGTTTGTTACAGATTGTTGCACTGTGATTACAGAAAATTGCACTGTGATTACAGAAAATTGCACTGCTGTTTGGGATTAACTGCACTGAAATCAACCAATCACAGTCGAGTAATATCTTTATGTATATTATTATGGCATTAATTGCACTCCTATTCGTTCTATTACCATCATTAATTGTACTGTAGTACAATTAATGATTTTCCCAAAACAAAGACAAAAGAAATTGCCCTAGAGGAACTTAAAGCAAAATAACTAAATGAAAATACGAACAAAAGCACCAAATTTTGGTTGAACGTCTGGCAGGACTATGCTTAGGTGAGAGAATATGGTGTTGACATTGAGAATTATCCAATTTTATCATGCTAATAATAAACAAGTAATCATGCAATGTTGCTCGTACAATAATAGGGATTAATAGTGCGCGCGATGTTTGGAAATTTTGCCAAATCCCTAATTGTACTCGCCATCGAATGATTACCTATAGTAATGAAGCCGCGTTCGTTTTATCTCGCCGTGTTTTTCCATTTTTGGCGTATATTTGTTTTCCTTTCCATATCTTTTCCATAGCTCAATAGTGTAAACAAGGGGAGATTTCGTTTTAAGCCAATCAGCGCGTTTGTTGATATTTTCGCTCTCGGCCAGTCTGAAAGCTTTACATTTTGAAACATATTAGGAGCGAGAAAATATTATCATCGTAATCTAAGGCTTTTATCTCAAAACCGAAAGATTGTAATAGAAAATACATATCTTGAATTTTGTCGTCGGACTTTTAAAATTTCGATACAGAACGCGAAATGTCGATGTTTGAATTAACGCAGTGATTGCGCTCTGTGGCCGCATCACATCGTCAAAACCGATCAATCTTTGAAAAATAACGCAGTTTTCACTGGGAAGCTTTTCTAGTTTTATAGTGCATGCTTATTCTGGTACAATGTACTGTGCAGTACCTCCGATCGTGTTGTCGGAAATGCTTCAAAAAGTTGATTTACCGCCGATTTATCGCACCAGAGTTGGTCTATAGAGACTGGTTTACATGCAGTATGTTGGATTTAATGTAATAAAAACAAGTTGATTAATATTGTGGACTGATTGGCGTCGCTCCTCACACTAATCGATAATTAGTGCGAGATAGTAATGCCCATATAAACCGAACATATAAATAGCCAGGGAATCTTGAGGCACGCTCTCGACCAGTTGCCTTCAACGTCTTCCTCCGACGCATATTCAACGTTTTCCTTCCAAGCCACATATGTGACTATATAGTCCCCGAGCCGTGCGAGGGTACTAATTCCCCCCGGCTATTTACACCCGGGGAAACGAAAGCATTAGCGGAGTCTAAAGTTCATCAAATATCGCGGGCGTGGGTCACCAACGGTGTTGGGTGGGTGGTCATCCTCACTGACCTCAAAAATATGGCGGACTGTCATGAATAGCGGACACTGATTGGTCCAATTTAAAGTTTGCATAAACGACTGCATCACGACAGCGAAATAGCAAATATTTCTTGATTTGATGATTCATGATTGATAAATTTCTTGCGAATATATTTCATTTTTACTCGCATTTTTGCAATTTTTGTAAATTCCAAAAGCTCTCTCAGAAAGAAACTGCGAAAGAATCGGCTAAAAGAAGGGAGCCGACGTTAACGAAGGAAACTTCGTTTTAAATATTGATTTTATAATGGCTTTAAAACCCGACGGCCTTTGCGTATATGAAACAATAGACTTGCCCACAAGTCGATCTCGAATAGCGAGCAAAACAACTAAACAAGACAGAATATAATTTCAGTGTATCTTTAATATTGATTCCCTTTTTTATTATATTGAATTTTTTAAATAAAAAAGAAAGCAAAGTTATTTGCAAGCGAGAATTTGAAATCATTTTATTGCAAACTCAAAGTTTATCGATAAAGCCATTTAATTAAAGGCAGTTTAGTTAAAGTGCACTTTAAAACGTTTTGCGAAGCGTTTGTGGTTGAATTTTACCTTAAATTGAGGCTTATATTACGTTTAATAACATACCTAACATATATATGTTGGGAAATTAATAATTTTGGAATTAAAAGTGATATTTTTAGGCGATTTTTCATTTGTAAGAATATTCTTAAAAAATTATCGTGTTACCATGACAACTATTTTAGAACTTCATGTTCGGAAAATACAATGGTTTTGTCAGCAAGGCGAGGGTTTCTGCATGCATGTATTTTCTAGTTAGTATTAAAATATATTCCCTGTGTAAACAGGTGACTTGTCGCGGGTGGGGATGGAGAAGATACCATTGGTTGGGTCGAGAAACTCAGTAAACTTCAAAGCGGTTATAATTAGCTGGGAGTTTATGTTGGGCTGTACCTTACACCGTGCACATCCTTTGTTTTAGGTTTATTAATATTTAAATAGCATGGCTGAATGGCTGAACTGAAACGTTGCTATTGGACGATTCGTTCATTATACTGAAATACAATGTGTTCATTGACCGTGCACCGTGCACAAAACTTCATACACGCGAACAAAAAGATAGAACAAAGACTTTAGCGGAGTTTCCAAACCATGTTTTGAAAAACTATGGTTGGGATGTCTTGATGACTCCTCGCCTGGTAGTAGTTTAACCCTCCCAATATATCTCCACCTGTCTGATGTTCATGGCTGTGTATAGGTCACATACAGAAGAGCAGTATTCAACTGTTGGTTGTACCAGGACTTTATATGCCCTCTCCTTCATAGATGCGGAACAGTGTCGTAGATTCCGCTTTAAAAAGCCCAGTGTCTTATTGGCTTTATTTGAGATGTTTCTCACATGCTCATTCCATCTGACATCTTCAGAAAGATGTATTCCGAGATACTTGGTGATGCTTACAGCTTCAAGAGCGCGATCGTGAAGTTTGTAGTCGAAAATAATAGGTGTTTGTCGTCTCGTAATTCGAAGAACATTGCATTTGGTAGTATTAAATGCCATTTTCCAATCTTTCTCCCATCTTTCTAAACTCTGTAAATCTTGCTGCAGTTTCAACAGTCGTCTGCCGATTTTACAACAAGATAAACGACTATATCATCAGCAAAAAGGCGCACCCTGCACTTTATACACTTCAGTAAGTCATTAATGAAAGCCAAGAATAAAATTGGCCCCAGGACGGAACCCTGAGGGACTCCCGACGTAACATGGGTGTAGCTTGATCTCTCTCCTTCCAAAACAGTGCATTGTTGTCGGTTTTTAAGAAAGTTCTGTATCCAATCCAATGTATAATGATGAATACCATAATTTGACAACTTAAATATAAATTCTTTATGCGGGACTTTGTCAAATGCGTTTGAGAAATCCATTAGAATGACATCGGTCTGTCCTCCGCCTTGCATTTCCCTTGCAATGTCGTTAATGAACCCAATCAACTGAGTTTCGCATGAATGTAATTTGCGAAAACCATGTTGAAAGTCATTAAGTATATGGTGTTTTTCATAGTGATTGATAACATTAGACACTAGGATATGTTCCATAACCTTGCTGCAAATACACGTAAGTGAAATTGGCCTGTAATTCGCGGGCAATTGCTTGGATCCCTTCTTCAAAATTGGTGTCACGAATGCTAGTTCCCAATCTGATGGAACTACACCAGTCTCGAGAGAAGTTCTGAAAATCTTGTACAAAGCTGGAGCAATAACTGTGCTCAGCTCTTTTAATACACGTGGATGTAGGCTGTCTGGCCCAGCTGCCTTATATGGCTTTAAGCTTGATAGTAATTTCCTGACCCTTTCCACTGTAATGTCAATTTGAGGCATGTGTGGATAGTAGCACTGGTCTATGCTTTTATAAGAACAGAGTAAAGAGCAGACCAGTACTAGCTAAATGCGGTGCTTTACAAATAAAACTTTCATGCGATTCCGCCTACAAGCTGTGCTACAAGTAAAGCCTCAGTATAAAAGGTTATATTTTATCGTACGCTACATTCCTGGCGTCGGCGGACAGTTGTTCCGTACGCTTGGTTAAAATTTCGCTTTAAAACCTTCAAAAAAAAGCTATTGTCGGATCAAAATACTACCAAACTGAAGATAAAAGTGAGACGAACCCATTCGTATAGGCCGAAAAAGAGAAAACCAAAGATACGAAAGTTATCAAGGAGCAAACGTACTGCATTTTTAAATAGCTGAATAATATAAATTTTGAGAGCGATTTGTCAACAATACAATTTCGCTTGACTTTCAAAGGCCATATATCGCAAGAATACTGCTGTTCAGTAATGAATTTGGCATCAGTAAGTACAATTTCGTACGCTGATTCGAACGATGGTATTTTTCTCCTTGTTGGGTCACTTGGATGCATAAAACCAGAGATAGTCGGTCTCACTCGGTCACTCTCAGTCAGCGATTAATTTGCCCGCAAAAAGGAAATTCAGAGAACGTGCAAGGAATTTTTACAGGAAGTGGAAGCATTTAGTTCGAAACAACTCCTGCGGTGCCAAACTTGGCACGGAGTGGGACACCGCGATTTTACAACAAGGGACAGGTCACAATTAACTCTTCGATTGGCCATATGATTGTAGTACCATCTAACAAGCGTATCACTATAGCCCATTAGCTTTTGACCGCTTGAGCTGAGAGACGGACTTGAACCAAGTTACCCATTAGCTCCAGCGAGTTAACGCTCTTCCGAGCGTCTTGCCGAGCGTCTTGTTTTATTAAGAATGTTTCCGAAATCCTCCCAAAATATCACTTTTAATAAAAAAATTACTGATCGATTCCTTTTTCGAGGAAAGTTTACTTTCCAAATAATCTCGGACTCTCACAACTAACTTTTTACTGCGCCTTATCTCTGGTTTTATGCGCCCAATAAGTACTTTTGTCCAACGATATCAAAGTGATCAAAGATCAAACGTACTGCATGTTAATTAGTTTAATAATTTTGAGCGATTTGTCAACAATACAATTTCGCTTGACTTTGAAGGCCCTTTATCTGTTGGTCGAGTGTCGAGTGTCGGGGGTTAAATGTCGAGGGCGAGGGTAAAAAGTCGAGGGCGAGAGTAAAAAGTCGAGGGCGAAGGTAAAAAGTAGAGGATAAAAAGTCGAGGGTTAAATGTCGACTGCTAAACGTCGAAAATAATAATTTAGCCGCACATACAGTATACTACAAACGGACCTTGTAATGTATACATATCAAGTGGCGATATTAATTGCCCCTATATTGTCGGTTTATAACGTTTATTTATTGTTGGTTAAAGCAGGGCGCTGCATTTTAAAGCACCCTTCTTAGTGTGTAATATAGTTTGTGTAGAAAATAAACAATATATATAACTGATTTTATTGTTGTCTGCACGGCTGCATGCAAATGCATCAGCCACGAGATGTCTATGGCATATTAGAGAGTTTATATTTTAAGCTTCGCGTTCAAAAGTCAAATGGCAAACGCCAGGGGCAGGGGAAGAAACAAATTACTCTACAAGGTAATAAATGGAAAATCAAGAAGTTAAGCAAAAATTCTGCCAACAAAAAACGACTATGCCGCCGGTTTGCCGTTCCCGCAAACGCGAAGCTTAAACTCCCTATTAGTACATAATACTACGTGGCGTATTTTGCGTTTTAAGGGACATCGGCAACGGATTTTTTTATTGGCTATTTTTGTTCACGTTGGTTATCTTAATAAGAATATGTATTTTATTTGGGATGAAAATTATTCGATTCGGAGTAAAAAGCGAACGAATTTGGTCTAATTATGCATATCGCCCGCCATTTTGAAAGCACATTTTGGAAAATTATCTTTCATGTCATTTGAGGCCTCTGACGTCATTGGCAGGGCAACAGCAAAACAATACGTTGTCGCTACTATAGCTTTTGATCAGTTTTAACTTTTGTGAAGAATTTTCGCCGGTTATGGGCTTTCTATGGAAGAAATTCACGAGAATCAGTTAGGTGAAATGTTACCGTATCAGTTTGAACCTGTTTTAAACGATAATAGTGGTACCCTGGAACCAGAGGTTTTTAGGTTTGGCGAACGCGAACTGCGAGAAAACGCGCGAAGAGAAAGGAGAAAACGCGCGAAGAAAGAGGAAAAACCTCTGGTGAATTTGTTAGCGATTCCTGGTTCGGATAAGGAATGCAAAAAATGCATAATGCATCGTATTCTAAAAATATTAGCCAATCATTATCCTTGACGCCAGGCCGTCTAGACAGGGTTTTGCCGCCTTCTTTTGCCTGACTAAGTGCACTGCTTTCACTTCTCGCAAGAAAATGTGTCAATAAAACATTGTTTATGTCTACTCCAAAGCATACTCCCACAAAAGCTTATCCTGTATCAACCGTTAATCTTAAGGAGATTTGCCGATTGTGCGGCATAAATTTCAAGATTGCTGGTCGTGGTCATTACAACATATTTTCGGGATTTAAGCATGATTTACAGCGTCGACTGTCAAGATTGCTGAAACGCGATGTTGTTCAAGAGAACCATTTGTCTTCTATGGTGTGTCAAGGATGTTTTCGAAAGATTCAAAAATTCGAAAAGTTCCAGAAAGAGCTGGATGATTTTGTTACGGCTTATTCCGAAAACGAAAGTATTCGAGTTCGCGAGAAGAGGTGTCGACAATCGCCAGCTTTGGGAGTTGGTTCGAATGGAACAACAAAGAGATTATGTGCTACATCCTCGCCGTTAAATAATATAAACAACAAGTTGGAATCAACATGTAGATCGCCAGCAAGGAGGTCTCTCCTGCCTGTGCTTGCAAATAACATTACTGCTGGTCATTTGAAAGAAATGAGCGGAACAGTTTCAGCCGACAATCGTCTTCAAAATGAGCAAGAAAATCCCACAACGAAAGTTGAGGTAGAATAGTAGCATTTGATTTGTTGATAAGTTTATACCAGTATGATTTATAGGAATTTTAGAAATTAAAAAATTTTGTATATAGGCATGTTCGTAATAAAAGTCACGTTTTTCCTTGCAGGTTTTCATACAATGGCCAAATCTCTTAAAGAAAAAAATAATCCACGACTTGAGAATCAAACAAATAATTGTTAACTTAACAGTTGGCAAACATTCTACAGCAATAAACGCCATCTGGAAAAGGGAGGAGTTTAGAGAAATACTTCTAAAGAAATTTCAAGAGGAAATTAATAAGGAAACAGTTGAGATATGTAAAACAACTACGCCTTCCCTGTTAAGGAAAATTTCCCCGGATGACTTGCAGACATTTTCAGCGCAAAGGCATGAACTAGAGTTGCAAGAGAGATGTCCAATATTGTATCGTTGTCTCAGGTCGTGTGCTGTCTCCCCTGAGAAAGAGACATTGTTGAAAGAGGGAAATGTAAAGATAAGTAAAAGGCCTCACCAAGTTCTGTCTGTAGCCTCTTCCGTATTGCTGAAGCACAGAAATCAACAAATGTCTGCTCAGGCATACCGAATTGGGGTAATGTTATGGAATGGAGGTACCAAAACGGAGGTAATATGTATTAATTCAAAAACAAAGCCCCAACATTGTTGTACTATATTAAGTCTCAGTATACGTGTTGCCGTCATGCCATGCATTGTTTTGGTCAATCGAATTATTTGGGCAAAAATTTGCATTCCTATCGTGACATTCCATAACGATTTTATATGTAATTGTAAAATGTTGTTGTTTTTCCCTAACAGACCTTGGCTCTGATATAATATTCTTCCAACAAGACAACCTTCCATAATTTATAGCCTATAGGGCAACGACAGACTTTCAGATTTTACTCAGAAGGGGGGGAGGCCAAAAATTGGGTGGGGGGCAAGCATTTAGTGGGATAGAACAATGGATTGTGTAGCACTGCTAAACAATCTGCAGCAGGGGTCTGAGAGCACAGTTGCTAATGTGGTAAAGGGGGGAGGGGACATACAAGAGATTTTTGGTCTTATTTGGTTCAAATCCTTTGTTTTTATAGTCTAATACTTCAAAATTGTAATATTTCATTTACTCTATACTGTCATTTAATCCAATGAGCAGTTAAATTTATGGGGTGTGCAAATTTCTGTAGGTGGTGTGGAAAAGCTTTTTTTTGGGGGGGGGGTTGCAAAGTGTTTATGGGGGGGGGGGTCCCCCTGGAAAATCTGTCTATGCTAAAGGGCAACCACATCTTATTACTTCAGTTACATTTAATCTCTTTATATATAGTGCCATGATAGAATGCACAAATTGGGATTGGCTATGTCTCATAAGAGTGTACTAACAAAGATTGACAGCATGTGTAAAGGTCATGACAAACGTGTTCTACAATGGAAAAGAGAGACAGAAGATTGTGGAAAGAAACAACACATGGCAAACATAGTACAGAAGGCGATTCATTCCTTGGAACAACAAACTGGATCTGTAGATTTTGCTTACTTAAAGTCTGTTGTGGAGGTTATGTGTGGGAAAGTATTTGATAACAATCTATTTGAAGAATTGTTACAGAATACATCAAAATATGCACAGAGTCTGCATGTTACATACAGTGTGGCAATTTCCAAATTGATAGATGATATGTCTCCCATATCATTGTACCAAATAATTGGTGATAACGTTGACATATTTGTAAAAGCAAAACATATAGGTTCACAACATCAAAACAAGAGTATTCATTGGTTCAACCTAAATGTTGTGAGAGAACGTGTTAATGGCTCACATCTTTGTAACAGCAAGCCACTGCGACCCATTAAGGATGTCAGCAATACAGAATTTCTACCTTCTGCTGATGACAGTGACAAATTACTTGATGAATTTGTTGTCTTGTGTGAAAGAGTACTTGTTGGTAACATGCCTGCTTTCAGACCATTCAAGAAATTTGTGGTTAAGCATATTCCACATGAATATAATGAAATGATGAAAACAAAATCAGAAGAGGTATTTTAATTAAACATTTTTTATTGCATCACTCAAAAGTATGTTTAGACATTGATTGTAAAATAACAAAATAACAGTTATTTTACTCACTACAACAAACGTTTGTTTTAGTTCAAAATTAGCTTAAACTTACCACAATGTTTATACAAACTAATAAATTGCCAATTGCATTGTATTTCGTTGAAAGCAATATATGGACACAGATCCCTATATGCACTTTAATTATTTTGTAGAACCCGCTTGGCTTGTTGTTCAAGAACGAAAACTGTACAGATCAAATGATAGACATTTTGGATCATATACAGTCAAGTTATGTTCCAGTTCAGCCTAATGTTGATGTTGATGATGACGATGATGATCCTCACAATAATCCTGTCACTATTCAAGATCGAATATTTTTTGGAGGGGATCAATTAACAGAGGAAAGAAGTCGCAATGCAAAACTAGCCCGGAGTGATGGAGATAATGGCATTGAGAGACTGGAAGGTATAATGCCCAAAGTTGAAGATTGGCATGCTTCGAGATTGATATATCAGGTTTGTTTATTATATCAATATATATGTGGCCACATGCACTTTACTTTATTATTTTGCTCTGTCTAACGCCAGACAATTTTACTGATCATGAAGGCGAGAGTCTTGGATTTTAATTGGTTAATTAATAGTTGTAAATGCAATACAATTTCTTCATGTTCTTGCGGGACACCTCATACTATATCCGATACAATGTGGCCACTTGTATTGTAAGTATTACTTAATTAAAATATGCATATAATTCTGCACAAGTGGGATATAAGGTATTTGTATTTTAACCCATTAAGCGCCAGCGCTCTCCCCTTGACGAGTAAAATCGTCTGGCGTTAAACAGAGTAAAATACTAAAGTAGGGTGCATCAGGGTGCAATGTGACTCAATGGGTTAAAATTTAATTAACCCATTGAGAGTTGCAGCCTCTCCCCTAGGCTGAGTAAAATATGAAAGTAAGGTGCATCAGGGCACATTGCAACTTAATTCCAGCTTTTAATTTATGCATGCAGGGGGTGACAGGAAGTAAGGTATCAGTTTGATAATTTTGCTAAAAAATTTAAGTAAAAACTGCTGAAACAACTGAAATATTTCAACAATTTACAAGTATAAGCTATCACTCTGTGTTTTTAAAAGGCCACCATTCTTATTTTTTTAGCATAATCAGCAATACGATACCTTACTCCCCCCCCTGCATGCACAATTAAAAGCTGTAATTGCCTGTTGTAATTTAATTCTTTTCTAATCATAATATTGTTCTTGACATATTAGATCCTGTATGACATACTGTATAAAGGGAACTCATCTGTTGATGTGGCTACAATGTGTTCCAACATGAATGTTGTCAACAACAGCAACGCTAGAACTACTAATGTGCTTGACAATTTAAATCAATGTAAAAATTTTATTAACATGGAAACCGATGCCATTATAACTGCTTGTGCTATGACATATTTTGGCATAAGCTCTCTTGATATGCCAGTTGATGAGGTCATCCCCCCACACATATTGAATGGCAGTGATGATGAAAAGCGGTTATGGTATCATAGGCATGTGAAAAGTATGGTATTAAAGTATGTAATGAACAAAGAGTCTGAAATATTTCATAGTATGGTAGAAGGAGTGCAGCAGCATAATCGACCCAAGTCCAGAGATATTTACAATTGCAGAGTTTGCAACAAGGAATATCGCTACAAGAAAGCAATGGAAAATCATGAAACAAAGAAGCATGACTATGTTCACAAAGACGAGTCTTCAACTGATACGAGTGAAGAAACTGAAAAGAGTAAAAGTACTGACAAGTCTGATTACATATATAACTATGCATGTGTTAGACTTAGCATGGGTTGTTTGTACGGAATTTTGATGATGCAGTAAGAGAAGGGGATGGACAGCGGATTATTAAGTGCTGGAAATACATGACATTGCTGTTCAAAGCATATAATCACAATAAGTATGCATTTGCAGGTTTACAGCTACAAGCTAACATATATGCACTCTGTACACCGCAAGAAGCACATCGTCTCATGTGGAACAGAACTGTTAATGTAAAAGGACAAAAGGGAAAGAATATATCCCTTGATCTCAGGCTAGAGCATCTAAATCACATACTCAAGGAGATGTTGAGAAACCTCGGTCCTAACCTTAACGAAGTTACTGCAGCACGTGCCAGTCATTCACTTGTGCGTATTGAGAAGTTTCTTAAGTCCGTAGATGAGGAAGTAGGCAGACATCAGCCATCAGGTCATCATGTAATTGCGAAGTGGGAGTCTGACTTTAAAGAACTTGTCAACCAGTTCCACATAAAAGGTGAAGTGTTCTGTTTCACAGAAGGCAGGGAGTATGACAAATTTCCCAAGTTTGATCGCAATGTACTACATAATATAAATTTCAAAAACCTAAATGACTGGATGAATGAACACAAAAGGAAGCTTGGTGATGCTAAAAAATAAACTTGGTTTTGATATTTTGATATGGCATATTACGGTTAATGTTGTGGAAAATATGCAATAAATGATATGGCATATTACAGTTAATGTTGTGGAAAATATGCAATAAGTGGTATAAAATCAGGGATATTTCAAGCATTTTAATCAACTAGTAGAAGATTGAGTTATTATTTAGTTATCCTCTTAGAGAGGGATCTAAGGGCATGTGGTCACCCAGAAAAATTTTGAATTTTACAATTCTTACTGTAAAAACTGTACTATGGCATGCTTTGTTGGCAATTTCATGTTGACATATACCTTTGTATATGTTTAATTATTCCTACAATGATTGAGTATTTTCTTTCATAACTACTAATTTACAGTGTAACAACTATATATAATTTCTCCATGCAGGTATATTGTAATCGAGAAACTGCTTGAAAGTATCCCTGAAAATGCTAAAAAACAAACCACTTACTAAAAGTGTGATATATAAATGACATATTAAAGTGAACATGATATGAACATGTTGTGTATTTGTGATTATAAAATAATGATCTACCTACAACAGAGTTAATATCTGAAAACATAGTCTTCAATCAGGCTTTCCCATTTGGGCCCATTCACAAAGGATATACGAGCCGAGGGGGGAGGGGGGTTGGAAAATCAGGACAAACTCGGACATAGGGGGGGGGGGATTTTTAGCAATCCAGATGTCCGAAATTGAAAAAAAAAATTAAAAACAAATTTCTTTCTCCTCTATTTTGAACTCTCCTTCCCATTGTCAAATTGGCATTTTGACTATGCAGTCAATACCAGATTTTGTTTTAATTAGTAATTTATATGTTTTTATATTCACATTTATAGTTATAAAAAAATTCTAAAAGTAAAAAAGTTTTTTACTCTTGACATATACAAGGTTGCATGAGTTTTTGCGAGGCATGGCGGATGTCCGGGGGGTCACTAATTTGGGGAAGGGGGGGGGTCTGAAAATCCATAATTTGGCCGGACATCCTTTGTGAATGGCCCCTTTCATATTCAATCTGAAGTAGATTCCTCATCTGAATCATGCATATCAACTAATAAATAAGGCTGGAACTCATTCTCATTTAGTTCAGTTCCTGAGCAACCATCTGTGCCAGTATCAACAGCTTCAAGGTCGGTTTCGTCAATGTCATCAAATAATTCATGAAAAATATTTAGTATCTCCACCGCATGTTGGCGATTAAATACATGTAGGTGTGTCATAATGTAGTCTATGCTACAAACATACTTTGCTTGCTGGAGAATAAGTTGAATCAGTTTATCAGAGAAACCTGTGGAATACTGTGCATGCAAATAATAGTTGCAATTTCCTGCAAGTTGAGATTGATAATCAACCAGAATGTCCTGCAATAATTGTTTATCTTCTCTTGAAACACTCCTTTCTTTCACAGTAATGGAGTTGTCACTATCCACATGTGATTCGGTGGTTTCATGACAGTTGACTATTTCCTCACTACAACAGTTCCTACATGGTGGGCTTATAAACATGGGTGGGCTTATATTCGAAGGGGGCTAGCTATATTCGGAGTTTTACGGTATATATGTACCAAGTTGAAAGAAGCAGTTCAGGCTACTTTGGAAGATAAATTTCCTGATATAAAAAGTTTAACGGATCATCAATACCGCACCTTGTCCAATTTGATTGATCGTAAAGATGTATTTTGCATACTGAGAGTTTAATATTGCAAATAGTACCGAGTGTAGCATAACGACCTGGAAAAACACAATTTCCCAGAGAAACCCATTTTAATAGTCATATGTCCATTGAACTCTTTGATCGACTCTCATGTCCGTGAAGTAAGAAAGCGTGGATTCAGTGTTACTTAACTGTCAAACGAAGAGGACGAGAAAGCAATTCCAGATGGAGAGTTTACATTCGTATTTTGTAATACCGAGTCTATTATTCAAAGTGCGAAATGGAGAGAAATGGTTTCATCATAAATATACCAGGTAAATTTGCTTGCTTTTGTAACAGACGAAGTTCACGTCATCCCAAAGTTAATGTAAAAGGACAAAAGGGAAAGAATATATCCCTTGATCTCAGGCTAGAGCATCTAAATCACATACTCACAGAGATGTTGAGAAACCTCGGTCCTAACTTTAATGAAGTTACTGCAGCATGTGCCAGTCATTCACTTATGCGTATTGATAAGTTTCTTCGGTCCGTAGATAAGGAAGTAGGCAGACATCAGCCATCAGGTCATCATGTAATTGCGAAGTGGGAGTCTGACTTTAAATAACTTGTCAACCAGTTCCACATAAAAGGTGAAGTGTTCTGTTTCACAGAAGGCAGGGAGTATGACAAGTTTCCCAAGTTTGATCACAATGTACTAAATAATATAAATTTCAAAAACCTAAATGACTAGATGAATGACACAAAAGGAAGCTTGATGATGCTAAAAATAAACTTGGTTTTGATATTTTGATATGACATATTATAGTAAATGTTGTGGAAAATATGCAATAAATGGTATAAAATCAGGGATATTTCAAGCATTTTAAATTATCAACTACCAGTTTGTAGAAGATTGAGTTATTATTTAGTTATCCTCTAGAGAGGGATCTAAGGGCATGTGGTCACCCAGAAAAATTTTGAATTTTACAATTCTTACTATAAAAACTGTACTATGGCTAACTGTACTATGTACTTACTGTACTGTTGGCAATTTCATGTTGGCATATATACCTTGTATATGTTTAATTATTCCTACAATGATTGAGTATTTTCTTTCATAATTACCCTGTCCCAGAGGTTTTTAGGTTTGGCGAATGCCAAAAATTGACAGAATTTGTTCCATTTATTTTTATAATAAGCCAATATTGCCCGACTGTGAAGTGAATATATTGCCCAACTGGCTTTGTTTGCCCAACAGCCCCCGATTATAAAATAATGACATACCTACAACAGCATTAATATCTGAAAACATAGTCTTCAATCAGGCTTTCCATTTCATATTCAATCTGAAGTAGACTCCTCATCTGAATCATGCATATCAACTAATAAATAAGGCTGGAACTCATTCTCATTTAGTTCAGTTCTTGAGCAACCATCTGTGCCAGTATCCACAGCTTCAAGGTTGGTTTCGTCAATGTCATCAAATAATTCATGAAAAATATTTAGTATCTCCACCCCATGTTGGCGATTAAATACATGTAGGTGTGTCATAATGTAGTCTATGCTACAAACGTACTTTGCTTGCTGGAGAATAAGTTGAATCAGTTTATCAGAGAAACCTGTGGAATACTGTGCATGCAAATAATAGTTGCAATTTCCTGCAAGTTGAGATTGATAATCAACCAGAATGTCCTGCAATAATTGTTTATCTTCTCTTGAAACACTCCTTTCTTTCACAGTAATGGAGCTGTCACTATCCACATGTGATTCGGTGGTTTCATGACAGTTGACTATTTCCTCACTACAACAGTTCCCACTACAAAGGCAATGCTTATGACAATGCAAACAGCAAAAATGATCAAAATCATGCAGAAGTGTTCTTCTCATGCAAACATTTGTTTCATCAGAACAATATGCTCGCATTTTGTCATCTGCTCCTTTAAGCAGAATGCCATTATAAAACAATACTACTTTCGATGGTAAACCGTCACGGCCAGCCCTACCAATTTCCTGAATGTAGTCATCAATGTTGCGAGGGGGGCCCAAATGTATGACAAGACGTATGTCCCTGAAGTTCACACCCATTCCCAATGCATTTGTAGCAAATACAAGTCTACAAACCCCAGATTCTATATGTAGTGACTCCAGAATTTGACTCTTGATTATTTCTCTTGTGCAATGGTGAAACATTCCAAACAAACAATTTTTAGATTTGGTTCCATGTCAATGGGGTATGCATCAGAACCAAGTTCAATTCTGAACAATGAATACAGAGATGCACACAGCTTTATTGATTTGCAGTAAACAATAGTTCTCTCCATGTCTTGTTTCTCCTTTTTAAGTTTATCAAGTAGAAACTGAAAGGCCAATTTTAAATTCTTGCCAATTTGTGCCTTAGACAAATAGATATTTGTTCTATTTGGTGTTTCCTCTATTAGGGCATAATCTTGCCTGAATGATAAGACTTGGAGTACAGTTTCTTGAATTTTCTTTGTTGCAGTAGCGGTAAGAGCCAAAACTGGTGCAAGCGGTCTTTGAGGACCAAGTGACCTAAGTTCAGATAGACAGGAAAAGCATTCTCGAAAAGCTGCTCTTTCTCCTTTTCCAAATCCCCTACATATGATAAGACAAAAATTATTCTGGATTTCTCCACCAAAACAAATAAATTACAGTATTAAATATAAATATTTTCTATCCTTTACAGTATTAAAATTTATAAAGTTGTTAGCTCATATACAGATACTAGATGTTTTTTCCTAATTCAGTGAAGAAGTATAATGTACATACATAAAAACAAATTATGTTGTACTTTATACATACTCTCGGGTTCAAACACTGTCGGTGTTTACATGAGCCCTACAGGGAGGGCTGGCCCTCCTGTTGGGCTGATTATAGCAAATTATTGTAATTATATGATCTGCAAATATGTGATTAAAAATGATATCGAAATCTGCCTGCCAGTTTATAAATACAAACAAGGCAAAGGGCTTAAGAAAATCTGTATATAAATTTATTAATTAACCCACCACTTTGGGACGACGTGAACTTCGTCTGTTACAAAAGCAAGCAAATTTGCCTGGTATATTTCTGATGAAACCATTTCTCTCCATTTCGCACTTCGAATAATAGACTCGGGATTACAAAATACGAATGTAAACTCTCCATCTAGAATTGCTTTCTCGTCCTCTTCGTTTGACAGTGAAGTAACACTGAATCCACGCTTTCTTAGTTCACGGACATGAGAGTCAATCAAAGAGTTCAATGGGCAAATGACTATTAAGATGGGTTTCTCTGGGAAATTGTGGGTTTTTCCAAATCGTTGTGCTACACTCGGTGCTATTTGGAATATTAAACTCTTCCCATAACCGGTAGGCAGTATGCAAAATACATCTTTACGATCAATCAAATTGGACAAGGCGCTGTATTGATGAGTAGCCTGAACTGCTTCTTTCAACTCTTGTTCGTTTATAGATATTTCAAATTTTTCAATTCTTGATTTCTTGTTTTACAGTAAAATTTGCTATGTGCTTACAATATCCAGGCTATGTGCTTACAATATCCAATCAGAACACGTAGTCTATCGAACCTAGTCAGCAACCAATCAACTTCTAGCTTCCAATTTTGAAAGTTATGTGTGGAATGTGACCCCAAAAACCCAGCCAATTTCACCAGAGAGTTATTCAAAACAGGTGAAAATAAATACCCTCTGGTTCCAGGGTACTCCTGTGTGAGCACCAGATTTGCATACTTGTTTTCTTGTTAAAGATCCACCGAATTGCTGCCCGCTAGGTTGATCCTACATCGTTTTCGTTACACTTACTTGAGGAGCTTCGGGATCGCTTTAGCGGTCACATAGCTCCTGTGTGATCCTCATAACCACACACCAAACGTTTACACTACAATTACCCCACATCATCATAATACCTCACTGTGAAGCTTCACCGACTCCCTCAGAATTTACACTGTGTGGTACATAGACCTTTCTCTCATTTGATTCAGACACCCACTTTGCATCATGTTTTTCACCCTGTGCGGTCACTTCAACCTTAATTTCATTGGATACTGAGAAGTTTATTTTTCTTAGACCCCTTGCGACAGCCATATATTTTATCAATGCAAGAAAAACATGACCGCCACTTTTCACCATCTGAGCACGACATTCTACATTATGATATTAAACATCTTATCCACCATTTGATCCCGAATACAACAGACACCAACAGAAGGACATATCCATGCTCTTTCCAGTGGGCATTGATTGTTCAGGCTTGACTATCACACACCATGCCATCGTATTGTCAACCAACTCAGCATGCCCACCAATGTAATATTCACTGTTCCCTTTGAATACCCAGCAAGCTCCACTTGCACCATCACTCTGATATGTGCCGAGAAAGTAACAATTCTGAAGCCTAGTCAAATCGATAGTTCCAAGGACAATATCCTTTGTCTGCTGTGCGAATTTACCGTTGGACTGCTTCACATAGATTGACACACGTAGAATCAGTTCTAGGTTCACATTAGTAATGTCTGTGAGAAGCGGAGCGTCAGACTTGACTGTGATTGATTCCAAATTAATGTTAGTCAGATTGTTAATAGTATCGATTCTCCATGAAGGTGGAATCTGATCGTGACAGTAAGCGTGATACTTGGTATCAGCATTTGCAACTCCACGATAACCCCACACCCACTGTACCACCTTGTGATGCTTTTCTATGTACTTCCCAGACGGAATAGAAGGGGCAAAGTTACTCTCCACCCATTTTTTGTTCACAGCATCTTTATCATTAACGGGGTCCCTTAAATCCACAATTCCACTTGAATCTCCCATGTCAAGATCACCTTCCACCAGACCGCCCATCTTACTCATGAACTTATCCATGATCCATCCAACGTTAGGTACAGATTCCCTATTGGGGTTACTACGAGAGGACACTCTTAGCTTCTCAATAGTGTGTCCGCCCATGTCAATACTACCTGTCATCGTGAATCCTCCCGTATTCATTGTACTTCCACTTACATGATCAGTGACCCACTTCTTGGAGACAGCAGACCCGTCAGTTGTTGGGTTAGCCACACGAGTTATCTCAAAACTGTTAGCATCAAGGTTACTTGCTAGCGTACCACCATCACGTTTCACAAACTGTAACCCCCAAGTGTCTATCGTCTTACTTGAAAGTGCAGCTGTGTCTCCCACAGAACCCCCTGCAAGTCCCGTTATACTGTGCCCTCCCATGTCAATATTACCTGTCATTGTAAAGCCACTATTAGTGAGAGAACTTCCACTCACATGATCAGTGACCCACTTCTTATTCACAGCTGACTTATCCGTTGTTGGGTTAACAAGGTTTGTGATCTCATGGTTTTTCATATCAATGTCTCCAGCAATGTCCAGTCCAGAGACAGGTCTATTTAGAGCTCCAGTCATGTATTCCAAAGTAACAGCGGACCGATTAGTTGTAGGATTACCTAAAGCTCTAATTTTGTTGGATCCCATATTGAGATTACCCGACATTGCTCTCGTTCCATCAAGTGGAAGGTGCTTTATACTTTGATTTCTAACGTAACCAAGTGTTGCAGCATTGTTAGCGTCACTACCTGGGGTAATGTTAGTGATCATATTATCTCCCATACTAATGTTTCCTGTCATAGTAAAACCAGCAGGTTGAACTGTAACAGAGGCCTGTTTAACGATCTCATCATCAACCCACTTTTTAGTAACAGCAGATGTATCATCTGTGGGTGCACCCAAACCTTTCACCTCATTTCCGTCCATCTCAATGTCACCCTTCATTGTAAATCCATTTTTATCAACTCCACTTCCACCTGATATATTAACATTAATTTTACTGCCATCATATCTCTGATAGAGAGCCATCTTATGAAACAACAACAACAACAACATCAATTTATTTCACACCAACCAAGTAAAATAACATTATATGATTTTTTTTTTAATATAAATATTATGGCACAGGTCACCAGAAATAGTGAAGACTAAACCAGTCTAGTGACCTTTTATAAAATAAATGAAATAATGAGTTTTATATCATTTTGTATAATTATAAAAGTATATGTTCATGAATACTTGTGGCAGCGCTAGTAAATGAAAATCATATTTTCCACAATGTTATTCTTGAAAGATGATTTGCTAAGAGTTTTATATTTATCATCAATATCATTCCATACTTTAGGACCCTGAAATTGAAGACTGAATTTGCCATAGTTCTTATTTTGTCAATATAATATGTACTGATGCAACCTGTTTGAATATGTTATTACATGTGGCAGGAAGATTCCCGTTATGATAATCATACATGAATAAAGCGTTGTTTAGAAAAACAAGATCAACGAGCTTCAAAATATTAAGATTTTTAAATAAAGGACTAGAATGATCATCAAATTTAGAAAAGGTAATAATTCGGACTACTCTTTTTTGTAAGGTTATTATTGGATTAAGATTTGAAATATAGGTGTTTCCCCACAACGTTATTCCATATGTCAAATATGGGTAAATTAAGGAATAATAAAATTGTAATTACATGTGAGGTAACAAAATGGCGAATTTTACACAACATTCCAATACTTCTCTTGATTTTTTTCGAAATATGTTGAATATGACTTTTCCAATTAAGATTATAGTCTATGTAGATTCCTAAATACTTGAGACTAGTTTCTTGTTTAATTTGTACTTGATTAATAAATATTTTTATTGTGGATGTAATTTTCTTTTGAGGTGGATGAAAAATAACAAAATTTGTCTTATCAATGTTAAGGGAAAGTTTATTACAGTTAAGCCAGGAATTAATATTTACAATATTATCATTAATAACTTGTTCCATGTCCAAAACACTCTTGTTTGTACAAAACAGATTAGAATCATCAGCAAAAAGATGAAAATCGAAAACCTTTGAACTATTATTGAAATCATTCATATACAGAAGAAACAACAGTGGGCCGAGTACAGATCCTTGTGGGACACCACAAGGGACAACAAGCTCGTTGGATACTGAACTTCCTATGGATACAAATTGTTTTCGATTTTCTAAGTATGAAATAAACCAATCTTTTGTTATTCCCCTTATACCATAATGCTCAAGTTTAGTTATTAATATTTGGTGGTTAACAGTATCAAAAGCTTTACTTAGATCCAAAAAAAATCCACAAGAAAACAAACCATCCTCAATTGCTCTTTGGATTTTATCGGTAATCGATATGACTGCTTGTACTGTAGAGTGCTTTGACCTGAATCCAAATTGTCCCTTATAAAGAATTTCTATTCTTTCAATATAGTTAGTTAACCTTTTACACATCAATTTTTCTAATAATTTATTAAAAATTGATAACAGGGAGATTGGACGTTTCACAATGTTTCACATTACAGTCCTCAGGAGAAGGAAAACAGCAGATGCTCCAATACCAAGTCCAACCAAAACATTGCTACCTGAGGATCCAACCGTTTTGTGCCGTACAATAGGTGCACCACTAGCAGGAAGAGTTGTGTACACCTTCGCAATCTTTTTGGGAACCACTGTGTTTCCCTTAAGGGTATCAAGATGTTGCACAGGTGAACTATCCTGAAGCTGTTTCCTTGGAGGATCAGGTTGTTTGACTCCAACATAGTTTAGTTTAGTGTTGATCCCAAAGGTAGTCGTTTTTGTAGGACTTGAGAGTATATTATTATATCCAGGAATAGGTGTTTCAAGGATGATGAGTCTAGAGGGAATCAGTATTATGTTAGGATTGATTGCCATATTCAGTATCATATTAGTGTCCCTTATAGCTGTCCTCATATTGCTAATAGTAACGTTCACATTAGTCTGCACCACAGTGTCATTAACTATTCTTCTAAAAGCCTGTTGCGTTTGGAGGGACTTACCTAATTGACTACTAACAATACTCCATCTTGTTTTAGCTTGAGCTCCCAATACAGAATAAACATAACTTTCCACACTATCCATAAGCAATTGTACTCCAACCTGTGTCATGCCGTTAGACTCGTACGGTATGAAGTGAAGATCATCGGAATTCGAGTAGTTTACCCAACCAGCCTTAAATATGTTCCACCTCCATGACTAGCCCCATTGAAAGACTGAATACTAACTGGAAGATATCCTTTCATTCCACTTAGATCGTATGCTTTCATCAGCTCAGGGTTCTTAATAAACTTTATCATTGTGTAGTAAAGGTGATATCTAGCTATTAAAGTAATCTGCTTGGGTGTATGATCATTCCACTCCAGATTCCTAACAGAGATACCGCACAGGAAGGTTGCAATATACGCGGAACATATCTGAGTAAAATATGATTCATTCACAAAGTCCATGTCAGCATTATGTATGTCGGATTCAACTCCACTGGGAAGTGCATCGGTACCCCTATTGTTTCCATAAAGCACTGACTTATTTTTCCAATCATAAAGTTTTATCGAATCAAATTTAGAATAGAAGTAATCTGTATCAGAAACATACACCTTGAAATTATGCAGAGGATATCCTAGATTAACAGCCTTCTGTAAAACAGGATAGTGGTGAATACCCCATTCATGCTTAGGTTCCCTTAGATGAGCGAAAGCTGGAATGTCACCACCGGAAGCCCAGATCAATGGCCATCCATCTTTGGTTGTAATATGAGCGTTAACCTTAGTTTCACGTAGTGAGGTAACAGGCCTAGTTTTATGTTGTGGTGTCACGATGGTAGTCCTATGTTTTTGTGCATAATATGGTCCTTCACAACTTCACCATGTTTTTGATAATCAGTCCACTCCTTACTCATGCTATAGTGATCGGAAGCCTGTATGGGATCACCTGGATGCAAGAGACGTCCTCTTTTCTTTAGCGGGTAGTCCATCTTTTAATAACCTAACGTATGTTATTAAAGATGAAGTTTACAGTACTTACCAAGGGATCACACACAGTAGTACCACTACAGAACTCAGTTCTAACAAGCAACTATAATTCAATCTTTGTGAAAAGGGTAGCAGTTTTCTGGGAGTATTGCAACATTAGGGAACGAACAACTTTAATGACAGTGAAAACAGATGATGGACTTGTGGATGTAGCTGTATACCCGGGATACTACACGTTCAATGATATGAAAGAAAAGCTGGAAAAAGGTGGGGTCAAATTAACGTACCGCCATCAGAACGCCAGAACTTGGATAGAGACGTTAAAACATAAGGTCACAATCAAAAGAAAACTGTTAGAGATGCTCGGATTGAGAAGGTTTGGTGATCAGCTTGTGTTACCAAAAGGTGCCAGCACTGGTGGTGAGAGTAGGGTTGACTTCAATGATTGCCTCAAGTCTGTAAACATTCATTGTAACCTCACCAACAAGAGCTACAACATCAATCACCTAGGGAAGCCAAGCGATGTAATAACAAGTGTCACAGTTCCAACGGACCGGTCATTATTCGGCTCAGTGGTCAGCTACATTGATGTTGAAAGCAGGACTTCAATTGTCAAGGGAACATGCTCAGAACTTGTATTCCACATGAGAGACCAAGACGGGAAACCTAGTGATATAGGCGAAGTGCTTATCGAGATGTACCTTGAGTATTAGGCTTACATTGGTTAATATATGATGGACAACGATATTATGAAAGAACAGGGACTACGAGATATTTTCTACAATCCTAAGACTGGATTTCAAACACCAGAGAAACTATACCTTAGAGCAATATCGGATGGACTTGAAGTAACCAGAAGTCAGGCCAAAAAAATGGATAAACGAGCAGGACACATACACCAGGTACAGACAGGTGTTTAGAAGGCACAAGTTCAGACAAATGTACGTCCAAACGTTAGGTGAGCAGTTACAAATGGATTTTGTTGACATGACAAAGTACAACGACAAGAACAAAGGATACCGGTTCTGACAATTACAACAGTTCAGTGACAATTACAACAGTTCAGTGAATAGATCAATTAAAAGCCATCAGAACCAAAGTTTGCTGTGGGAGAAAGTGTCAGGATTTCAAAGTACAAATCAGTGTTCACAAAGGGGTACGAGGCAAATTTCACGGAGGAGTTGTTTACTGTGATGGAAGTGTACCATGGACACCCAAACACATACACAATAAAAGACAGTGCTGGTGAACCAATAATTGGAAGATTCTATGAACAAGAACTGTATAGCGCAGAAGGAAGAGAACCTGATTTCAAGATAGAGAAAGTACTAAGAAGAAGAACGGTGAAAGGTAGGAAGATGGCTTTCGTTAAATGGTTAGGTTACTATGACAAATTTAACAGTTGGATACCAGCTGGAGACATCAAGTCCCTAACATAGGTTACAGTATTATGGAGGACGCTGAGGACTACGATGACATTGAGTTAGAGGAGAGACAGGAGAGCTATCCTCAATATGACGACATGGACTACCACGACCTTTTGTCGAACTTTGATGAACTAACAAATAGGTTACAAAGGGAGGTAAAGTACGGTTCAGATCCATTGGCAGCCACTGACCTTAACAATGAACTTAGCTATGTGAAGAAGCTCATGGAGGAACGTGGGACAGCACAGACAACCTTCACTGAGGGGGAAGAAGGAACCGTGAACATTACAGGACCATCATGGTGCACCGCTGTTGACTTTGTGGAAGACCCAAACAATTTACTTCCAGATGTGCTAGATGTATTTGACGAATCATTTAACACTGACTGGAGCGATATAGAGGAACGTCTGGATAGACTGAAAAAATTCACCACACTGCAGAGGAAAAAAGACTTTGAAAACTAGGTGGAATGTGTTCAGGCTGTCACAAGGTTGTTCAGATAAAGGAGAAAATAGTACTCAATCCAAGGAATAGAAACGTTAGGGAGCTCATCAAACGATCATCCGTCAGGACACTCAACGATGGCACAGAGGTATTAATGTTTAGAAGTGAACAGGGTATTAACAGGAGTGGTACCCAGATAATGAATCGCGGAAAGACCTCCGTTCCAACGTACTCCAAGAATTCCCCTGCACTGAGAGAATACAAGGACCTAGTGAGGAAGATCAGGGAGGACCAGAAAACTAACACTGAATTCAGAACAGAGGAGGAGGATACTGGTAGTGAGACCACAGTTATAAACCAGGGAGCTGACCTGAATGATTTCAGTGATGAGAATAACACATTTGAAGACATTGAACTCATAGATGTGAGGGTAGCTAGAGATGACATCCCAGGTCTTACCCCTCTGGAAAATAGAGAGCTTCGAGGAGTGCTTGACCCCACAGACACAATGGACCTGGAATCAAGAGTGGGTGACGACGGTGCGCTCCAGAAACAATTAGAATACTTTCAGGACACGATTAATAAAACAATGGAGTTGAGGGACGAAACGGACGACATAGAGGAGTTCATCAATTTGGAAGAAAGAATAGTAGCTCTTAGGGAAGCAAGGACAGTAATGCAGAAAGAATTAGAGGAAGGTAGACAAGCTCAAGTTGAAGACATTTCCAGATTCCGCAAATTCGTGAAATGGTTAGGGGAGGAGGTGGGACTCACAGGTGTTGCAGTATCAACGGCCGGTCTAATTACAACTCTACTGATGCATGCTAGGGGAGCAGTCATAGGAACAGCAAAGGCAACAGGTAAAGTAGCAAAAGCATTAGCCAAGCTAGCTAAGAAGGCAGGTCCCATTCTTGTGCCTGTCCTTGGGGTGCAAAGGGAATTGCATGGCTAGCATCAAATTTATGGGTATTAGCTATAGCAACAGCCTTGATGGTCTACAACTATTACACGAGGTAGGTTAGCTATGGAGGCAGATCCTGAGGAATACGATGATCAGAGAATGGAGGAGCTGAAAGAAAGGTATCCAAATTATGATGACATGGATATAGAAACTTTAGATAGCGAATTATTGTACCTTGATGAGGATCTTAAAGAAGGTGAAACCAATGAGGAAATGGAAGATATTCAAAAGGAGATTGCATACGTAAATGAACTAAGAAGGAGAAGGCTATTGGAGGAGCATGAAAGCGAACAGCAGGATCTTACACGGGAGCAACTAGCAGAAAGATTCCCTGACTTATCTGAACTATCATACGATGAGCTACTGGATAGGGGAGACAAGCTGTTGAATGAAATGATACTATCAAACCTAGACAAAAACAGTTTTAAAGAAAAGTCAGAAGAACTGAGGTACATCAGAATGCTATCAAGTGATTACCAAAGAGAGTCCAGTCTGAATAAACTATTAAACCTGAGAGATAAGGTGAAAAGGAGAAAGTTAATCAAACGTGATGACAACAGGAAACTAGAATTGTTCAAGATATGGGCAAGGGAAAACACAGGCATTTTATCAGCTGTACTAATTTCCACAACCACCGTAATCGTAGGACTGATAGCTGCAACTAGAAACATATTGTGGAAAGTTAGTGATTCAACAGGAAAGCTCGATAAACGGATCAGTAAGATGGAAGGAGGTCAAATAAGACTACCACCTGTATTCCAGAAGATAGCAGATGGAGTAGAGTTAGCTGCGAACAATATATGGATTGTTGCCATTTGTGCGATAGCAGGGCTACTCTATGCTTACAGCTAAACATTACATACTATATACAAGCATGAATACCACAGAAACGGAACTTCAACCTGGCTTCAGGAGGAGCCGCATGACTACCATCAAAGGACCTCAAACCAGAAGTGTCGTCACATTTAACCCAACAACGATCAGTCCTGGGGAAGAGTTATATATCAATATACCGAAACTCAAACCTTCCTGTTTAGTCCCAGGATCACTTGCCCTCCTTTTTGACTTCAAAAACTCCAATACTGAAAGCTGCTTCAATAACAACCTGTCAAAGCTTCTAGCCAAACGGTTACAAATAAAGGTAGCAGGTGAGACAGCCTATGACTGTTCAGGGGAAAGTCTATTCGAGGTGTACAAGGACCTATGGCTCACACTAGGAGACAGGAAGAAGATGATTGAACAGGGTGTCGCAAACGAAAATCTTCGCAAGTTATTCTCAGGGGATGATTCAGGTAAAAAGACAGGTGATGACAGTAAAGTTGCAGACGCTTTAGTCCAGTCAATCTACGGCACTAAGCTGAAGAAACCAATTGATAAGATCATAGGTGACCATGGACTTTACACTCCATTTACCATGAATAACAATCCGATGTACATCCTGACTCTCCCAGAAGCAGATGAGATTATGACCGCACAAGGAGGACAGAAGGTTGAAGGATACAAACTGGAAAACCTCGAGTTAGAGTACGAGACCATCGAGAACGACTCCCTTGCAAGTGAGGTCTCAAGGATGTATTCCACGGGAAGATCACTGTCCTACAAACACGTCACACTTATGCGAACAAGTAACTGGGACAAGGACCTTACCATTGTTAACGAAAACATTAACATCCCACGCAAGAGTATGTCAGCAATTGTCCTCCTATTTACCAATAAAGTGAGAACTGATTCTGAGCAGTATCTGTACCCCAACCTTGAGAAAGTCAGGTTAACTATTGAAGGTGTGCCAAACTCCGTGTTCTCCCAAGGCTTACCTAAAAGCAGGTTCTTTGAAGAGGCAAAAAGGTTCTTCTGCCCCATGTGTGAGAAATCAATGGCTGACGAGTGTATGTCCATTGACAAGTTCTACAAAAGACGGGTTCGCACTAGTGATAGATCTTAGGTCAACACAGGATGATACCACTGGAGGAAGTAAGAAGATCGTGAACACCCAAAGTGGAGTGCTACTGGAAATAACAAAGAAAGCAACAACTGCTGACGTTCACTGTAACATTTTCATTGTCTCAGATGCTCTCCTTAACTTTGCTAACAGAGATCTCTCAAGTATTCAATACTAATGGTAACACATAGAGATGCCACCTCAACCGCCGTTCAACATGCTCATAGTCGGAATGACAGGGAGCGGCAAAACCCAGAGACAGAGTACAACAGAGTGTTCCACTACATCATAATCGTATGCCCAACAATCAGCTGGAATACAACGTATCTCAATTGGAGCCACCTTAGTGATCACAGGGTTATTCAGATCCCCTGTTCCCAAGAGATGATCAATCATGTTCTCAAGGCGGTATCCATCATTTTCTGCGGAACCAATACTCTCATCATAGTGGACGATTGTGCTGCAAGTCAAGCTGTGAAGAAAAGAGTCTCTCCGAACTGGTGCACTTAGCATTCTCCGCAAGACACTACAACCTATCTGTCATTGTACTCACACAACAACTGTCCTCAGTAGCAAAGCCATTCCGGGAGAACATTTCCAGGCTAGTCACATTTTACAACCCTAGTTGCAAGGACGTGAAGGTCATAACAGATGACTACCTAAATGGTGTACCACAGGAGACAATCACTGAAATCATAAAGATACTGAGAGATGAAAAATACACTGCACTGGATATACTACTTATTCACCCTTATACTTACACTCTCCACTTAACACCGTGTAACATATAGATGACCACCGCAATAAGTGACACAGAATCGGAGAACGAATTATTTGAAGCCGCACTTAGAGAAGCACAAGAAGCCGCAAAACCTCCACCAAAGAAGAAGCCCACCGCAAGTAAGTGACAAACTGAGCTATCCAAGGATGGCACAGTAGAGAAATCTGCAAGCTTCATAAAAACTGTACAGTGACTATGAGGAACAGAGAATGTCATATGCTGGTGACTTCCTATCCACACTTATCATCTCAAAGTTTGCGACAGTACTAGGAAGCCTCAATGCAGTGGAATCATCAGAGAAACTGTCAGAGGAACTACTCAACGACAAGCTTCTGAAGGACGACGTGTCATACCTCACAAGAACGATATCCCCCAACATTCCATTTATAGGATTCGTATCAGGTGGCTGCACAACGGCTAAGCATGTAGTCGTTCACAAATGGAAAAAGGAAGAGGAACCTCCTAAGGAAACAGAAGTGGTACCTAAAGATTAAACATGTCCTATTTCATACAGAATGCCTCAAATGGGAGAACCCTTTGTGTGGGGCAACCCATGGGAAGGAACAGAATTTGAAGAAATAATTAATGAGCTGATTGAGAAGACAAATGAGAACAGGGAGAGGCTCGATAACCTGGAGAGTATTGTAGAGGGACTCAAGTATGAGACTTGGAATCGTTTAAAACCGATACTGTAAAAACAGTTATAAATATATACAAAAATCTTAACGAAATACGATGAAAAAATTTCTGCATATATAGTATAGAGAGAGTAACAGAAAAATGGATCAACTATTCAGAAACAAGAAACTTAACGTAAGCGTAAGAACTGTGAGGAGGGGTGAGGAGGTACTATTCTACGCAAAAGACGTGGCAGAATCACTAGGATACACAAACACAAGAAAAGCCGTCAGGGACCATGTGTGGAATAAAAATAGGGCAACAGTGGGGGAGCTCCAAGGGGGGAACGATTCGTTCCCCCCTTCAGGACAACAGTCAAACACAATCCTACTGTACGAACCAGGTCTGTACCAACTGATTTTCAATTCCAAACTTCCAATAGCAGAGGCCTTCCAGGATTGGGTATTCAAGGATGTACTTCCATCTATCCGCAAAACGGGGTCATACAAGTTACCAGAACCAAAGTCCCTCTGTGGTAAACAGTTGCAGCTACTCAATGAGACTGACCTTCATTATGCAGTTGTTAGGTACATAAGGAAGTACCATCCGAACGCCCTAATTGTACCGGGGCTAGGTGAGTACCAAGACACAGTCCAACGTAGATGCGACGCATATCGTAAGGGATACATAGGTGGCCAACCTGATATCCTGATAACAAATCCAATGAATGGTTACAATGGATTTGCAATTGAACTCAAGACTCCTAAGGGTACAGGCGAGATTAGGGACAATCAGGTGGTCTGGCTAAAGTTGCTTTGCGAACGGGGCTATAAAACAACGTTCTTCAATGACTACACAGATCTTGTACTTAAGATAGATGAGTACTTCAGAGTAGATCTAACAGTGAAAGCATAAGAAAGAAACCACAAACCTGAAAAAGCAATGTAACATACTTAAGCAGAAACTCAGTGAAGCAACAGCATGCTACCCGACCTAAGTTCACAGGTCACAAATACTAAGCAGTTACCACAATAGTGCAAAGATAAAATTCCACAATAGTGCCACAATAGTGCAAATATTAATTTTTAAGCAATCCACTCAGACCCGCCAGCATCTTGTAAGCAAACTCAAGCTATCTTTCAAGTAGATTCAAGTTATCTCACCAGTTATCTTACCAGTAGATTTGAGACATCTTACAAACAAATTCAAGTTACCTCACCAGTTATCTCACAAGTAGATCCCAGTTATCTCACCGGTAGATTTGAGTCATCTCACAAGTAAATTTAAGTTACCTCACAAGTAGAACTCAAGATATCTCGTAAGATGAAACCCAGTAAAACCTAAGGTATCTTACAAGTAGAATGGCAGATAAACCTGAGCAAACTCAAGTACCAGTAACAAGTGAAAAGAAGAAGGACCCTAGGAGAGTAGCTGCAGGGAAGCGATTAGCGGCAATCAGTAAGATAGCCAAGGAGAGGAAAAAGAAACAGGTGGAATCTGATGAGTCATCTGGTGGTGGCAGCATGATCACGTACGTAGGGATAGCTATCGCATTCATCACCCTAGTCATAACATTCAGGATGAACCAAAGGGAAGAGAAAGCCCTTGAACCTAAGTACACACCACCAACTGTAACAATAGAAAAGCAGCCTGACAGATCCCACATAGACACCCTTGAGTGACACATTAAACATGCCATATATTATAACAAGATGAGTACAGAATCAAAGATGAGCAAGGAAGTGTACGACGCAGTGTTACTTACAGCGGAAGCAGTTGGTGTATCAATGGCATCGAAGAAGCTTTTAAAGGAACCCTTAGGTACCCCAGAGAATGTGAAAGGAATGTTGAAGTTAGCTGTCTCAGTTAGTCTTTCATCTCTACTGGTCTCTTACCTGAAAGAAAAGAAGTATCTACCAGATGATCCATTCAAAACCTAGGTAGAATTATACAATGGCAAGTGCAGTAGCGGGAGGACTCTTCAATGCATTTGCTTTTGCAGGAGCAGGATACCTATTTAAGATGTTTGACAAGAATGGATACGCTGAGGAAGCCAAAAGACATAACATGGCTATGGAGTCCCTCACAGCCAAAAGAGAGAAGTACCTTGAAAAGGTAACTGATAGGAGAAACAAAGTAGCTCAGCCAAGGGAGGAACTAGCTGAGACAAATAGTGATATCAAATCAACAAACCAATCACTGGAGCTAGTGAGAAGAATAAATGAGTTAACACGTAAGACCCTACCAAGGAAGCCACAACTAAGTAATCACTACAAACCTAGCCCTGAGATGGAAGAATACATGGCACTCTTTGGTTTACTTGTAGGGGGAGCGGTGGGAGGGGCAGCCTACTTGATGCTATGATAAATTAACAGTATTTTTTTACAGCTCTATTAGTATAGGGGAATGGAGTGGTTATGCGAGGCAACACCGGAAGAAATAGTAAAGGTAGACAAGAAGACAAATACAATGAAAGAACTTGATACAGTAGTGAGGAAGTACGTGCAGGGGAGAATAAAGAGGGGAAACCCATACGATCCTATATGTAGTGAGTGTGGAAGTAAATCCATCATTATAATAGATGGAGCCGACACATGTACAGAATGTGGAGTCTGTGAGATGAACAACTTCTCACACTATGTCAGCTACAACTATAATAAGGACGACTACCTTAAGAAGAAGACTTCACATAATAGGGTATGTTGGTTTGGAAGACAACAACTGGAACATGTAGATAACCCAGACAGACTCATACTAAGGAATCAGTTTCAGAAGGTAGTTAGATGTATACAGAGACTTAGACTACAGAGAGGACGCAATATAGTAAGATACAAGTTTTACCTACTTAGGTTAGCAAGCATGAACGGTATAGAATTGAGGGACCCTCATGAGGACATCAGCACAGAAAGAATAGTTAACGAACTAGAGGACCATCTGTATGGGAAAGTCTTTGTTGAGCTAGGATGGAAGTCTGAGGGATGTCAGTACTACGACAGAGGGATGTCAGTACTACGACAGATGGATGGAGCGCACTGGGGGGGTCGTCAACTAAATTAACCTTAATATTAATTAATTAAATTAACCTTAATATAAACATAATTAAATAAACCTTAATATAAATATTATTAAATAAACCTTAATATTAATATTATTAAATAAACCTTAATATTAATATTATTAAATAAATCTTAATATAATTAATTATAAATTAATTCCAAATTAATTAATCGGAAAATACCCTAATTATTTTCGGTACATATAGTATAGGAGAGCGAACGAAAAAAATGGATTCAACAAAATCAGAGATTAGTATGGAAGAGTTGTTAGCACTTGGTAGTTACTTCAGTGGAAACATCCCAGAAGACAGTGCTGAGTTTGAGCAGGAAGTGATGGCCTATAAGATCTAGGACTGATGAGGAGTATATAGTAACAAGACCATGTAAGAAGTTCATAAGCAGTGCCCCACAAAGGAAAAGGGGAACAGCACCACAGTGGAAATACTCAGAGCGTCAAAGGGAAGCGGCCGAGTTGATAGACCTAGCCTATGACAGACTGAGAGGAACACCCGGAGTGGCGGAGTTCTCAGGTGGTACAGCGAAGACAGACTCACAGATCATCCAGAGGGAAGTAGAAAAAATAAAGTCTGAGCGGGACCAAGTGGTACCGAAGAAGAGAGGCAGACCTCCAAAGGCCAAGGTAGAGGAAGAACCCAAGATACCGAAGAAGAGAGGCAGACCTCCAAAGGCTAAGGTTGAGGGAGAACCAAATATACCAAGGAAGAGAGGCAGACCTCCAAAGGCCAAGGTTGAGGAAGAACCTAAGATACCAAAGAAGAGGGGTAGGCCACCGAAGACAGTTGAATCACATAAGACGATATCCGAACCAAGGGCAACAGTGGCTGAAAGACTACTGAAGCAAAAGACAGTTAAACCAAAGAGACAAAGTGTAGCAGATAGGTTCAAAGCACAAAGACTTGTGAGACCTGTCATACCTGCAGATAGTGTGGTAACAAAGGTGGGGCCTGGTAGGTACAACATAGAGGTGAACCTGAACAAGAGACCAACTAGGAAGGCACCTGATGTACCAAAGGGTGTGAAACCTTGGAGACCAGTACCGAAGCCGAGGACAGTGTTCCCCAGGGAGAGGCCCATACCGAAGCCTAGAACAAAGCTCCCTAAGGAAAGACCAGTACCGAAGCCCAGGACAAGGCTCCCCATACCCGAGGCACTGGTAAGGGTACGTAAGCCTGTAAAGCAAATGAAGGAAACCGAAGGGCAACCTCCAGTGGTGAGAGTTGAGGAGCACGAAATAGATCCATTCGGGACAGACCTCCAAGCACCCGGCTACAGGAAGATAGAGACGGCAGCCAACGGGGCAGCAGTGACGTACTCAATAGTATCACAATACATGGATCCACTAGATCAGCTGACATCGAGTAGACAAGTGGTGAGAAGTATACTGATGAATGAGTTGAGGAAACTAGGTGGGATAAAATACACAGAGACCCTGAAGGTGAGGATGTCAAAGGAAGTAGGCAATGGCAAGACAAGTAAGGACTCAATGTACTTCAAGTCTAAGACAGGAACTGTAACAAACCATGAGGACATAGAGAAGACGGCTGCCTTTAATCAACAAACAATACTCAATAGAATTGAAACATTTCAGAACCTTGGGAGTAACTGGATAATGAACATCAAAAGTCATTACATTAATATCGCAATGTATAAGCCATTAGCCGGTAGCTCATACATGGAACTCCCTAAGGACATTAAATAACTCTAAGTGTGGATTAATCAATATGAGGAACGAAGATAACATGTGCCTCATATGGTGCCATGTGAGACACCTTAGACCTAAAGCAAGAAGAGCCACAACAATAACCAAAAATGATAGGGACTTTGAGTTGAATGTAGACTACAGCGGTATTGAGTTCCCAGTGAAGATAAGCGATATAGGTAAAATAGAAAAGAGGAATAATATAAACATATCAGTGATAGGATACAGGGGTAAGAAACAGTTCTACCCCATAAGGATATCTAAAGGTGAACACGAAGATCACATGGAACTGCTACTACTAGGTGATGGTAACAGGAAGTTACACTATGTGTTGATAAAGGATATTAACAGATTACTGTGTAGTGTGAGTAAGACTAAGGCAAAGGCCCACTATTGTCTACACTGCTTTCACAACTGTGTGAGTGAAGAAACACTAGCTAAACACAAGGAGGTCTGTATAGAAGTAAATGAAGTGCAGGCCACTAGACTCCCTAAGGCGGGGTCAAAGACAAGATTAAAAAATCATAGGATCTGTCTCCCTGTTCCATTCGTAATCTACGCAGACTTCGAATCAATACTTGTACCCAATGAGATCACCAAGGATGACACCAACTGTGACGAGAGTTACACGGAAAAATATCAGACTCATCAAGCGTGCAGCTTTGGGTTGAAGACTGTATGCAACTACAACGATAGCTACTCAGGAGAATACACAAGTTACGTGGGAAAGGATGCCGCCTATGTATTCCTTAAGACTCTCATCAAGGAAGCCGGTAGATGTAGGAGTAATGTTAACAATCTATTTAAGAAGAAGATGATCATCTCACCTGAACAAGAACAGGAATTCATGAATGCCGCAGACTGTTCCATATGTGGGGAGCTCCTTGGGGAAGACAGAGTACGGGACCACTGTCATATCACAGGACATTACAGAGGGGCGGCTCTGCAATTTAAAATGCAGGATATCATGGAAAGTCCCTGTGGTCTTCCACAACTTGAGAGGATACGATAGCCATCTTATCATGCAAGAGATAGGCATGTTCGGAATGGAAGTAAATGTGATACCAAATAATATGGGAAAATACATATCATTCTCACTGGGTAAATATCTAACTTTCATAGACTCTATCCAATTCATGTCCTCTTCCCTGGAGGAACTCGTTAGCAACCTGTCACCTGAGGACTTCAGGATAGTAGGTAAGTGCTGGCAAGGAGAGGACTTCAAGCTGGTTACTCAGAAGGATATCTTTCCTTATGAGTTCATGGATAGTATGGATAAGCTACAGTCAGAGGGACTTCCAAGTAAAGACAAGTTCTACTCCACACTGTATGAGTCTCACGTAAGCGATGGAAATTACCAGAGAGCACAGAGAGTATGGAGTCACTTCAACAGGAAAACAATGACAGACTAGCATGACCTCTACCTGGAGACTGACGTTCTTCTACTAGCTGATGTATTTGAAAACTTTAGGAGAACCTGTATGGAAAGCTACGAGCTAGACCCAGCACATTACGTATCAGCACCAGGTCTGAGTTGGGACGCCTTCTTGAAAAGGTCAGGTAAGGAAATTGAATTGGTAAGTGATATGGATATGTTCCAGTTCTTCGAGAGGTATGAGAGGTGGTACAAGCTACATTGCCCATAGACACTCAGCTGCTAACAATAAGTACATGGAGGAGTACAACGAAGATGAGGAGAGTAAGTTCCTTATGTACCTAGATGCTAACAACTTATATGGATGGGCGATGTCACAGCCACTACCTAGTGGTAAGTTCCAGTGGGTAGAGGACACTGATAATATTAACCTTGATGATTACATAAATGATGAGGGTAGGGGTATGGTCCTAGAGGTAGACATGGATTACCCAAGTAAACTGCATGACCTACACAATGGATATCCACTAGCCCCAGAGAGTATGAAAATAAAACCTGAAATGTTATCGGACTATGCGAGGAACATTGCTGAGAAGTTCAAGCTTACAGTGGGTGAGGTACACAAGCTGGTAACATCATTAGGGCCGAGGAAGAACTACGTTGTACATATCCGCAACTTGAAGCTTTACACTGACCTCGGTATGAAACTAACTAAAGTACACAGAGCTGTTACATTCAAGCAGTCGTGTTGGCTTACGGATTACATTGCCTTCAATACTAAAATGAGGTCAACAGCTAAGAACACCTTTGAGAAGAATTTCTTTAAGCTCATGAATAACTCAATATATGGGAAGACCATGGAGAACTTGAGAAAGCGAGTTGATGTTAAACTTGTTACATCAGAGGATCCCTTCTTGAAGTTGGTTGCCTCACCGTGCTTCCAATCACATAGGATAATGAATGAGAATCTTATTGCAGTCAAGGGTGCAAAGAAACTGCTAACCCTTAATAAGCCCTGCTATGTGGGTATGTGTATTCTCGACTTATCTAAGACACTGATGTATGACTTCCACTACAACACCATTAAGAAGGAGTACGGTGATAAGGCAAGGCTCCTCTTCACAGATACTGATAGCTTGATGTATGAGATTTAAAACCGAGGATGTCTACAAAGACTTCAGGGACATAGGTGATAAGAAGGACTGCTGGGACAACTCAGATTACCCTAAGGATAGTCCCTACTACTCAGCCTATAATAAGAAGGTTATTGGTAAGTTTAAGGATGAAGCTGGTGGTGTACCAATAACAGAGTTCGTTGGACTAAGATGTACTCTTACACTAAAGAAAATGGTAAGGGTAGGATGACAGCTAAGGGTGTGAAGAAGTATGTCATCAAGAACAACCTCACCCATGATAACTTCAAGAATGTCATAGCAAAGAAAGATAGGATGAGACATAAGATGAATACAATACGAAGCACCAAACATATAATAGGAACTTACGAAATACAGAAGGTAACACTAAGTTGCTTCGACGATGGCCAAGGAACTGCGGGTTCAAGATTACTTTACCCCGACGCAGGAGGGGTGAAGTGGTCTCGAGCCCGTAGTTCCTATACTACTCATGTAGTTGTCACGGCATTGTAAATTTATTTGCATTTGGTATGGCTTACTAGTACGACCAAGTATGTCAGCATTTTTTGTGTTGAAATAATCCTTCCATACTGAAATTGACAAATATAAATGGTATTTATTTATATTGTTCACAAAAATTTATGGTGTTTTAGGCATAAAAAACTCTGATTCCTAGGCAAAGTAAAACGAGCCTTGAGCACATGTTTGAATTTGATTGTTTGTTACATACATAATAGACCAAGTATTCATACTTATGTCTTACTAATTTGGCTCTTATTATAATTTCAAGTGACGCCATGTAAATTATGTCTATAAAAAATGTTTTTATTTGCAGTGACAAAGATATTGATCCTGTTCCTAGCTGCTATTCCTGTTTCAATGTTTCATAGCCTCAGGGAAGTAGCAGTTCTGATGAGTCATGAGAACCCCACTCCCCAACCCCCATTAGGAAAACGTGTAAGTGTAGAGGGAAGGTAGGGGGATGAGTAGGAGGTAGAGGGAAGCCCAATCACTAGGACCTAAGGTTTTGAAAGCTTGCTGTCTAGCACCCCCACTAGGCCCCATAGTACATGACAGATATAGTGATCCTGACGCTAGGAATATTCTTCCAGATTTTGCCCCTCACCGATCTCATGTCTGAGATCCATTTCGATCAAGCTTTCACCAGAAGTATGAACTGTGAGCTTGAGTTCATTCGGCTCTTTTTTACTAAGGGAATGCTTCAGGAGGTAGTTTCCCGGCCATACCAGTAGATATGCCCACATACAAACAACCGAAAATCATCCCCATATACTAATAAAGAAAGGTCTTGGAGTCCACCAACCTTGACGAGATTGAGAGGTTGATTCCCTTTTTTAGTATATGCAGGTTTGGTAAAGGTCGACAGTGAGATTGAAAACTATTGGAGTGTAAAAACCTTATATCATAGTCTGTGGGCAATAGAAATAATTTCTCGGTTTAGGTACAAAGCGCTTATGGCATTTCTGAATATGGTAGATCCTGTCACTGAAGACTACAGCAATAAACTGCATCAACAACTGTACCAGCCATCACAGAAAATTGGTGTTGACGAACACACTGTCAAATCAAGGAATAGGTTGGGGATTAGGCAGTTCATGAAAGATGGCCTACTATGTGGGAGATAAGTCTGTGGATTGCTGCAGGCAGTCCTAATGGTTATATTGCGACTTTGAGATTTATACAGGAAGAAGTCCACAGATTCTTAGCAGCATGGATTTGGGTATGACGTGGTGATGTGATATAAGTTTGGCTAATATATATTTTGTGCAAAAAAAGGAAATATTTTCACCACATAATCCAATTATGTGCCTTGGCAAACATTACTGCCTTGGAAAACATTACTTTTTTATAACTACTAATGATGACGCCAGCCCAACAACACTTGGTCATGCTATATACAAATATTTTCATGTTCCAGATTGTGAAAACAATCAATTTCTCAAGAAATGAGTAATGATTATTCAAAATTTGAATAGCATGACCAAATTTTCAGTGGTTATGCCACTGATAACTAAGTCAATGGTGTACTGATTATCTAAGAATGTATATAGTAACCGTAGAAATAAAGACATTTTGCAAATAGTGATTTGAGTGTTCTTTTATGGGTATCACAGACTTATTTTGGTGCCATACTATCCTTGGAGAGTAAGAAATATTGGAAATTCGTATTGATAATATGTTGCAGCAATGAAAAAGGACCTTTGATAAGGGTATTTTGTTTCATATGAGCACAAAATGTAAATTTTACTCCACTACATAGTTTATTCAAAAATTAAATAAAAATACTTCCATTTATGTTACATGCATGAAATGTCGGGTACATGTAGATCACAACCGGGTCTTTCAGTTACATTCATAACATTTTTGACATATTTGAAATTTGAACTGGTAAATACATTTATGCACAATTGCAACATTTTTTTATATCATAATTTATGCAAATGTATGCGAGTAAATCGTTAACCAAGCTCGGGATGAAATTGAAATTTGTATTGTTGGAAAGTGGAAGACCTCCTCTTTCGAACGATGCAATTTCTGTTTCCATACAATGTATAGTTTGAAAGATATATGCATTTAAAACAACACCATTCAGAATTGCTACTTTTCGACCGAATGAGAATGAGTTAAAGTCGTGTCTTAAATAAGAAATTTTGGACAAAAATTCTAACTACACATGCCCGAAACTTTAAACAACATAAAATTAATAGCCTTGCATACTAAAACAAAAACAACCGAAACAATATTATAGCTATAGCAAGTAAATAAGAATAAAGCCATAGAGAACCATTTATGTGATAACTCCGCTTATATGACGCGTCTTATGTAAGTTGCGACTTATTTTGTCCGTATAAATGGCCCTATTGTTCATGGCATATTGATATGTATGTACAAAATAATGAGATAAGTGAAAGATATAGATTAAAAAAAGGAAAGTCAAGTGGTTTGTGTCAGTGTTAAAAGATGTTAGTAAATTAACACAAGGAAACACCTACTTAGAAGAGTGTTTATGGAAAAGATCGAACATTATTATTAAGTCATGGTTTAGTTTGAGCAATTAGTAAGCTTTCCTTAATAAGAATATCATGGTTAGAATTAGCTGAAGTAACAATTTTAAAATCACTCGGTTCAATTGGGATGACTGGCTTCTCTAGAATGATCCAAAATACTAGATTTTGAAACACACAAAAGAGGATTACCAGTCAAAGCTGAAATTCTGCAATGCTTGGAGATTTGCATGTCTAAATGTTGGCATGTTTTCACAGGGGGTCCAACTAAGAGCTGTGCTATGAATATGAATAAAACATATTAATTAAACGTAATATGAATAAAACATCATAACGTAATATATTTAAATTATTGCACTTACTTGTATAAATCATAAGAGCTTGTATTTGCAGTGAATAGCTTCAAACAGGGCGCTTATATATGCTCAGAAACATTTGCTTCGAACGATTGTTCAAATATGGCGAATAAATTGACAAAACGAAAATATTACATGACGTTCCAACGAAAATAACAGCAAGGATTGCGGGCGTGCGAGCGAAAAGGCGAGGAAGAAATAAATAGAAGGGATGAAACAAATATCACGTGACATTTTAAAATGCTTCTAGCCGATCCGTTTAAGCTTTTTGTCGTATTTTTAGTGCTCAGTAGATGTTCTCTTACATGAACAAACCTAGTCATTACCAAAAAAAGCACTGATCAATCTAATTTATGTGATTTATAACAGCAAGCATTCTTGGCCATTTTCGCGAGATATGTTCCATAAGTAGCCTGATCTCGTGACGTAATGACTAAATAATAATCAAACTAAATAATGTAAAAAAAAAGTTGGTCGCTACATTTAAATATTTCATATTAGCCGGTATAGCTAAACATTTTTTATTTTCATCAATTAAGCGCGTAGGCGTTGTTGGAGTTGGCAGGAGGCGTTTTGGAATTTTTCGAGAGACCAGGCTACTTAAGGTCCAGTTACACGTGCAATTTTTTTCTCGCGCCAGCAACGCAACGGGTTAAATTTCATTGCGTTACTCACACAAGTCATGAAATTGCCCGTGTAACATATCTGGCGCAGTAATGCAATTGCAACCTGATATTCTTGGCAATCGTTGCGGAAAGTTGAAATGCTTGAACTTTCGGCAACGATTGCCGAAAATATCGAATTACCCAGGCATTGTTTGAGCAGGAAACGCATGCGCTATTTTAAGAGAGCCAATGAAATTCGCTTCTGTATGGACAGCGTGCTGTAGCGCTGCCAAATATCGAAGCATTAATTAAACAACACATTTCTGCTGGCTTGATTGATTCACGCATTATTGTGTCTTTCTTGTAAAGCTTTTCAGATAGATTATCAACTATCTTTTTGAAATGATCAAAATCCATTCGCATAAATTTTTCAAATTCTGGTGTGTCGTGGGCAGCCAGATCGGGCCGTAGGTTCGATTCCTACCAGAGGACCTTGTGCTGCATTTTTCGCAGTCGTTTCTGGTTAGGTCTTAAAATGTATATATTCTCACTTGGATTACAAACCCTAACATCCTAAGATCGGGAAGAAGCTGACCGAAATAACCTTTGTTTTTTCTCTCTAGAAGCCAGTGCCGGCTCCAAATACGTTTCTTTTCTTTAACCACCTCGTCATCTTCTTGTCAGTGACATTTGCAAATTGCAAAACAGTAGTGCCTGTTTTTTTCATGCAAATAATTGCGACGCGGCTAAACTATCATTGCTCGTGTCACCACTTCACTCGCGCGAGTAACGCAATGAAATTTAACCTGTTGCAAAGGCGTTGCGTTGCCGGCGCGAGAGAAAAATCGCATATGTAACTGGACCTTTATGAAACACATCACACGATCGCATTACCGGTGTTTCATCCCTTCTATTAATATCTATTACCCTCGCCTTCCACTCACACCCGCAATCCCTGCTGTTATTTTCGTTGGAACGTCATGTAATATTTTTGTTTTGTCAATTTATTCGCCATATTTGAACAATCGTTCGAAGCAATGTTTCTGAGGAATCTGAGCATATATAAGTGCCCTGTTTGAAGCTATTCACTGCAAATACAAGCTCTTATGATTTATACAAGTGCAATAATTTAAATATATTACGTTATGATGTTTTATTCATATTATGTTTAATTAATATGTTTTATTCATATTCATAATACAGCTCTTAGTTGGACCCCCTGTGATGTTTTGTCCAAATACAATGTGTTACAGCATTGACACTCAATTGATACATGATATGAGATCTCAGATTAAGAGGAATACGGTTTTTGAAATGGAAAAAATTTGACGAACAGCATATTGGGTTCAAAATCACACACATAGTTGCACTTGAGGAAAACAATTTGTGTAATTGTTGACGGATCTGAATAGATGATTCCCTGACAAGGTGAAACAATCGGAATAAGTAATTTTGGAGTAGTAACTTTTTGAATTTTTCAAGTTCAGCATGAAAAATTTGATATGAGGAGCAGATGTTGAAATAACGAAACAAGGTAAACTGAAGTTTCAATATCAGGCGCGGGCCAGGCATATTTTTCAAGCTTGCCCGGTGTGGATATACACTCAGAGTAACATGACACAATTTGGATTCTTGCACTTCACTTGGTGGAATTAATATTAGAATGTTAGGGTTAGTACCGGTAATCCAAGTGAGAATATATACATTTTAAGACCTAACCAGGAACGACTGCGAAAAATGCAGCACAAGGTCCTCTGATAGGAATCGCAGGGCCGTAGGTTCATTTCCTAATACAGGACCTTGTGCTGCATTTTTTTGCAGTTGTTCCTGGTTAGGTCTTAAAATGTATATATTCTCACTTGGGATTACTCACCCTAACATTCTAATAACATCACACAAGCATCTTATTCACCAGAGTACATTACACCAACACAGCAAATATTTTTAACAACTGGCCCCTGGAGGGTGAGTACCTCACAGGTGTTTGTTGTGGATGAATATTGATGTTGTTGTGGATGATGTCATCCCGATCCTAATCCTGACATTAAAACCTAATCCCGAAGCTAAAACTGCAACAAAATCCCATGAGTTAATCAGCTGTGAATTTGATGTCATCATGATGTTACTCAAATTACACAAAGACATTGTAATATGGCTCAATTTCCATATTAATGATTCCAAAATTTTATCTCCAGTCCCTACCTTAAAACCAACTCTAGTTCTAATGGTTACCCTGACTAATTCTAGTAATTATCCTTTCGGCACAAAGTTATATGGAACGTGACCCATGATTATACAAGCAAAAGGAGGGAAAACATTTGGGAAAATAAATGGTTCCTTGCTATTTCTCAAATGGCAAGGCATAACATTTGTTCTCCAGATAATTTGAGCGAAGTTTGCAAAGTATAATCACATAATTACTGTGTGGTGCAAAGAAGTTGACATTATGGTTAAAAGTTTCAATTGAATATTTACAAAATAATATAAAATAACCATTGATACTTAAGAGGCTGTCTCCGTAAAAACCTCCAGGTCAGTATGGGGCTCAAAAATAGATTTCTTTCATACTCTAGTATTTTGAAGATCTATCCTTGGGAACAACTAAAATCGATGTCATTTTACTCAAATTTCCTTTAAATTATTTTTGGGGGCGATTGATGTTCGATCGACTGGTAACCAACTTGATACTCCGAATGAAGGCCAATATCGACATATTTTCAGCGCTATTTTTTAAATCAAATTCATACCTAAATTTCAAAATTTTTGCTCAGAAATATAGACTTATCCTTCTATTTTCGCTGGTGATATGACTTAGTTCATTATTCTTTGGTATAAAATAGAAAACAGCACAGTTATTGACCCTCCTGAACGGATAAAGGATATCGTCTCAAAATATGTCAAATTCGAAAGCTTATTTCAAAATCGTGGCACTTGATTGGCACATGACTTTAACTTTTCTATAAACTACTAACATTTATAGTCAACACAAATCGCCAATAATATCTTTCTGTTCTACCATTTGACAAAAATGACAAGCGCGCAAACTTTGTAAAATTTGAAAATGTGTCGAAATCGAGCATACTTTATCGGTAAACATAATTCTTGATATTAACAAATAAAACCACCTTACACTACACTGAATGAAGCTTGATTATGTAAATATATGTCTTTCATCATTATTCTTTGGTTTTGCACTCGAATGAAATTGTTTGACTGTACAGTTTGGCTTCAAGGATAGTCATTCAATGCCAGTGTGTCCAGTGTGTTCGAATAGTTCTGCGCGCCTCAATGCCATGAGTCCTGATTGTGACATACGAACTTCGCTCTATTCGCTTTGTTTACCTCCTGTAAATAAAATGTCTCAAAGAAATTAGAAAATTCAGAATTAGTCATACTACAGACATAATTTTCATTGGTTTGTTTACCTTAAACTGTTATATAAAGTTTCGTTTTATATTATAGAATGTACGAATTAATCTCGGGGAAAACTCCTACTGAACCGAAAGAAATGTACTCGCTGAGCGTAAACATGTCAATCAAATGACGATGAAATGTTTCGTTGCTCTCTGATTTCCCTTTCTTTGTATTGAATTAAATAGTAGTCTTAGACAGTATTGCACGAGGTTTTTGTGTTTACAATAATGCTGTTCTACTTCTACTACAGCCGCAACTTGTGATCACGCAACGTTAGGTAAACCTAAACGATTTCGACAGACAGTAGATTTTATGTTGACAGATGAGAATGACGGTAAGCAATAATGTAGAAATGTTCCTTTTCTACTTCTGAGTGTGGAAACTTCCGAGACACAGTAGACTGTTCTTCGAAGTTGCTGGCGTGTAAGAATGACATTAGTTATCACTTGCAAATTTGTCACCCTTTAAAGCTTGTCGGAAAGAAGAATATAAATTAATTCTAATTTTCAGAACCTTTCTAATTGTTAAGCCTGGTTCACATAAAATCGTTAAGCAGTCGCAGACAGTCGCAGACTGTCGCAGACATGTGCCGAATTTTTATATGAACGATCTGCGACGGATCGGGAAAGTTGAACCAAGTTCAACTTTCCCGATCCGGTCTCAGACAGTCTGCGCGAATCTGCATTTGTGTTCATATAAAAATTCGGCACATGTCTGCGACTGCTTAACGATTTTATGTGAACCAGGCTTTACTGAAAAAAGGAATAACATTGATTAAATAACTGAGACGTTCAAATGGGTTACAGCTGTTTGCGCTGAATTGTTTTGTATTATATCAAAATATTCGCATATTTTTATACAATAAGAAATAATATAAATTCTTGAAGCATAGCCTTGAGCAAAGTGACCCAGGGTCGGCCTGAAAAAGTTGATTTTTTATACAGAACCGTGACTTACTTGAATTCTAGTTTCATTGATAATTGTTTCTAAACCTAGAGACAATTCAGTTGCTAGAAAACTATACTGAGCGAAACTAACGAAATATTGACATTTGACATCACAGCGAGTATACATTTCTGATTTCTTTCGGCCAGGGCCCGGGGTTTTCCCCGAGATTTAATTCGTACATTCTAACGAAACTTTTATAAAACAGTTTAAAAACGATGAAAATTCTGTCTGTAGTATGACTAATTCTGAGTTTTCCAATTTCATTGAACATTGTTATTTGTTAAACAGGTAAAGGTATTTGTTAAGGAGGTAAACAAAGCGAACAGAGCGAAGATTGTATAGTATGTCACAATCAGGACTCGTGGCATTCAGGCGCGCAGAAGACACTGGACACACTGGCATTGAATGACTCTATCCGTGAAGCCAAACTGTACTCAAACAATTTGATTCAAGCGCCAAACCAAAGAGTAATGATGAAAGACATATATTTACATAATCAAGCATTCAGTGTAGTGTAAGGTGATTTTATCTGTTAATATCAAGAATTATGTTTACCGAAAAAGTATGCTCGATTTCGACACATTTTCAAATTTTACAAAGTTTGCGCGCTTGTCATTTTTGTCAAATGGTAGAACAGAAAGATATTATTGGCGACTTGTGTTGACTAATGTTAGTAGTTTATAGAAAAGTTAAAGTCATGTGCCAATCAAGTGCCACGATTTTGAAATAAGCTTTCGAAGTTGGCATATTTTGAGACGATATCCTTTATCCGTTCAGGAGGGTCAATAACTGCGCTGTTTTCTATTGTATACCAAAGAATAATGATCTAAGTCATATCACCCGCGAAAATAGAAGAATAAGTCTATATTTCTGAGCAAAAATTTTGAAATTTAGGTATGAATTTGATTTAAAAAATAGCGCTGAAAATATGTCGATATTTGGCCTTCATTCGGAGTATCAAGTTGGTACCAGTCGATCGAACATCAATCGCCCCCAAAAATAATTTAAAGGAAATTTGAGTAAAATGACATCGATTTTAGTTGTTCCCAAGGATAGATCTTCAAAATACTAGAGTATGAGAGAAATCTATTCTTGAGCCCCATATTGACCTGGAGGTTTTTACGGAGACAGCCTCTTAAGATAGTGTGTAATTGCATGCAAATTACATATATGTTAGACAAAGCAACATTTCTAAAGGTTTTATGATTTCCAAAGGTCTATTTTTTTCTGATCCACCCTGGTACATCAAGAAATTAAGTAGTGTTTGCTTTGGACAAATTTTCATCAGCTTTTATTAGGACTGAAAGTTGATAAATCCTATATGTGTCTGACTAAGTTATCAATTCAATGTTATTTTTTCCCTAACTCATAAAAAGGTTAAAGTACAATTCAGTAATAGTAATTCCATTTGTAGGTGCCCTTGTGTCCCAGTGTCTCAATAACAAAGAGTCAACAGAAGGTTTTGAAAGGAAAAGGCAATTTAAAAGATTTTGTGTACTCAATTATGGGTATGTTGTGGAGCCGGGAAGTTCTGTCCACACACTCCATCACAGGAAAGATCTCCAATGCAATCAAGGAGAAGGATGCCAAGCCGCAACTAGACCAGGAAAAAGTCGAGGGCATATGTGGTAAGTTGATGACTTTCTTTAGTTAGCTATTGTTAAGCATACTATTCCAGGTCATTGCATAGTAAGACAAGTTGTGCATTTTCAATAATTTTCCAATCACCTTTCTTAATGTAGACTATGCTTCAAAAAGATATGGTTGTCCTGCATCCGGCAGGTACAAAACGCAGGTTGCAGGTTGGAATTTTGCAGGTTGGGAATTTTGCAGGTTGGAATTTTGCAGGTTGGGTATTTTGCAGGTTGGAATATTGCAGGTTGGGGATTTTGCAGGTTGGAATTTTGCAGGTTGCAAGGAACTTTGCAGGTTGATAATGCAAACTTAAAATTACACCACTTTTTTAGTATTCTAGTATAACTTTTATTGCAGTCTGACTCCTTGTTGGCGCTTTTGATATCAACTAATCAGCCTACCCTGTTGCCATGTTCCTAGCCTCTGCTCTAAGGCTAGTGGCCATCATCACAGTAAAACATTCAAAATGACCAGATTGGCTTGAACCTACAGGGAAACGAATGTTTTGATTGTGGCGAGGTGCCTACATGACCTGGCGGCGTTTAAAATAGAATATTGTTAAAAGTTAACTAACTCTCAACTAATGATACGGTAATTGGGGGCTTGAATGGACTTCTCATAAGTGGGTGCAGAAGAGAGACACCTCATTCAGGCATTTTCTGAACTGCCACCATGTCATGTTGGCTCCTCACAACAATCGAAACATCCGTCCCCCTGAAGGTCCAAGCCAATCTGGTCATTTTGAATGTTTTCACAAGGGTGATGGCCACTCGTTAGAGCAGAAGCTAGGAAAATGGTAGCAGGATAGGCTGATATCAAAAGTGCCGACAAGGAGTCAGACTGCAATCAGTACACAATTAAATTATACTAGAATACTTTATAGTGGTGTAATTTTAAGTTTGCATCATCAACTTGCAAAATTCCTGGTGACCTGCAAAATTCCAACCTGCAAAATTCCCAACCTGCAAAATTCCAACCTGCAAAATTTCCAACCTTCAAAATTCCCAACCTGCAAAATTCCCAACCTGCAAAATTCCCAACCTGCAAAATTCCAACCTGCGTTTTGTACCTGCCGGTCCTGCATCTGAAGTGCGACAAATAATGATGCGCAGAATCAGTAACATTGTAAAGGTTGAGAATGCTAAAAAGAAGTCCTGTGAAAAAGAATGAACTGAGCTACTGGTCACGCAAACATTTTAAAAACATAGCTACTATAGACAACTATTAATATTATCAAAATACATCACAGTTACACTAAACAATAAAACAGAATTTGATGTTTCTCAACTTTTGATGTATTTTGATATTATTTATGTGCAGGGCATACAAAAAAGTGAACCTTTAAAAATAAAAATCCTTGAATCTTGTCTAACATGATGTTATGCACTTGGAAATTTAAGATGACTTTTAATTGCATTCAAATATGCACAAGAAGTCTGTTTGTGTTCAAATTTCCAAGTAAGATAACTTTTTTGTATACACCCTGTTACATATACTGTATATCATGTATTATATATACTATATTGCATATCTGGTCAGGTTGCAAAAGAACTCGTCAGTTGTTTCCAATCTTCTCTATATACACCCCTCTTTGCAAAACTAAAATCTTCCAAGACTAGTGCTTAATTATTACCTTTAATGTAAGTTCTAGCTGTGGATTATTTTTTTGTCATGGAATTGCATGGATAAACTAGTTTCCTAATATATATTTTATATTCTTGAACTGATTTTTAGTGTGAAGTTTCACTTCACACTATTGTTATGGCTGGCGAATTCACACGAATCAGTCAGTCAGTCAGTCAGTCAGTCAGTCAGTCATAGAGTAAACTTTCCGGGGGGTGTATACGATTTATGTTCGTAGTGATTTATTGTACTTAGTCAGTACTTTGAAGGTTATTTAGGCAATTTCAGTTAACTTATTTACATATTCTGTTATCCTTTTGCCAAGTTCACAAAAATTTGGAGGAATCGCTTTCGTTATTGTAATTTTTTGTAAATTTTAGAACATTCGCTTCTCATGTTGTGTAAAGGATCTTTACCCCGGAACACCCGATTTTTTCTTTAGTAGCGCAAATGCGCGTGCGCTATCAAGCCGTAGATCACGATGGCGTGACGATATGCTAGGAAGGGGTGACAGTGTTGTTTTCAGATGTATAAAGATTTCAGACGTGAATATTGAGAAAATCTTTGAAAATCTACGCAATATATAAATTGATCTTATGCATTACGGGCGTTCAATTAAGTGCCGATAATATTTAGACGGTATATTCATTATACAGAGCTAGGGAAGGAGCTAGACCGCCTAGACAGTGCAGTGAAGTGTGTAAACATTTCAGACGTAAATATTGAGTTGAATATCTTGATTCTTAGGACCTCTTAGGCATTCATTTGAGTGCCAATATTATTTTCACGGTATTCTCTTTATACAGAGGTACAGTACGTAGGCAGAAGCGAGACAGTGTTGTTTTCAAGTATATAAAGATTTCAGACGTGAATATTGAGCACATCTTTGAAAATCTACACAATATATAAATTGATCTTATGCATTACGGGCGTTCAATTTAATAAGTGCCGATAATATTTCGACGGTATATTCATTATACAGAGCTAGGAAGGAGCTAGACCGCCTAGACAGTGCAGTTAAGTGTATAAACATTTCAGACGTAAATATTGAGTCGAAAATCTTGCTTCTAGGCATTCAATTGAGTGCCGATATTATTTTTTCACGGCATACTCATTATACAGAGGTCATTGTACTGTAGTACGTGCAGGCAGAAGCGAGACAGTGTTGTTTTCAAGTATATAAACATTTCAGACATGAATATTGAGAAAATCTTTGAGATTCTACGGAATAATAGTAATACAATATATATTAAAAATTGATGTTATGCATTACCGTCGATATTATTTAGACCGTGTATTCATTATACATTCTCATTGACTGTATAAGGTGCTACATCACAGAATAGATGGCTATACTCAGTACAAAGAGCGAAAAATTGCATCAGATTTGTATCAGATCAATAAGGCATAAATTCAACACATGCGAAAAGCTGAAAATAGACACACGTCACACAGGGAAAAGTCAAAGGTCAATGAAACTTGTTATTGTGAAACATGTCACAATTAAGTTAAAATGCGGAAGCGGATAGAGCGGATCCACGGAACGGACATGCGGATAAAATACGGAACGGATGAGGATAAAATGCGTCTTTTAATGATGTAACGACGTAGTGCTTATTATTCATAACATATCTTATACAGCTATTTCAATTATAGTTTATTAGATAAATTTAGTATAGCAGTCTCGTGGGGATGCTTTCAGCGACAGCTGCAAATGCAATTGAAAATTTAGAATATGCAAAATTTGGTTGTTGGTGACACAATAAATAGATGAATTGCATCAGTTTCTGATGTGTTAGGCTTGTTTCAAACGTCACGCTACTCGTGTGCCGAGCGTATTAAAAGCAATAAATAATGAGATGAAATGCCTTTGGTAACTGTTTATTTCGTAGTGTAAGCCATCAAGCTTTTCTAGGTTGTCGGCGACCCTATATATAGTTCTCGCAGTGTCTTTTTAAATTTGAAACTTCACACTATCCTTGGATCCCTAGTTATTTTTGGTGTTTTCTCATAAACAGAATATGTTGCACAGAAGAGTATTAAATAAGCACATCTTGTGTAGTATTCAAATTGCATGTTCTGTGGAATACGGTATAGGATATTCTATAGAATCTTCTATAGGATATTTCATAGAATATCCTATAGCATTTTCCGTAGAATATTCTATAGAATTTTCCATAGAATCTTCCATAGAATCTTCCATAGAATCTTCCATAAACTTCTATTGAATATTCCATAGAATATCCTATAGAATATTCCGTAGAATTTGTGCCAAAATCTTTTAGAATATTCTATAGGGTATTCTATAGAATATTTCTATAGAATATTCTATAGAATATTTTCGTAAGGGGAGAATGTATATTAAAGTTGTACAAGCGGCTCAACATGGTGGTTTTGGAAAAGCAGCTTTCAAAATCCGATTTAAAAGCTGTCATTAATGAAGCTATGTGTATGAACACACTAACACATCCAAACATTCCACAATTATTAGGTGTCCAAATAACACAAAAGCCATATTCTTTAATAATGGAGTTCATTGGTGAAGATATGAAGTCATAGACAGTGCATGAATTGCTTCAGGAAACTAGTTCAAAAGGATCACCACTTCTTACAGCTGAATGGATTTCAGTTTGTCTTGACATTGTTCAAGCTGTCAACCACATGCATTCCAAAGGCTACTTGAATTGTGACCTCAAAACCAACAACATCTTGGTATTGAAAAAGAGAGGATTTGTTATTGACTTTGGGAAAGTTTGCCTACTACCAAACCAACTGCAAAGAAATGCACCAAATTTTATCACTACATAGCTCCCAAGGTATTGCGAGGAAAACCAGTTAGCTCATCAAGTGATGTTTTTTCTCTTGGTGTCATTATTGCCACAATTGGCAAAAGCCTTGGTAACAAATCCATGTATTTGGTAGGCCAACAGTGTCAGGATACCAAGCCAGACGTTCGACCAATTATCCGCACATTGATAACATTGCTGCAAGAAATCATTGAAAGAGACAATTAGTCCATCTGATATAAAATACATGATTACCTCAGCATAAATTAATTAGATAACATAAATCAGTATATAAGTTACCTAACCCATTGAGTAGCATTGAACCCTGACACGTCCTACTTTATTATTTTACTCTGTCTAATGCCAGATGATTTTATGCATCAAGGGGAGAATGCTGGGGCTTAATGGGTTACATATCTATATAGTCAATTTCAATTATGTATAGATTATACATCCTTAAACTTGAATTATTAATTTACACTAAATATTATACTGTGAACGTGGATAGCATAATTAAACATTTAAATGATAAATTAAACTAAATAGTATACTGTGAAAAGTGGAAACTTAAGTTGTCTGAGTCTTTAGTCAGCAGGTTGTCAAGACCTAGAGTCTTTCGGCAGCCAGTGGAAACTGTTTTACGGTATATATAGTAGTATACTGTGAATAGTGGAAACTTAATTATGTTGTCAAGACATCATCATCATAACAATAATAATATTTAAAATTTATATTGCGCATATTCTATAAAATATTCATATGTGCATCAAGTCTTTAGTCAGCAGGTTGTCAAGACCTAGAGTCTTTCGGCAGCCAGTGGAAACTGTTTCACAGTATAGGTAGTATAACTATAAAATTAAACTATAAAACTACAATACTTTGTTGTCAAGAGGTCAGGTCTATATGCCATGGTTTGTGAAAATCCAAAGCAAAGGAAATATTCACGTGCACTTTAAGAATATTAGTGCAAAAATAAACATTTTATAACTAATTTGTACAATTAATCACATTTTAGGTATAAATTAAATAACACTGCATGTAAAGCCTTGAACTATTGGGACAGTTAAGTAGTTGCATAATGTATTATTACATTAGTTTCATAATGCATAAAATAGGACAAAAACATTGGTTATCTGACAATATCAAAAACAATATCAGTTTGATCATTGATGTAAATATTCAGCATTTATATTTTCATTTGTATATAAAATGTGACAAATAAAATTGTTAAAAAGATTGCTGGAGCAAACCAGAGAGTGATGGTTTGCTGCCAGTGTATTGTGTTTACTTTAATTTTTTACCCAGACACAAAGTACACGAAATATGAGGACATCTGACCAGTGACTGTGATCTCATCTCATCTGTACATGACCTAGGTCATACTATATTTCACTGAATAATTATGTGCTAGAATTGATAATTGGTTACATTTTTATGTATTTTATAGTGATATTTCTGTTATTTTAATATTTTAAATATAATTGAAAAAATACCAACCTTTTGTTATATGAACAAGAAAAACGGATATTGTTCCCACATTTCAAGATAAATTTATTTGTTTCACTCTGGCTGGAAGCCATTTTGTTTTGTTCGCGTGGTCCAAATAATATGTGCATGTTGACGATCGCATGTGTTTCACACGTGCGCGAGAATTAAACCTTGCCAAAGTGGAGCCAAGCATATTAATGCACCTGAGAATGTGTTTGCATGCAATATGCAGTCTTCATGATGTATGAAATGCTTTGGTTCCCATATATTTTAAGGACTGTTCAAGTCATAACTACACGCTTTTACCGAATACAAGTCTACACAGGGCTATACCACACAAATTTCTACCATCATGCAGCGCAAACGCTTGATGAAGCTACAGTTTCGCATTGTATATACGTATGTTTTTGCCATTTTGGTATTTCTAATTAGCTTGTGTCGCAATATACTATACATCGCGGAACAGAGAGTAATACACTGTACTGTACAACGTAGCTGACATTTAAAGCTATTACAAGGGATTGCCGATTTGGCACCATAGCACTTCATGAAGGTAGATGTGATATAGTTGTTTTACATATTTGACGTGTATATGTTGGTAGCCTTGCGAAAGATTGAAAGTTGTCGACTTTCTGCACTCATCTTGTGATGTGCCGTATATAATTCGAAAAAAGGAGACATCATGTACAAAAAGCCTGATCTTTCCAAATATGAAAACCAATTGTTCATACATTGAGTAATTCATGTATAATAGTGTGCTGAAGTTCGATTACCTTTTTTTTATACACCCTGTATATTGCAGTAAAATTATGATATGTCTGGAAACATTTTGTCATTTTCAGGAAAAAATTTGGTATGTCCAAAAATTGTTTGTCATGTTGGGGGAAAAAATGTGATATCTCCGGAAAAATTTTGAGATGACCTCCTCCCTGTTAAGTGCCCTGTTTATTCGAAAAGTGTCCCTTGACGCCTGGCCCCCAACTTTTAGATGCTTCCTACACCCCTGAATATAGTAGAGTTTTGGAATCATTGCGAAGTCACATTTTGCGTAAACATTAGCTGACTACAGACATTTGTGCAGTCTTACATTATAAGTCTTACATTTAATATCTATAAAAAAGTATTTAGTACCTTATTAATCCTTGATATAATGTACTGCATGATATACTGCACAAGATAGCCGAGCTATAGAGTTAGTAATAGGGAAGGCCAATTTTGCGTAAACACTTGCTGAATATGTATGTTTCTACAATGCAATTCTAAAGTCTGACATTCAGTAAACAAAAGCAATTATCACCTTATTAACCCTTGCAGTTTTGATGTTGGTGGGCTTGTGCCCCAACTTGGTGTACATCATGGGAAAGGGCATGGAATACTGCACAATATAGTAGAGATTGGGAGTAACACAGAAGGCAGTTTTTGCACAAATGCTTGCTGAATATAGATGTTTAATCATAATAATAGATTTTATTTACCACCTTTGGCAAAAGAATTACAGTGGTATTACAAAATAATTTTAAAAGTATTACAAATTGACAACAGTATTTAAGATATATAAAACTTCATCGACTATAATGTACATTTTACTGGAATGAGAGATAGCTATTATTGCCGGGCATTAATATTTATCCTAAGATAATACAAGTAAGTCTATTTTAGTTAACTATGTTCAGTAAAATAGTTCAACCAGGTAGCTGTCGGTATGAATGATTGTTTATGTCTATCTGTCAATGGGGTTGGTGCCAAAAGTGGGTTACAACCTGTCCTTAAATTATATTCATGTGCGTTAGTTCTACAAATCAATCTTTCACATGGGTGATTTTCTGAATTTAGTATTCTTGGTTTTCTGAATTTAGTATTTATTATATTCTTTACTTGTTAAATAGTTTCTTTTTGATGCAAGTGACTCAATTTTGTTTCTTCAGTAAGCCAATGATACCTAGACAGCAATTTTGTACTCTTTCAATATCCTCCTTTAGGTAATATGGTAAACCAGCCCAGATTGGTGCAGCATATTCCAGTATGGGTCTTATCTTTGTGCAATAGGTTGTTAGCCCTATATTGCTTGGGAGATTTGCTTTCCTACAGGCCCTCACGAAATAGATTCTTTTACTTGCCTTCTTAACAATATCATGTACATGTGACTTCCATTTAAGGATGTTTTGCATGGTAACCCCAAGGAGCTTGAATTTTGTAACCCTTTCGATCATTTTGTTGCCTATACTAATGCTTGGGGGAGCTGGGCTTGATCTTGTAATCCTATCCACATATCTTTTGTCTTACCGGTATTCAACTCCATTTTATTTTGGGTAGCCCAGTCTTCCACAAAATTCACTGCTTCCTCATTTTACTGTTTAGTCCAGTAGAAACACATTCATTCATATTGGCCTACAATCATCGGCGTACTTACATGTGGTTGTTGGAAGTTCGTTTGGAATACCATTTTCCATGTCATTGATATAAATGTTAAATAGCATAGGGGAGATAACTGCCCCTTGGGGGACACCGGCCAGTACTACTTCCACTCTGGATAGGACATCTAAGAATTTAACTTGCTGTGTCCGATTGGTCAAAAAACTCTGACACCATAGCCAAAATGACTTATTAACCCCCATACTTCCCAACTTTGTTAAGAGGATCTCATGATCGATGAGGTCGAATGCTTTTCAGAAATCTATAAACAACGCATGTACACCATTATATGGGCTACCTTGATTTGTGGGTCATACCAATCTTGAGTCATGCTGGTCAAAGCGCTGACTGTTGATCTACCCCTCATAAACGTGTGCTGGTTGGTTTTAATTTTAAGATCAGCTTGGTTTAGCTTTAGTTGTATCTTCTCCAAGACTTCAGCCACTTGCGGTACGATTGAAATCTGCCTGAAATCAGTAATTAAATCCTCAGGATTGTTTACCTTCGGAACGGGGCTAATCAAAGCATAGGGGCTTGGATATTTACACTGGAGGATACTAGCACAGATAATTTCATGGATACTCAGGGCTAATTCTTCATGGAAACGCTTTAGTACCCATGCAGGTACACTGTCAACACCGGTTGCCTTCTTGGGATTTAAACTGTCATAATTATGTTAATTTATGATAAGCACGTGATCATGATTAAAGATTGTTGTTGAACATGGCGACGTGTGTAGTGTATAATATGACATGGTGTCAGGAGTAAAAATAAAAAAAAACCCTAAAATGGAAACGTTTGAGTGCATTGAATTTGACGGGAAACTTGCGAGAGAACTGGAGGCGATGGATTCAGCGATTTGAGTTGTTTTTGACCGCGTCAGGGAAAGTCAAAGAAACGGAAAAAGTCCAGTGTGCAATTTTACTTCATCTCATCGGTGATGAAGCCCTCAAAATCTACAACACGTTTACGTTTGGCGAGGGCGAGGATCGTGATAAGTTGAGCATGTTGAAGAAGAAATTTGAAGATTATGTAAATCCTTAAAAGAATACTGTATTTGAATGATATAAATTCTGGGAATGCAAACAACAAGAAGGTGAAACAATCGACCAATTTATAACGGAGTTGAAAACACGAGCTAAGTCATGTGAATTTGGTGATCAAACGGACAGCATGATTCGAGATCGTATAGTATTTGGGGTGAGTGATATTCGATTAAAAGAACGATTGCTTCGTGAATCGTCTGAACTCACTCTTGAAAAAGCTGCAAGTTTGTGCTGAGTGGCGGAAGAAAGTGTGAAACAGCTCAAAGAGCTTCGGAAGCAAAATGTTGATCCAAGTGAACCGGAAGTTCATGTCGTAAAGAAACCCACTCAAGGTGAGTCGCTATTTGATTGTAATAGATGTGGACCTAAGCATGCAGTAAGATCTTGCCCTGCATTTGGAAAACCTTGCCACAAATGTAAAAGAAAAAACCACTTTGCACGAATGTGTCAAATGTCAAGAAATTCTTCTGTTGATGAAGTGTCAGAAAATACTGGGGAAGCTAACACTAGAAATGACCCAACACTCGAGTTAAATAGTTTATTTATTGGGACCATAACTAGCCCCACAACAAGTTCTGCATGGTTTGTGAGTGTGGGTATAAATGGAACACAAGTTCGATTTAAACTTGACACTGGAGCTGAAGCCAATGTGTTGCCATTTAATGTGTATTCAAGTCTAAAGATTAGTACATCCCTGCAGAAAACTGATGTGGTTTTAACCTCATATGGGAATTTTAAAGTCAAACCGGAGGGGAAAGTTTTCCTGAGATGTGTCGTCAATGGTCAGTCTGAAATGCTACCATTCTTTGTTGTTACTGTCCAGTCAACCCCAATACTAGGTCTGCAGGCATGTGAGAAATTAAACCTGGTCAAGAAAGTTAATGAAGTGGCCCCATCACCCTCCACTAAAGAACACATTATTCATGATTACCCAGAGGTGTTTGAAGGGCTTGGCTCCATGGACGGAGAATATCATATCGTTGTTGACAAGACTGTCAAGCCTGTCATCCACCCACCACGAAAGGTTCCCTACAGCATACTGGGAAAGTTAAAAGAGAAACTTTCGCAGCTTGAAAAAATTGGTGTTGTGCAGAAAGTTGACAAACCGACTCCATGGGTTAACAGTCTTGTCATAGTCGAGAAACGTGATGGGTCTCTGCGGTTATGTTTGGATCCCCGTGATCTGAATAAGGCTATTCAACGGGAGCATCATAGAATTCCCACAGCAGAGGATATTGCCACTCGCCTTAGTGGTAAGAAGTTATTTTCCATAGTGGATGAAAAAGATGGGTTTTGGCAGATCCACCTAGATGAAGAAAGTTCCCATCTCTGCACCTTCAATACACCCTTTGGTCGCTTCCGCTTCACGAGATTACCATTTGGTGTGTGTTCAGCCCCTGAAGTGTTTCAGAAGAAGAATGAAGCATTGTTTGGTGATATTGATGGTGTCGAGGTGATATTTGATGACATAATTGTGGCAGCGCGGGATGAAAAAGAGCATGATGAAATTATGGCAAAGCTGTTGGAAAGAGCAAAAGCAGAAAATGTTAAATTCAATCCAGAAAAGCTTCAGTACAAAGTCAAAGAAGTGAAGTACATGGGTAACATTGTATCTGAATCGGGTTTGAAGCCAGATAGCGAGAAAGTTCGTGCAATCCTGGACATGCCCTTACCTAAGTCAAAGGAAGAATTGCGAAGGTTCCTTGGAATGGTCAATTTTTTCTCGAAGTTTATTCCAGGTCAATCGAGTAGTACTGACCCTCTACGGCAGTTGTTAAAGAAAGATTCAGTTTGGCACTGGTCCCATGAACACACTGGTGCAGAAGAACAACTGAAACAGATCATCTCAAGTCAGCCTGTCCTGAAATTTTTTGACTCCTACAAAGCCAGTCAAGTTGCAAGTTGATGCTTCAAAAGGTGGCTTTGGAGTGTGCCTTCTACAAGACGGACATCCCGTTGCATATGAATCCCGGTCACTGAGCTCTGCTGAGGAGAACTATGCGCAAATTGAAAAGGAGTTAACCGCAGTTGTCTTCGGATGTGAAAAATTTCACTGCTATGTTTATGGTAAACCAATTAATATGGATTCTGATCACAAGCGCCTTGTTTCCATCTCCAGAAAACCCTTGGTACAAGCCTCCCCCAGGTTCCAGCGATTGTTGCTCCGACTACAAAAGTATGATGTCACCATCAACTACCTTCCAGGCAAATATATGTATGTTGCAGATGCACTTTCACGAGCATTTCTTCCTGATGGCCCTGTTCCTGATGAAATGAATGATGATGTAACGAAGATGATCCACAGCCTCGTTGAAAACCTTCCAATGACAGTTGAGAAGCTTGAAGAACTGAAATCAGCAACAGTAGAAGATGAAATCCTGCAGCAGTTAACCCAATTCATCAAAGACGGATGGCCTAGTAGTCGTGTGAATAGTCCATCGGCTGTTGGTCACTACTGGAAATTTCAAGACGAAATCTATGAAGCCAATGGGTTGTTGTTTTTTGGGCAGAAGTTAATTATTCCAGAGAAGATGAGACCAGACCTTCTTCGTCGAATTCATGAGAGCCATCTGGGTATGGAAAAATGTAAATCGAGGGCTAGAGCACTAGTCTATTGGCCTGGAATGTCAGCGGACATTGGAAGATTAGTAGCGAAATGTCCAACTTGTCTGAAGCACCAAAGAAGCAATCAGAAAGAGCCACTAAAGCCACACACAGTGCCTGCCAGAGCATGGCAAAAATTGGGAACAGACATTTTTGAATATAAGTCCAAGTCCTACTTACTAATTGTGGACTATTACTCGAAATTTCCAGAAATTTCTCTCCTTAAAGACAAATCAAGTCAAGCTGTCATTACCAGTATGAAATCAGTAGTTGCCCGATCGACACGGCATCCCGGATGAAGTTGTCGCAGATAATAGGCCCTTTTCAAGTAAGGAATGTTTACAGTTTGCACAAGAATGGGGATTCAAAATTTCAACGTCCAGTCCTGATTACCCCCAGTCAAATGGCATGAGTGAGCGTACAATTCAAACGATCAAGAATCTCCTTTGTAAAGCTGATGATGAAGGAAACGATCCCTACATCGCTCTCCTGGAGTACAGGAATACTCCAATCACAGGAATGCAAGAATCGCCAGCTCAGTTATTAATGAGTCGCATGCTAAAGTCCAAGTTGCCTACGACCACGGCCCTCCTTCAGCCCAAAGTTCAAGAAAATGTTCGTGAAAAACTTGAGCAACGTGCCGAAAAGCAAAAAGAGTACTTCGACAGAAATGCAAAGCCATTGCGACCTGTAAAGATGTATCAGTCTGCCCGAATTCGAAGAGGAAAGGTGTGGGAGCCAGCAGTTATAACAGGTACGCATAAAGCACCTAGATCCTTCATAGTAACCACAGCACAAGGGGGAGTGTATCGTCGTAATCGCAGACATTTATTACCCACTAGTGAGCCTCCACCTAACAATTTAGGACCAGACTACGATGAAGAAATTGTTTTGCCTGAGCCTAGACCAAATAACGTTGTTGACCCACAACCTGTAAGGCGCACCAGCAACCGCGCAGTTAGACTGCCTGAACGACTCAGGAATGACTATGTTATGGAATGACTATCTAAGCCGTTTACATTTATAAACATTAATATTGTTGTTGTGCTACTTGGAGCATTGCAGTTCTTGCAAGATGCTCGGTGCTATGAAGTGTGACCTTAATACCGAACAATTGAAGCTAATTAGCTGTTGAACAATATGTAGCTTTAGTAAGAAAGGGAGATGTCATAATTATGTTAATTTATGATAAACACGTGATCATGATTAAAGATTGTTGTTGAACCTGGCGACGTGTGTAGTGTATAATATGACAGATATCAGCTGCCATATCTTGGGTAGGACAATATACAATATCTATCATGCCTTTAACATACATTTCACGTACAAAATGGCACTTTATGTCAATATGCTTAGAACGTTGTCTGTTAACTGGGTTCTTACTTAGTGCAATTTCCCCTTCGTTATCAACACTTACCTTCATACTCTGATGTACTTTCTTATACATGCCGTTTAACAATTGAGTTAGATACAAACACTCTTGAGCTGTATTTGCTAAAGCTACATATTCAGCTTCGCAAGTGGAATTGGTTGCTTTCTCGACTTCCATGAAATCAGTGGTCCTCCTTCAGTTAGAGCACAATAGTAACCTGTAGTACTTCGCCTGTCTTCCAGGCAAGAGGCCCAATCTGAATCACTATAAGAAGGGAGCTGCAAGTCAGCATCAGATTTCTTAAAGCAAAGTTCATAATCCACGGTACCCTTTAGATACCTTAGGACATGTTTGGCAGCAATTAAATCTCCCG